TCAGCGCGCTTACTCTGCTTAGTTTAGCTACTTATTAAAGTTATAGTAGTTAGTATTAGCTTTAATTATAGCTATTCTTCTCTTCTTAGCCTTTTTAGACTTAGTTATAGCTTATCTTAGCGATAATGCTATTGCGTATTAGATATTAGTATTAGATAAAGTAGCAGCGCCTTATATAGCAGCTAATCTACTAACTTTAAATAGCTAGCCTAAGTAGCTAGTATTATAGTACTTTTAGCATATAATATCTACTATTTATATAGCAGGCGCTCTCTATTATTAACTACTGCTATATTATCTACTAGTCTACCTATAGTTATTCTAGCAGTAAGTCTGCATTCTCTTAATATAGTAATATATCTAACTATACTCTCTGCACTGCAGTCTATTAGTATATATAGATAAGTATAGTAGTAGCTTAGTTACTGCACTAGAGAATATAATATTATCTTTGTTAAATACTTATTACTATAGCAAAGTCTTATCTTGCACAGCGCAAATAATAGCTTTCTATATATTAGAGACTATTTTCTAGTGCTTAGTATTTAAGTAAGCTACTAACTATAACTAGATAATGCTCTGCGCATAGCTCTTGTATATAGCTATATAGTATGCTAGCAAATACTTAAAAATACTATTAAATTATTCTATTATAAATATCTATAAACTCTATCTATAGAGCCTTGCAGTAAGTAACGATTATATGCTACTAGTAAGTTATAGTATACTCTCTATACGTTAGTATCTAGAGTTACTAGATATTATATGCTTATAGTACGCAGCATTATAGTATTATTATGCTTAGCCTAGCTATTAGAGTTACTCTAACGCTTAGATTAGGCGCAGAAACTCTAATATTAGAGTTTATAACTCTAAGTTAGTAGTCTGCATAGCTCTATTTTTGTAACTCTAAGAAATGCTAATATTAATATATATCTTAACATACATTATAACGCGCTAATATTATATAGAAATTCTAAATAGTATAATTAATAGCGCTAACTGCGCTGCATCTTTAGCTTAAGTTATATTAAAATTTATAATAACTTAGGCTTTTATTCTACACTTCTACGTAGTTTATAGAATAAACTCTTAAGAATTTAGAGTTTCTTATAGAATAAAGCTAGTTCTAACCTTTGTTCCGTCGCCTATTAAGGATAGAGTTTCTTGTAGAATAAAGCTAGTTCTAACCTTTATTCTGTTGCCTATTAAGAATAGAATATCTATAAGTCTAAGAGAACTTAAGTATATCTATAGCTATATTACTTATCTTAAGAGTCTTTAAAGTGTTAAAACCTATTAAGTAGCTAATAATAAGATAGCTAGTATTAAAGAGCTTAAGTTAGTTTTTATAGATAAGATAATATAGCACTAGATATAGAAATTAGAGTATACTAAGATAGTAAGAGAGAGCTTCTATAAAGAATATAATATATTAGATAACTTAAAGTATAAAGTTAAAGATACTAAACTATAAGAGTTTATTATTCTAATCTATATAGTAACAGTATACTTTATTAATCTATAGTAATCTATTATACTAAGACTAAGATTACTATAGATTATAGATTACTAATCTGTTTACTAAGAGACTAATCTATATAGATTAGTTACGTAATGCAGCTAGTTCTAGCATTACTTTCGTCCTTAGTTATATATCTATAAATATGCTAAAGATAGTAATTATGCTACTAATTTAGAGTTCTAGGTCCTAGGATATAGTGTCCTATAATAACTTATAATAAGTTTCTAGTCGTTTAATTCTAGATCGTAACACTTTTCTAGCCTAATTTTATATATAGTATTTACGATACTAAGAGAAAGTAGCTAGCTTACTAATATAGCTAGCTTACTAATAGAATACGTTAGAGAATATATATAAACTTAGAAGCAGAATAGTACTATAAAGAGATAAAGTAATATAATATTATAATCTATAACTTACTCTATTCTATACTTAAGTTCTTATATACTATCTATCTCTATAAACACTTCTAAAACTTATACTACTTTGCAAAATACAACGCGTACTATAGAAAGAGATATTTTGCAAATCGCAATGCGCAGTTTATTAGCTACCAGCAGGAAGAGAGATATACTATAGGTAGATATAACAGAGTGGCGATCCATCCATCGTACTCATCAGTTCCTTGATTTCGAGCGGCTTAAGGTTGAGATAGTTTGTCTGAACAATATCTTCCAACACGGCGTCACGACTCGGGGGTTCATTGAATAGCGTGATTGTTCCTGCAATAGTGCTCGCCTGGTTGCGATGCAGAGCCTGCCAGATCCACCATAGCCGATCGATCATGGCATGGTGTAGGAAGAATGCTGGGTCGTTGGGACTGCTGAAGAAGTCTCCGGCATCCCCGCCAATTGCAAGATGTCCGGCGATATGCATCCCAAGAAAGCCCTGATCGAATCGGCCCTGGAGTTCGTTCTGGAACGTCGCGATGTTCTTCGATGCTGGACCGAGTGTCACGTTGTAGAGATTCTCGGTCGTGAACCATTTGGTTGATGCGAAATTCGTGAGATCTCGTTTCAAGCAACGCGGGTTGTATGCGAACGTCGTGTTGACTATCACTTCGCCATCCATGGCCGGGGAAAGGGGTCCAAGGTTTGCTTGTACACCCTTGAAGGGCCCGCTCTTAATGCAGCCACCACCTTCTCCTGAAGGCAGATGTACGTCAGGATGACCGCCAACACTCCCGTTGTGTTTCACGAAGGACCCATCGCCTCCCATGCTTGTGTCGGAGCCATCGAAGATCGGGGACGCGCGTAAATTGTCTTGGTACGTGAACCAATTCCAATACGGTTGGTAGCCCTTGTATCCGCATTCCTCGCGCAGGGCCTTCTCGTATCCGTAGACGAAGTATCTGTGCCAGCTCAAGAAGTTGCCTGTTACATGGATCGTCAAAGTCTGGTTCATGTGTTGCGCGACGAAATCGTCGTAGCGGGTTCGGGCTCCAGGAACGAGCACGGGGTCGGACTTTGATGGCGCAGACATCAGGCACTTGACTGCCTTGATATATCCCTTCCGTTCATTTGCGCTCATGAAACTCCTGTTGATCTTGTTAGCGATCAAAAGCAATGCGCGCACGCTGGAAGTACTCACCAGTCACGCCGGACAGCAGCCGTGGAGAGCGAACAACTTCTTTTGGCAATACTCCCATTCGACTGCGCTTCCTTCAAGTTCTGCAATGCTTGATCTTGTAGATTCTGGAGTAGATCACGAGGTTGCAGCACAGCACCTTGCGCTATACTAGCGAGCGCGGCAATTGCGAGTGGGATGTTGCAAATATGCATTGTGGAAGGTGTGAAAGATCTACTGTTAGGAGAAACACAAGCTGCTAAGATATACACAAAGTGTGTGATACTTTATGAGCCATATTCGATGCACTTTTTCGACCTTTATAACCCATCGAGCGCGTGTAAGCCAGGCCTATTCACTCGCATCAGCTGGCGTAATCGTGAGAGCAGTCGGGTTTGCATACTCTGACAAAAGATGCGATTCTTTTGTGTAGGGCGTTTCTTCGCATTTTGCAAGCCGCAGTATTGATACGTATACTTCGTCCAATCATATCTTGCGGATGAGCTCCGAAGCGCGGATGTAAGCAGGTAGAGACCCCCTGGCTGAGCCTCATGCTTGGCCTTTCATTGTCCTCGTCGTATTTTACACTGGTCATTGCACATGGCGTCCCTGTCAGCAGCATGTCCGGTCAGATTCTGCTGAGGCGTTCAGCCTGCATCTGCATATATGTGGCGTAAAATTATTGTGAGTTTACAAGCTAACGTTGAGGATTTTGGCGTGTGGGACTTCCTGTGAAGGTAACAATACTACCTGGGATGAGGCGCAATAACGGAGGTCTACTAACGATCTTACCTAAGCCTTGGGCCAATAATAGATCGAAGATGTTAAGGATAAGCTTACGGGCGAAGGACATCAAGGAGAGATGATCACACTCCGTGTCCGATGACGAGGAATTGTGGCAGCATATTGCACGAGCTGCAAGGACTCTTACAGTGTAGGCACTATGTGAAGATATCAATAGGTAGGGTCTCATTGAGCAAGAACGCCTCGGGATGAATGCATGTATTCTCTCTGTAGATTCTGTGTAGGTGGGTGGAATATATCGTTGCTTCTAGCTACTTAAGGAGTTATCAGTCTATGGAGGTTCCATGAGATGCTCCATATCGTCCAAACGCGAAAATCATCATGCTCTTCAATGTATGCCTAGGCCATGTCAGTATCTAGCCTTGATATGTGAGCATCGCCCTTAGTTCCTCTCACAAAACTCAACTGTCGAGACCTCTTCGTCTTCCAGTTCCGATTTTCCGATACGAAATCGGATTCCCGTGTCCAATCATGGTACTAATTTGCCGGAACACCGGTCCAACGCTTCGCGATGGGGCCGTATTCCAATCTTCACTGAAAGTAGGCTGGATAACGCCGCTTTCCTCCAGCCTCATCGCCTCTGCGGCCTCTAGATTTACCTAACTGCTGTTTGGGAATGCAGACAAGGATGTGACGGATGTAAAGATGACTGCAAAGACAGCACAGACCCACGCGGTCATCGCACGCCTTCTCATCGTATTGCTCACAAAAGCTATGAAAAGCCATCAAATCCCGTCTCACCCTGTTTTTTCTGTAAACACGGAGTTCAATTTGACGTATTGCGGTCGACATTGGATACAGTCATCTTTGACTTGCGCAGTTGCGGGCTGCGTGTTTGCAGCTGAATTATAGTCCATCGTTGTCATATATCAGCCTTCGCACTGGCAGTGGCGGGCCTAGATTGAGGTAAAGAGGCGATGCATATATACTTAGGCAGTTTTGGCATGATGGAGGTCATGCGCGGTCGAAGCCACACGTAATAAGCGCTTGACCGGAACGGACTTCGGAAGCGCCACTCGTGCACTGCCGCATGACAGCTGAGTATCACGCGACGGGTGCATTATCACGGATTCAAGGCTATTATTATTTGCGTCTCTGTCACGATACATGGCAATTAAGGAACTTTGCATGTTTACACCCAGGCAGCTCAGTTTGTTTTCCTTGATGCGTCCTATCTTTCACGACCTGCTGACGTGCCCTTGGTTCCTTCTAGTCTTCAGATGTCGCATTTTAAATCACAGCTTTCTTTCCTATATCTGCTTTTTCTAATTATCGCCTTTGCTCTTCTAGGTTCCTTATCTACTTGTCTACGCCTAGAGCGGCACGCTAGACGTAGCAGGTATCGTCTAGTCTATACTTGCATTATTGAAGTTCATAATTAAGAAGCTAATCTAGCTTAATTGGAGAATAAAGTCATTAGCTGGTTCAGATATGTACTGCGCAAATATGTCGCAGAAAGCAGTCTCTGTCTGATCGTGCGCAAGTATTGCAGTCGTGTCGAGTAAGGTAGCTGTAGATGGATGTAGCACTGAAGGTTACGAGTATTAGTTAACAAGCTACATATATCTCTCCTCAAAAACGCACCAAGAGTGTCTAGTACGTGTAGGAACCGCCGCAAGCAGTCACGACCCTTGCGATTCATGAGGCTCGATCGCTCGATCATCTCGAGCGTGTCTAGACTCAGTACCAATGCCTCGCGGACTTCAGAGAGTTCGACAACTTTCACAACCTCGGGCAGATTTGCTTGACAGCATATCAAGACGATTCCCAGCAGATGGACTGCCGCAGTGAATGCTAGAGCTCATCAGTAATGAACTTGTATCTCACAGAAATCTAGCAGGCTCACTGCTGTAATTGCAAATCCACCAGATGGCATTTCGATCGATGAAGTTCGGATGATAGTGAGCGATGCAGTGGACCAATTGGCTGAGTTCTTTTGCCGATTCGACATCTTGCTTTATTGCAATCGCAATTTCTCCCATGAAAGGTAGCGAGCTGCTTTTGTTGGGAAATATCTCAGCGATCAGTCTGGTAACTAACGGACGATTAACCAGTAGTGCGGTAGTATGATAGTGAATGCTTAACAGGATGCCAAAGCGATTTGTGATGTATGGAGCCTCGCTCCAGTTGTCCAACTGAGCGCTGAGGACCTCGGGAAATGCAATCGAGCTACTTTCCCGCCACTCTGCCAATCTCTGTGTAAACTCCAGTCTTTGAGCAACCGCTTTGTGGATGGAAATCTCCGTGCTTGGGTCCATGTTGCTGTTATACACCTTCTGAACAACATCGGCTTTGAGGTGGTTCAGTAGTCGAGCGAATAATTAGTGTACTGCTCGCAACCAGACCGAGCAAACTCATACTCACATGATTTGACCACTATACATAGTAGTTTGGCTCTCCATTGGTGCATGACTTACGCGTGGACCCGCGTCGATGTGATTTGGTGATAGCTCGATGCGAACATGATCGCTTGAGATGAGACATGGCCTTCCTAGAGCAATGCTTAGGCTCCGATCCTGGTTCACTACCCCACACCATACTCTTAGGAGGAGTGCGCGCTTCCGAGCATCGCTCTCATTGTGCAGCGTGGAGGAGTGCAAGCCGAGCTGGTATGCCGCTTTGACAGCGAGCGCGTGATAGGTCCAACTCGCGATCGAACGCTGCGTGTTTTGCTGAAATAGGCAAAGTAGGAGCAGTGTCTGCACTGAATTGCTTAGTGGCGGTTCCACACGACGCCTTGTATCTGTGGGGCATTCATACCGAGCTCGATGCTGGACCCACGAAGCGTAAAACCTTCCAAGTTTCTCAGTGTTCGGCGATAATACAGCTCAGCACTCGAAGGGCATGTGAAAAAAGCTGCATGTGCGCAAGTAATGTCCAACAGGGCCCTGCCTGCTTTATTAGTTTGCATGATGGGTCTCAGGGTCAAATTGTGCCCATCATTAAACAAGTTTTCCTCGATTAAGTAAGGCACCACATGACCTATTGTTGCGAAGTAATCCCTGCAAAGGTCATGCAGTCCCCCAATGTTCATATTCGGCTCGCCTATGGGCTCGGACGTCACATCAGGGAAACGTGCGGGGCCCTTTACTCGTTGCTCGAGAGACGGCCCTAGGGAATTCCTGAGCATATCCTGCGAGAATTGGGTCCCATATTTTCCATAAGATCGACGCATGAAAGGGAGCATTCTTATGAGCGCTGCCGATACAATCCCGAAAAGCGCGTGATTTGATGTCGGCCCTGAGATAGTTACTTGACTGCTGTTGCCGGGGGATTGTCCCCACTCTTACCAAAATAGCCAATGTCTTTTTCGGGAGTCTCATTGAAAGCATTGCTGGCTATCGCATCGACAGATGACTCGTCCTCTGCAATCGATACATCATGTGGAAGAGGGGTTGGTTCTGTAACGGGAGCGGTTGAGCTTGCCAGTTCTGCTTCTAGTTCTTTCACTCGTTCTAGAAGCTGCGCATATGTTCTAAGGAGACATTGGTTAATTCTCGCTAAGAGTAACATGGTTGAACGTACGGTTTCTTGTGCTGGGGCAATGGAGTGCGTTCATAGTCGCAGTATATACGAAGCTCGAGACAACCGGAGCAAGCAGGTCTCAGGCCGTCACACTGAGGCACGTTAGTAATCACCTATCATTGCCCTTAGAGCACTTACACGAGACTTCTTAACACGACAAGAATTACAGGCTAACGCAACTTTTCGCCGCTTGAGTATGCGGGTGTTGGCTGGTGTGAGACTCGACATATCCTTGAAGCTTCGCTACGTACACATCGCATGCATATCAACACCAGGTGAAACGCCTTGGAGTATTCGACCTCTACCTTTGTCGAAGAACTGCCCCACATTTCGGCAGGTCGGTCTAGCTCATTGTTGGCTACCCCGCAGCCCCACCTAGCATTCCGACCATAATCGCCGAACATCGTTGCTTTTGGAATAATTCAGTAATATTGATCGAATTCTCAGGCTAACTACAAGACATAAATAACGGGTGATGCGTGAAAACCTTCGCTGTCCCGAATTATGCTCCGAGGGCTCAGACAATAATTCTTTTACGAGCACGTACCATCAGCGGATGTTTCATATCACTGACGCTCACACTGATCAATTCAGGCATGTTCCCCAACGAGGGCTGTCCCTCCGACTCCGCACCCTGATCCTCACTTGCGGCCAACGTAAGGTCAAACTCTCTGAGTAGAGTACTTGCCAATTTGTAGATGTTAGTCATGGCGACAGTCTTCCCAATGCATTGTCGACCTCCCAGTCCAAAATGCATCAGGTATCGTGAGCGCGCTGCCGTCTCTGCCTGATACCATCGGCCTGGATCAAATCGATTGTGATCGTTGCCCCAAACCTTTGGATTGTGATGAAATGCATGATTGCAGACTGCAATCGACGTCTGCATCATAGTTAGTAGGGTGGTACTGGTACGTCGTATAGGCTGTCCACATACCCCGACGGGAATGTGCTCCCCTGCAATAGTCACTCCCTCATGAGCCAGAACCCTTCGAGCCAAGGGCATGGTGAAAACAGGAGTAATACGGAAGTTCTCCTTGATGCATTGCTTTAAATAAGGAAACGATGTCTCCACCTCCGCAAATGAGTATACTGTTCGATCTTCACCGGGGCGCGGCAGTTGTGCATCGATCTCTGCCACACATTTCTTCATGATTTGAGGTGCGTGTAAGAGATGGTAGAAGAGTAAAGAGGTGGTCGCACTTGTTGTGTGTGTGCCAGCAATACTGAGAGTAATTAGCAGTCAACAACAGCGGATGGAAGGAAGCACTAGATCTGTAGACTTACATGAACCCAAATGCCTCAGTCTGGAGGTCTGCTTGAGTCAGTCGCTCCCCATTTTCGGGGTCTTTCGCTTTAATCAAGCTGGTAAGGATGTCCTTTCGCGTTGCTGAAGCTGCGTCGTTCCCCTGTTTAGCATCCTGCATTGCCGCCATACGGTGGCTAACGCACGCTGAGGCCATCTTCACAACAGCAGCGCGCCCTTCAAATAAGCGCCTTAAAGTTCGCGACGGGACTTTTGGAAGCCACCGTTTCAATGTCACAGTCATTGCAGGCCAGGACCCTGTAACTGCGGCGAGGAGACTGTGTTCGACCACTGGTGGCACCTGTGATTCATTGCCACTTTCCTGAATACCGAAAGACTGTCCGAATGCAAGCTCTCCAAGTACATCGACGACGTAAAATTGTATGAGCTTTTTGAGATCGAAAACCTCGCCGCGATCGCAGTAGCCGGCCAGCTTGTCCGTCAGTATTTTCACGTTCGCATCCAAGTGCGGTTCCATATTCTTCACGGAGGCGATGGAAAAGCTGTGGGACATGTGTCGCCTGCGAATCGAATGCATCTTAGTATGGTTAGTGGGGCGCGTTTCGGAGGTTCTGGATACATACTGCTTCATCTCGCATACCAAAGATGTTCGGTGATGTTGCTCCATACGCCCCATAAGCGTCGTAGAACTCGGTCTTAGGAAACATCCTGCCGCCCTTTTGATAGACGATGGGTATAGCGTCTTCGGCGGTGGTGCTCAATTTGTCTGGACCGTAGCGTACAAATTGACCGTATCGCTCATGTAAATCAGTCAAATTGTAAGGTTGTTTGAGAGAGAGCATTTCCGACACCTGCCAGAGATCTGTGAGGGAAGCCAGGAAAGGTCCGGGAAACTTGGCCAGCGGGTGGAAGAAGCGTTGGTATATAACATAGCTGCAAAGGTACAGTGCAATGAGCGTACAAATGATGCATCCAATATCGGGATATCTTGAAGCATCCGATCGCGTAGAGTAGGGTATGGAGAAGCCCATGATCTGGTGCAACAGCTTGAGAGATGTCCCTGGTATGGTCGCTAGTTCCACTTCATACCGCTTTATAGATTCATAGCACCTGCTGGGTTGCCGTCGTAAGCTCTGCAGCGGTCACTTTTGTCAGGGCGCAGGTACCAATCGGCACAAGATCAAGTTTTGTGACTGGTGGTTTAAAGAGACTGTGGGCCTCGTGCCGGAAAGAGAGAGCCCGATTGGCGCATTGGAGCAAGAATTGAAGCTAAACCGGGTCGATGAATTCCGATTGGTCACAACAACTCAGACATCCATGCCACAACTATCACGTGTTGCCCTTGATGAAGCCAAGACGATCTGAGCATACATTTGAAGACAAGATGGCCCCTGCTAGATATGTATCATAGACACTAAGCGATACGCCCTTCAATACAATCTCCCTATGTATACACTATTATTTATAGGTATCCTCTTAATATAACTTGACTCTAAGCTAAGAATATCATCTAATGAATGTTAAAGGCTAATTCTAACTGACTGAATTAGAGTAATACTTAGCTAAGGAGTAGCTTACTCGCCTATGTAGCCTACTCTCTTGTAAAGTATGTTATCGCATATCAAAGTTTTAGTATTGCATCTGCTAAGCGGGCATTACGCCAGGCACCTCAGCACGGCCGAGCTTGTCAGAAATCAAGTGCTTTGAGACTTGCGACGCCAAACCTGAACAACCCTAGAACAAAACCTGCGACAGCGAATCCACCTTGTACGTTATGCTTCAGTGCAATCCAGGCGATGCTAAATACTACGCTAGGGAGAGATCTAAAGAACGCAATAACGAACAGCTTAAGCTCATCTATACTAGTAATGACGTTAGGGCCCTAGCCTAGGCAGCTGTGAGTAACAGGACATAGCTCAAGCTTGTCTTTCTTCCGCTTCAGGATGCTTTACAGGGGCACAGAGCGTAAAGCTGCTTCATCTAGATGCAAGAAGAAGTGCATCATCAAGTTAGGGCTAATAGGTAGCAGCACAGTGTCCGCCGGCACAGGCGAGTACTCATACTCGTGCTTTTGCGACTCCGGCAGGATGTCGTTTGTCCGCTGTATGTCGATAAGCTGACGATGATAAAGGCAGAACTTTGCGCGCGGCAAAGTTAGCTGCCTCTATATTCCTTAATATCGAGTGAAGTCTTACCTTTACGAACCAGACCTTGACAGGTTTCTTAAACGACAGGATGTTCTAATAGTGATAGGTTGACGTGGCGTAGAATCTATGTCAGTTTCAATCTTGCGAGAATTTAGTGAGAACAAGTGCGTCGCATAGCGTGGACGAGGTACACACCAGTGAATGAAGTTGTGAACATGCAGGCCAGATTGTGCACCGGACACACAATCCTCACCTTGGATATCTCCAATTCGAGGGCCTGAGATGCGATGTTGTAGTAGTGGTGTAGTGCTTATTACCGCTCCAGTTGTGGTTGCTTTGGATAAACTTCGGATGAACGAGAAGACTTTGTTTTGCTTAGCACCACGCTGCGCCTGCGACGCCCCTCGCTGGTAGATCTGTTGTACCGTGAGATATGGTGTCTGCAATGCTGACACCGATTACAGATGTTGAAGGGGGCTATGGCAAGATTGGCCCCATCGTTGCCTTGGTTATATTACACGGTCGGCTTAGGGCCCCATGCAAATGGCGAACGGACACCCGTCGACCTGTAGCTTAGCATATAATATCAGACTATACATTCACCTCAGCTCTGTTAGCGTGTATTAGTAGTGACCGTATTCGAGGATGTGCGCAGGACACGGCGTGAGGTAAGCGCCGCGATCAGCTGGCGAACAAGCATGCGCATCGCATACCACAGGTTTATTTAAACACTATCTGCAGTGGCGAGGGAGTAGCAACATAATTGCGAACAGCTCATGGAGTACGAAAGCGCAGAATTTGATCTTGAAGTATTCATTAAAGTGTGCTGCATCGTCTACGCCCTCAACCCCTCCATAAGCGCGCCTTCCTCCCTCTTCCCCACGGCCTGGAACATCGCTCCCTCACCACCAACATCCAAGCCCTTCTCCGCTCTCTCATACGCCTCATCACTCCGATCTAACAAAATCTCCAACTCCTCGTCAGCAAGCAATTTCCCTGCTTCCGTGCCCTCGATATCGAATCTCTCCCCGTCGCTCCGTCGCAGCAACTTCTGCAACTCTTCGACTTCCTGCTCTTTCTCATTGCCGTTAGTCTTCCCGCGATCATTGCGCACGCCGCCTTTTCGAATGACGAGTTTCTCGAGACGGCGCTTTGCTTCGGCGCTTTCGAGCAATTTTTGCTCGACGGTGTTGCGCGTTGCGAAGCGGTATACGATGACGTTGCGTGTTTGACCAATCCGGTGGGCGCGATCCATTGCTTGGAGATCTTGTTGGGGATTCCAGTCGCTGTCGAAGAGGATGACTGTGTCTGCCGCTGCGAGGTTGATACCTTGACCGCCGGCGCGTGTGGAGAGGATGAAAATGTTGGTTGCATTCTTCTTGTCTGTCTTGTTGAAGGCGAGGATTTGAGATTGGCGGTCGGTCTGCGCGACGGAACCGTCGATTCGGGCATGGGGCCAGGACCGCAGGTCTAGGTACTGGCCAAGCAGATCAAGTGTTGTTGTGAATTGCGAGAAGATGAGGACCTTGTGGCCGCGTGATATCAATTCTGGGAGGAGTGAGTCGAGCAACAACATCTTGCCCGACGTCGATACAAGTGTCTCGTCGGGCTCGGTCTCGGACGCGAAAGTCTCTGCGCCATCAGTGTCGGCTTTGAGGAACGGATTGAAAAAGTTGTAAGGTGAGTTGCAGCAAAGACGAAGCTGCATGATAGGGTTGCCCAGCTTCTTTTGCATGAGCTGGCGCTTTGCAATCTCAAAAGTAGCGGCGCGTATCTTCTCGTCTTCCGCGTCGGAATCGAGATCCTCTTCTGGCTCTCCAGCAGAGCTCTCTTGCTTGTCGAGGTTGGCGAAGTACTCCGAGTCACTCAACTCTTCGTAATTCCTCTTGGGCTTAGTGCGACTCTTTGTTGACGCGACTGACGCCGGCGTGCCTGCGCGAGAAGTCTTTGCACTTTTGTTCGGTGTACTGACGCCGCTGAGACCCTTGCGCTTCCTTCCCCCGTTGTTGCTTCTGATGCTCAAGGGCGTGCCTGCTCGGCTGCTGAGGCCAATGCTCAACCGCTCGACAGCTTTGTCTTCCAAATATGACCTGCTTGTGCCATCGAGAATGGCTTGGTACAGATCGCGCTGCATCGTAGTGAGAGGTGCGTACAGCACGTATTCGCGCTTCTTCGGCATCAGGCTTTCTACGTCCGTCTTCACGCGACGAAGCAAGAATGGCTTCAGCACCGCATGTAGCGACTTGACCAAATACTGCTGCCGCTCTTCCGAGAGGAGCTGCTCGTAGCTATCCTTGTCTTTGAGTCCAGAGAAGTCAAACCAGCTTTCGAAGGTGGACAGCTTGTCAAACACGGTGGGGAGCAGGAAATGCAGCAACGACCACAGCTCAGTGAGGTTGTTTTGCAGGGGAGTGCCCGTAATAAGCAAGCGATTGGCGGACTGGAACTGTTGCAGTTCGCGAATCAAGCGACAGTCGAGATTCTTAATGCGATGGCCTTCGTCAATGATGATGAACTGCCAGCCGAAGCTCGTCAAATATTTGCGATCGTTCATGCATATCTCGTAGCTCGTTACCATGATGGGAAATTGATCTGTGCCGGGATTCCGAAGACGCGTCTTGCGCAGTCTTTCGCGCTCCCTTTTGTCACCATGGTAGAGCATGACCGGCATACTTGGTGTCCACTTCTCAAACTCAGCTACCCAATTGCTTGTGGTGCTGAGCGGCGCAGCAATCAAGAACGGACCGTACGATTTGTTCTCCCACAAATGCGCAAGCATGGCAATGGTCTGGATTGTCTTGCCCAGGCCCATTTCATCTGCCAGGATGCCGTTTATGCCGTTCTCGTAGAGGGACAGCATCCATTCGAGACCTTCCAGCTGGTATGAGCGCATTGTCCCTCCCACCACAAGTTTCGGTTGCCGCGCAGACCTGAGATTCTGCATGCCAATGTCGCTCGTCTTCACCGTGTCGTCGTCATCGGCAGCTTCCTTGAGCGCGTCTGCCACGCTTGTCTGGTCTATTTTCTTCTCAATATCCTCCTTTTTGAAGTAGCTTGAGATCTTCGAATCCTCCTTCTTTGGCCTTCCACGACCCTTCTTCTTCGACCCTGATTTGTCTTGGGCAGCTTGTGGTGTAGCATTGCCACTGGCCGCCGATCCTCGTGTTGCTCTTCGTTGCGACTCGGCTGCGGCCTTTTCGGCGTTCTTCTCGCGTTTCGAGGCTTGGCCTTGTGTCTTCTCGTCCTGCACCTTCTCTTCGTCCTCTTGACGTTGCATCTGCGCAAGCATGACCGTCGCATACAGCTACGTCAAAGAAGTCAGCAAAGTGCACAACCCGATCGCGTCGAATACGCGTCATCGCGCGACCGTTCGCGTACTCACCTTGCTCTTGTTCATCAAGAACTCCAATTGTTGGAATTTCTTGTCCAGTATGTCTTTGCCACGTTTCAGATCTTCCTGCCTTTCCTTTTCCATTTGCGCATCGCGCTTCGCGTCGTTCTTTTCGCGTTGCACTCGCATACGCTCTTCTTCCTGCTGCATTGCATCCGATATGCCCTCAGACTCGATTTCCTTCTCCATACCGTCGGGAGGGGGAGATGATGCCGGCGTGGGCATTTTCGGTGACGATTTCGCGATTGCTGCAGCAGAGGTCATGTCGCGTAAAGGATGCCTTAATTCTGAGGTTACTGAGCGGAAGACACCAGATGCCCGGTAATATGTATACTAGCGCCAGGGGCACGTTGGTGGCGAGCAACACGATCAAGTCGTGGAGTGGAAGGCGATGCACTAGGCGTATTAAAAGCGTCATTGATCGGATCGCGAACGCGAAACGCGTCCACGGGCTATCACGTGGGTATCCCGACAGCCGACCGAGGATGCGCTAAATTCTATTCGTCAACCTTTTCAACTCGGTGCGATATACACGTCTGAACGTTCCTGCATGTAATTCAAGATCAGGCTGTTGGGTGTAACCAACGGTAAAAAAACATCTATGATGATAATCTACAGAAGTTGTCACGCCAGCCGCAGCATACCTGGACTATTCGCATCGCTTCCCCTCCGTGCCTCTTCGCTGGTCACTTCCCAGTGCGTCTCCCTTCGAATGAAAAGCCCCTTTGCACTCGCCTGGCTATTTCTATCTGACTCCATCGTTGCTTGTGATTCGAGTGCACCCCTTGAACTTGCATGACGCATCAGTTTCGGGGGTGATCGTGCGCTGGTAAATGGTCGTGGGTTTACCCGAATGGAGCCATCATCGCCCTTCCAAGGCGAGCAGCTCCCGCTTCCACTCTCTATCCTGCTGCTCTTCACAGGTGATAGCTGGTAACTATCAGCGTGTTGCTGTCCGCTGCCCCCGTTTCGTCCATTGGATCCAGATTCGTTCGAAGAGCCGATGGTCGCTTTGACACCGCTTCCAGTGTCGAAGCTGCGGATGAAGCTTTTCAGACATGGCAGTGTAGCTGCCAGTAACGACACGCACAATTCTGCTTGTTGGAAGACGATGGCAGGAGTTCGATGGGCCCCAGGGTTTTCGCCAGTCAGGGACTGTATCCACGCCCTCAACGACATGCTAGCCAGAGGTATGAGCGGTAGACGAAATGCAAACACGGATATGACCTGTAGTTTGAGCTTGATGGACATTTGTAACTGCCAGGTCAGATAGCTAGGGATCATGATAAGGATTGTGTCAGTGATGGTGTCGGTGACAGCCACAAACTTGTATCGTGCATCAATGCCTGGGCACGTTTGTGACGCGGTCTTCGGCGCCATGCTCTGGGGTGAACACCCCACTGAGACCAGCATCGCAGCCAAGATTGTCCAGACCATGAGTACCGCGGTGAAGATGTGACACGTTATCGACACCTTCTTCATGTCGCGCGTGAATAGTCGCTGTATAAGGAAGATCGTGGCAATCTTTGAGACGCCTAGCGAGATGTAGAGCGCGACTTGGTTACCGACCTGCGACTGGTGAATCATAAGCTGTTATTGTCCGTGTTGCAACAACAACCAAAAATACGTACAGCAGCCATCTTCTTGTAGTCATCTTGACTGAGCAGGTCAAAGTTCTTTGCCAGGCCAGCCGACAGCGATATGAGGAGGAGTGCAAATTGCACAAGACTGGTAAACTGACTAGGTCAGTTGAATGTCGTTTCGTAAGGTAGTAATGGTACACACCTGGGCACCCAAAGCTGCCGCGTCATCAAGACCCAGCACGTGCCATTTGATGAAGCACCGCGTGATGGTGGTTAGACTAGAGTATGTAAAGGTCAAGAAGGCAACAATGTAGAGGATGCCGCTACGATCGTCGGCAGTTACCGTAGCCCAGCGATAGCCGGTGTCGAGTGGAGGAGGTTCCGTCATTCAGGAAGACTACTGCGGGAAACGGCACTGGCGGGACTTGACCGGATATAGCTCTCGAGTATGATTGCGAGGGCTGAAGCAGACTTGCTAGGGCCCACTGCGCTGGATTTGCTGGCGACCTTGCACCCAACACTCGTTGCCTGTCATGCATACGTACAACTGCTCAGCTATCGGGCTGGTATGAATCCGGGTTATGTAGAAACACCAAGTCATCTGCACCAGAGTGAGCAAGCCTCCCTCCGCTCGCATATTGGTCCAATCTCTCAAAACACCGAACCGAGTATTCCTGTGGTGTCACTGTGTGCAGATCATGCCCTCGCGTGAATGGTTCGCAGAAATGCACAACAGCCGCGCAGGTAGTACAGGCACAACAGCCACTTAGCCCTTGTTGAGAATGACACGGGGCTGCCGAGGAGTGACAGCCGGCGTCTTGTGGCGAATGCGCAGCAAATGGCAAAGTTGAACGAATTGGAAATGCTTCGCAGACAAAGTCGATCTATGTTCTAAGGCTGCCCAGTCAATTGCACGGCTGCGCATAATTCGAATGATCATGGGATTGTGAGGTCTTGTGTGGTACACGAGCGCCATGCCGAAGCAAGGAGACGGTATGTGAAGTTGTTGTTCAAGAGCATCCGCTGGTTGGCGGCAAGGGGTCCTGGATTCGCTCTAGGGCCGTCCCGAACTAGCTAGCCAAAACCCACATCATCTCATCTTCCACCTCCCTCGACACCGCATACTTCGCACACTTCATCATCGCACAACCATATCACGCGCTGACTGCCAGCTTGGTCGATCGTTTGCCTCAAGAGGATGCGTGCGGTGGAAGAAAATGACTCCCTTGGCTATTTCCTTCATGTTCTACTTGCTACTGCCTCGACTCTGTGCCAACTAAGGATGCAGCATTCTTTTTGGAGCTGCTCTTTCGCCTTGTGCGCACCCGCGTGTAGCATATCATGCCGCCAGCCATCATACAGATGCTGCAAACCCCTTATGTTACTTGCACTGCATAAGCAGTGACGCAACTGATGCGTTTGTGGTGCGATCGCATGTTGTATGCCGATCAAAATGGCAGGGCGTTTACGGCGCTCGAGCTCGATATGCGGGTAAACACCTTTAAGGATTTGAAATGCGCCATGACTGATGCACAGAATGGACCAGGTCTCAGGAAACCTTACATGCTAATCTCCGAGCTCGCTACCAAAGCCACGGAAAGAAAGAAGCGTTCAAAGGCTCGCATAGTCAAACGCCCTCGCATGATCTGCGATCGGTGTTACATTTTCGGCTGTGAGACTGGCAGCCGTTCTGCAGCAAACGCTGACAGTTGATGAACGATTTCCGCTGCATCATATTCCTGTCATATACTTGTCTTCGGTAACACCGCTGTTTCGGTTCTCCCGGCCTACATACTTCTCTCCTTCCATCTCGCCTGCGCGTCTGTTATCGTGGATCTGAGGACCTGCATCATGTCGATTACCAAAGCTGACGCTGACATTGAGCTGCACGACAGCGACTCGCAGAAAGATGTCGTGGGCTCGGCAAAGAAGGGAACGCCCAACGATCAGAGGGACATGCATCGCATGGGGAAGACGCAGGAGCTCCGGAGGAATTTCCGATTCGTATCTATCTTCGGATACTCGATGATTTTGATGGCAACATGGGAGACCGTCCTTACGTGAGTTGCTTTTTTCAAAATGCTTCATGTCCTGAGCTAGTCTGATCTGCAAGCAGGACTCTCATGATTCCCTTGACGAACGGCGGTCCTGGCGGCGCGATTTTCACATTCCTTGGCACAGCTGTGGGAATGGGCTTCGTCATCACTTCAATGGCTGAAATGGCCTCAATGTAAGTGTCAAAGGGGATGCATCGCGTTTCTGCAGCGTGGACTGTGTGACTATGCATGCTAAAATTGGCAACGCAGGGCACCTACTAGCGGAGGACAATACCATTGGGTTTCGGAATTTGCACCCAAGGAACATCAGAAGTTCTTGAGCTATGTAGTTGGTGCGTTCCTATAGCCTGCGGTAAACGAATTTTGCTGACATTATCCAGGCTGGCTGTGCGTTCTTGGTTGGCAGACAGGAATCGCATCCATAGCGTTTTTGGCTGGCGGTCAGATTCAAGGACTGATTATCCTCAACAATCCAGCCTACGTCCCGGAGCGATGGCACGGTACGCTACTCATCATTGCAGTAGCGAGCTTCTCGATCGTCTTCAACACGCTCCTTGCGCGGAAGCTGCCCTTGGTAGAAGGCACGGTTCTCGTCCTGCACATATTTGGCTTCTTCGCCATCTTCGTCACCATGTGGGTTCTTGGACCACGGAACAAAGCCACCGATGTCTTCGGCTCGTTCCAAGACAATGCCGGTTGGGGCAGCGTCGGTCTGTCCTGCTTGGTTGGCCAACTTGCGCCAATATTCTCTTTGCTCGGATCGGACGCTGCAACCCACATGAGTGAGGAGCTGCGAGACGCTTCTCACACTCTTCCACGCGCGATGATCTGGACGGCTATTGTCAACAGCTCTATGGGCTTTCTCATGCTCATCACATTTTGCTTTTGCTTGGGAGATGTCGATAGCGTTCTCCACACTGCAACAGGTCAGCCTCATATCCAGGCTATGTTCAATGCGACCCAGTCTGTCTCGGGAGCAACTGCACTCGCATCAATCACGACCATCATGGCAGTTTTCGGCTGTGTGAACAATGTTGCAACATGCTCACGTCAGCTCTTCGCTTTTGCGCGCGATCACGGAGTACCGGGCGGTGCATTCTTATCGTATGTTCGGCCAGGCTGGGACATTCCACTTAACTCCGTCATCGTGTCGTTCGCCGTCTCGATCGCATTGTCGATGATCAACCTCGGTTCGACCGTCGCATTCAACTCCATCGCATCGCTCGGTACCTGCGCATTACTTTCATCCTACATCATCTCTATATCCTGCATGTTCGTCAAGCGCTGGCGTAATGAGCCTCTTCTGCCTTCGCAATTTACTCTTGGAAGATGGGGTATCTGGATCAACGGCATCTCGGTATTGTACCTGTGTATGGCATTGTTATTCGCATTTTTTCCGTCATACCCGCATCCGACAGCCGATCTCATGAATTGGAACATTCTGATCTACGGTTTCGTGGTCATTTTCTCCCTGGTGTATTTCCTTGCGAAGGGGCGGAAGGTGTATGAGGGGCCGGTGGAGTACATTAATCGCGATTATTAGACGCGTAGTAGCCGAATACATCAGGTCTATACATATTTCTAGAGCGACAATGAGTGCCAATGCTTTCTGCGAGTGTGCTTCGTAAACAAGCCTTCACTAGAACTGTGCGTCATTCCGTCCGGTCTTGCAATGGTACGGATCATGCAATAGTATCGACAGGAACGAGGCCAGAATTGATTGAGCTCCCTGATAGGCTTCACGTACGTGAGAACGACCTTGCTTCAGTATTGCGTGTACACGAGCCGATCTTGGCCGCATCGGAATTTATTAAGGTATGATTGCTCGAGACGATGCCTGTTGGAGCATCAATGCGAGCAGTGAATCAAGAGCAAGCTATTACAAATTCGTTTGTATCTTATCCCAGAAGCTCTATGCAAACAGTGATAAAGGATTATACTTTTTAAAAGCCTGTGTGGTTTGGGACGTCCACATAGACAGCGAGATACAGCTGTGGTATGGTCCTCGCGCATTATTTCTGGAATCTCGAGACTACAATTATTATTTGAGCCGTCCAACATTCCGTGCATGCCCCAATGATTAAAAGCGTTGGTGAATAAAGTCCGTCTTACTGTGAACATCAGTCGGCCCATTTGGACCCCAGGCAGTTGAAGCTACCAGTCGCACCCTTGTTAATGACACAACGTGCGTTATGAGAACCTTTGACCGTGGCTGACGGAGACGCAACCGAGAATGCTCGGCTGGAGGTGGACGATAATCGAACCACACTCGAAAGAGTAGAGACAACTACATTGCATTTGTCATAGAGAAGATCACATACTTTGCCACAGTACGCGATTCGTGGAGCTACACCAATTTAATATAAGAATCAAGTATTTCATGCTTCGCTGAATTGGACAACTTGCTGCTCTTGCAGTTACGACCGCCGGCCGCAGTGCCGCATTGAGCATTTGTACTCACTCCGCCACGTTAGCTACTGAAAGCGCCACGGAGCCTAACACGACGAAGTTTCGCATAATGATTGAATTTTCAATATAGCAACCAGTTCGACATCCAAGAATCAGAGAATTGAAGTTCTTCTGTCAAGAGGATACACGTGAGGTGTTGGCTTTGTACTTTGTATCTACGGTACATGACTTGTAAAGTGCCATATTAGCGATTTGTTTAAGTCTCTGCTCGCGTGCCGTGGCCTGGAAAAGGAGCCGAATAGGCGCGAGCTGAGCCTCCATTTGCAGATTGACATAATCTTCCTAGAGCGGCTTAAATCAAGTCGGTTGACCCATGGATTAGCTCCGAACCCCTGAATGCGGGATTAGGCGATGCCGATAGCGCGATGCGTTGTGGAAAGTGATATGCGGGAGGTACTGCCTCATGGCTATTCGAAAGGTCTTTCAAGAGGTCATGACGCTACTTCGCGTTGCTCGTGTATCTTCACACAAGGGAAGGCACCCTAAGCAATGAAAATAAGGACAACAGCTCGGGCAAAAATCAAGCAATCGATGCGTCAAATCACTCCACCCATGTACCACCAGATATGTGCATCTAGCTGTACCAAACCAGATGCTACCAAGCATGTCAACACACCAGACAAGCGCAAAAAAAAGGGTCTTGCCGCGACTCGAACGCGGGGCCTCTCGCAAGCTGTGCTCGGGTTTTACCCTAAGCGAGAATCATACCACTAGCTGATTGGTTATTAGTCGGAGCTCTGAACCTAACGGATGAGTTGAACTTACACCACAAGACCATTCACGTGATTTGTAGGAGGCTCGAAAATTAGCTGTAACAGGTTGATTGACAAAAAAGACATTAAACTTGGATGCATCCGTGTTGAGGGATTAGGAGTCGAACATTGGTGGGCGGTGAAGAATTTTTGCATCTTCATTCCAGACATACAAGGTGGAGTCATTGTGCTAGTCATGACTATGCTAGCTCGTACCGACGACTAGTCGCTACATCAAACCACGACGACGAAGACTCGCGAAGAGCATGTACAATTCCAAAGCCGGGATTAGATGTGCATCACCCATCATTACAAGATAAATCTGAGAGACCACAGAATTCTGCATCTCGATGGCATCTTGCACTAACCTCGCATTGCAACACCCCATCGAACAAAATGCCTATCCAAGAAAACCTGGAAGTACAAGTCTGCACAGCAGTCTTTCCATCCGACACGCAAATCATCCCCCAACTCTTCCTGGCATACGCGCAGTCATTGCCCATCACGCTATGTTTCTAATCCTTCTACCAAGAACTCGCAGACCTGCCAGGCAAATATGCTGTCGAAAAGGGCGGAGTTATATTCCTCGCATATACGACTAATGTCACTTTAGACGAGCAATCATCCTCGCAAGGCGTAGTCGCTCTCCGCGCCCTCTAAACAGCAATATGCGAGCTCAAACGGCTATACATCTCCCCTGCCTATCGCGGCCTTCGAGTTCCAAAGAAACCAATATATGCGATGATATCCAAAGCCAGGGAACTGGGATATGCGGCGATGCTACTCGATACGTTGCGCGACATGACCACCGCGCTGAAAGTATAGATTCGCGGAAATCGAGGGGTGTTACAAACGTGTCGAAGACGCGGTGTTTTATGAATATGTCTTATAAGACAGACATGCTTTCTTCCCACAAAGTGGCTTTTCTCAGGAGCGATCGGTTATTTCTCTTACACCTCATGTGCCGCTTTGGCAATATGAGGCGATCGGTGTTCATCTGCGCGCGTTTGGAGTATGGGTCGTGCGGAAAGTGTGCTTGTAGTACGCCTTGGAGGAATGGGTGGAGCGATGGATTTGAACGTGCAATTCCACGGCGCGAGACGGGTTTGATTAGATGATTCGGGAGAAGGCGGATCATGATACGGTCTATTTGACTTCCACTCCATACAGCCGTGTGGTGGACCCGGCGCTGCAGATACGAAGGGAATGTAAGAGTTTTTTATTCTCCATTGTGATACTATCGGATTCGGACAGTTTGTTGGATAATCCCTTGACACTGGAAAGACTTCCAAGCGCGTTGTTGTGGCGCTGTGAATTTTTGTTCGAATTGGTGATATGTTTTCAATCGTGAAAAGTGAACCTCGCCCATATCCACACCACATCGCGTAACATCACAAGACCGCCGCCGCAAAACTCCACAATTCCGAAACTTATAAGGCTTTGCAGCAATAATGATTAAACATAATGTCATTTCATTCTTGATCCAAATGGGTATAATGCAAGTCCAACTAATCCCAAACCTCCCATCCCACAACGTGATCAACTAAACTGATCACCCTGCTCACTCTGCCCAACTCTGGTCCCCCTCACCCTTCCCTGCTTCAACTTCCACCTCCACCGTCTCTCCCTCTCTTCCTTCTCCCTCTCCTCCCTCAGCTTTTTCTTTCTTTCATACACGGCCCTAACTGTCCTCTTCGTGCGTTCTGCACCCTCGGCGAAATTTTCTCTCGCGAGGTTTACCACACCATCGATTTGTTCAGGCGTGTACACGAAATTCCACGTACTCATGAAATCGCTCGTCTTGGGATCTACGCCAGGGACTTTCGGGTTCGCGAGGAAAGGGAAATATACGACCGTGATGCCAGATGAGGGATGCATGAGTTCCCAGTCTTCTTCGGCTTGTTTGGAGTGAACTGGAGGTTCGTGCTCTGCGATGCGTTCTTCAGTCGTGCCGACCCAGACGTTACAGAAGCCGAGGTCTTTTTTCTTTGTCGATTTCTTCTTTTCGGCTTCGTCCTGTTCTTGCGCTTCTGAGATCTTGGATTCCGCTTGCTGCTCGGACTTGGCTTGGGCTTTGTCGAGGTCGTCTTGGAGCTCTTCCATAGTTTCGTCGTCAGGAGGCCAGCCGGCGCCGACGGGCCAGCCTTTGATGCCGCGTTGGCGGGCATAGCCTTGGGCGACTTTGAGCCAATTGTCTGTGCGGACATCGGCGCTGGCATCGAAGGCGACGAGGATGTCGACATCGCGGCCGGGCCGGAGGAGTGGGTAGATTGGCAGGTTGTTGCTCATGCCGGCGTCCATAAACTGAAAGTTCTTCTGCTCGAATATGCTCTCCGGGCAGGATGATGGTAGGAACTCGCGCAGACCGAGAGCGTAATTGGGAATGGACGCGGGGTCGATGGGATGTACTTTGACCAGGTCGTCGTCGCGCTCAGAAATCATGGAATCGAGACTGCTGAACCCGGTAAGACCAGTCAGCACAGGCCGAATCTCCTTGTAGTAGTGCGATAGCGTTGCGCAGAAGGCAGATCCCCAGATGCCCATGAGTAGCGGCACGCGCACTTCTGGGAGAGCAAGACCATTTTCTCGCCAGACCGTTCGTCCCTTGTCAAACTGGCGTCCGATTGCCCACGTTGGAATGCCGGCTGAGAGCTCTTCGCACCACATCTCGTATGGGGTGAATTCGAACCACTGGAACCACGCTTCTCTCCTGGCTTTCGCCTCAGCGGCTACCCTGTCGGTCATGCTAGCTTGTTCGGCTAGTGGGATCTCGTGTCGCACTGCGGTGTAGATGGGTAGAGGATTGGAGCCGTCGTCGGTGAAGCGCCTTTGGTTCGAGACCTTGAAGTCATACTCGCTCACGGACAGTTCACCCTTCGGAATGAGGAGTCGCGCTGCAAGAAGTGCGCCGTAGATGTCGACGATGCCGAACTCGGCTTCGGGAATTCCTTTTGCCTTCTCAACCAAGGCACTTAAAAGATACTTGTTGGTGGGGGCGCTGACGAGGAGCTCCAAGGCATCTGGCGGGAAGGCAATGTGGATGCCGAGTCGGTTCTTCAGATGTCGGATCAGACGTGCGTGACTCTGCCCGGTAATGTCTGAGTAGTAGAGTGTCTGCAGCCAGCAGCTACCGCTGACACCGGCGGTGTATGTGACGCAGTCGAAGAGGCCTTGCTCCTTGGTGGAGAGGTATGACGATGTGCCTGCAACAAGCGCTCGCAGCCCTCCACCAGACCCGCACATGGCTATGATGGGGATATCGTCGGGGTGTATCGTGTCTTCGGGTATGTCGAGGTAGCGTGCGAGAGCGGCCTTTGTGAAGTGGGCCCTCTTCTGTCGAAATGCCTTCTCTTCCTTGCACAGCTCATCGGAAATGCGCACGGAGGCGTCCCAGACAATCTCCGGGTTGGCCTCGGGGTTGTTGGCGTCGGACCAGATCTCTTCGGCCAGCGAGCCTGGTGCCATGGACAGCTCGTCTTGCAGTTTCCGGATGAAACCGGGCATCATCTTCACCCAGGCCGGAATGACCATGTCGATCAAGGTGTCGCTGATGGACGACGCCGACTTGATGTCTGGCGGGCTGGGGAAGCTGTTCTTGATTGTCTGCCATGCCGAACTGGACTCAGAGTCGGTGTTGTCGGCCTGCTCTTCGCCGTCCTCCTTGGAGGTGCGTGACTGTGGGGGTGCATCCTGCTCTCCCGGCTTGTCCTTGTTTTGTTCGTTGATCTTTTCTTCGGCGGCTCCTGCAGATGTTGGTGCAGTCTGTTTCTGACTGCCAGAGAGTATCCTTGGGGCCCAAGAGGACCATGCCGAGGATGCATCGAGGCGGATTGGACGGGACAGAGGGAACGGCGAGGGCGCGGTCGAAAGGTAGCCAGCTGCAGCGCATGCTACCAGACAGGGCGGGCCATAGCGGAGGCTCAGAGAGGCGACATTGGATGCGCGAGGGGTAGGCCTTTTGGTGTGTATCCTGGAGAATTAGCCCCACGTGCTGCATCCCTCAAAGAAAGCGAACATACCCGCGACGCGTCCCCCGCAGCCAGAGCTGGCGCAAGTCGCGTGAACGTGTCAACAGTGCCATGAACAAGTGGGAGCGAAATAAAACGAGCGGTGGGTGTTGGAGACAGGCACAGCAAGTCACAGAGGCGGCGCAACTGGCCCAATTGGGCGGATTCCAAGTCTGCGGCTATGCGACAAGCATGACGATGGGCGTTGTCAGATGAAAGGCCGCAATCGTCCCGCGCACATGCCATTCAGGTTTTTGCCGATCAGGGAAACTCGCCGGCATGAGGTGTGCCAAGCCCCACCAGGAACCACACCCCCCACACCGTGCGGCTGACCATCACCGCCCCCACGTCTCAAGCCTTCCGCAGCCATGTCGCTGCTGCGGGAGATGATGTTCGGACAAGCTTCGGATGTGCGACTCGCCTGCATGCTTGTTCCTCAGCCGGTCACTGGAGCTGCCTCTTAGCGACACTCACCTGGGCACGATCACGAACTATTCATCCGTTTAGTCCGCATAATGTACGCAGGAGCAACTAGAAGTAAAGGTCTTCCTTGTGGTTGAAATGCTCTTGCCTCTGTTTACCGTCTTCCGTATTTCACTTATATTCTCATCGTTTGACCCCCCAGACTTCGACGGTAAGGTCAATATGCTGTGAATGGTGCTGACACGCCGCGAAATTGGGCGAAAATGCCATCATTTACTCTCTCACTACGTTGGAAGTGGCTGCTATTGTGGCACCTGTTCCGCGCGGTGTTAATAACCTCTCTCACCTGTTCACACCAGCCGCGGAGCATCTCACCTTAGCAGCCGTCTCTATAGATATCATCGATACCGTCTGCTGCTAGTCCTACATTCCTCCTGCACACCACTACTCCCTCACGACGATCTCACGTATCTCCCACACTTCTTGCCTTTTCAGCTTCCATTCCTCTTGGTCGGCAGACACTCGCACCACCGTCTAGACCATGCCTCCACGATCTCCCTCGGACCCACCTAGCTACAGCCAAGCTACAGGTCAAGGCACCATGTCATCTAGAAAGCGGAAGTTTAAGCCGGTGTACAATCCGAGCGCCAGCGAGCAGTTCCCAGATATTCCTTGGTACAAAGTGAACTACCAAGTCATCACCGATCTGGTGAATGAGATGCTCGATGAAATAATCATAAGGCTCGAGAAATATGCCCCAGGCGATTCCGGTATCAACGCCCTTCTAGAGGCGGCCGAGGAGGCCAAAAGGCTGCCAGATTTGGAGAAGTGTCGCATGGCAGTGCTGGGAGACCAAGCCGCTGGTAAGAGCACGTTACTCACTGTGCTGATGGGCGGACGCAGGCTCTTGGACAGTTCAGGCGACACGAAATCTTGTACCGCAGTCCCGACAGCCATGGTCCATAAGAAAGGAGCAGCCGACAACACCCGAGAGAGCGACATGACCATCGAATGGATGACTTTGGAGGAAATCTTGGCGCACATTCAAGAACAAATCCGTCGCTGGACAGACCTGCACCCTGGCTTCGACCATAACCTGGATGACAATCCCGGTGACGGAGAAGATATCCAGGAAAGCTCTGACGACGAAGATGAGCTTGACCCATCAACAGCTGACGAAGAGGAGCCAACCAGGTCAAAATCACAGGGTCGAAAAGCACTCAAGCTAGATGATGCTGCGTCGACTGCACAAGAATTCTTCGAGGTCATCTTCAACACAGAACGAGACAGACGCGCGAAACAGAGGCTAGAAGAGCGACTCTACAGATCAGACATACGCCTCGGCGATTTTGAGACCCTCTGTGTCGAAGCGGTGCAAATTCGCTTCCGTGAACTAGACGCAGATCTTCGAGTTCGAGACAATCTTTCACAATTTTCAGCAGTTCAAGACCGAGATCTCAGAGAGAAAAGAAACCTTGTGAAGAGACTTTGGCCCTTCGTGAAGCTCGTCACCATTGCGACTGGTCACATCCTTCTTCGTTATGGCATGTGCTTCTACGACCTTCCAGGTATTACTTGTCCTCCTTCCTTGCAAACAACAACGCTAAACATTCCAGGTTTCGGAGACACTAATCAGTTGCGCGCGGCGCACATCAACCGATACCGTTGGAAAGCCGACCTAGAGCTGATTGTGGCGGTGTCTTCGCGCATTCGGACCAATAAAGCTTTGAACAAGGAAATTGCCAAGTCCGTCCACATGAAGAAAGGTGGTGGCACAACGATTCTGGTCATGAACAAAATAGACGTATGTTCCTCACTTCCTCCGCAATGCTAGAATGCAGCTAACATTCTTGCAAGACACTTATAAACGAACGCACGATGATCGATCAAATTTCCAACATAGAGGAAGAACCCTTCCCAAGCCTTTACGAGCGCTTGTGTCAGTGCGAAAGCGAGGACATTGACGATGAATCAGGGTCCGAAATCCCTGACGAGCTACTCAGAGAGATTTTTGTTGCTTACGTACAACGCGAGAAACGACTAGTAGAGGAACAATTGCAAGGCAAAGACATTGCTTTCTTTGCGGCATCTGCTGAATCAGCTTTGGAGTGGAAGAACCGGTCGCGCAAACAAGATCCCTACCTCGATCCCGAAGGCACTGGTATACCCGCCATAGTACGCCACTTTCTGCGTGCACCAGCCGATACGAATTTACGGAATTATCACAACCATGTCACCAAAGTCCTCCCTGCATGGCGCGCTAGGGCTTTGCGAGTGCTCACAAAACATACTGAAGATGAGCATTATGCCAAAATGCGCGAAGATTTATCAGCAAAGATTCCGTGCCTAGCGATCCGACTTCGAGAGCTTGTTCCGAGTCTCTTAGAGCAGACCATATCTGCCCCATGGTCCTGCGAAGATGAGCCAAAAATAGTCGACAAGATCAAGGAGTTGTTTGACAAACTTTGGAGAGACCCAAAAATAATGTACACTGGATGGAGAAAGATGCTGCGAGAGAATGGCATTCCAGTCGCTGGTGTCTACGTCGACCGCAATCTCAACGAGGATGTGCTTTCGACAATCGAGGCGATCATCAATGACTGGGCTAATAAGATGACGGAAGCAACGGACGGCCTTGCTGGAAGTCTCTTGCAGTTGGTCAAAGAACTGGTCTCGGCTACTTTTAGGGACATCAACATTTGCAATTCGACTCCAGAGCTCAAAGACGCAGCTGCAGATGCACTTGAGGAAGCAGAGGGTGAGATTGAAGCGTCATACGACACGCTACTCAACAAACTCAACAGCAGTCTTGACGAGAACCACCTACACTTCACAACTGAGATGGACATAGAATGTCCCATTGCAAAGGCCATGAAACCAAGTTACGAGCGCGCGTTGGATGAGCGATTTGTCCAAGGCGGAAGAGGCATTTACAAGCGCCAGAAAAAGGTGCTAAAGGACTCTATGCTCAAGCCCAAGAAGCACTATGTACGACTTGAGGAAGACGAGCAAAAGATCGAGCCCTTGATTGACGCCTTGAAAGAGAAGCTCATGAGCCGACAGCGCGAGCTCTGGACCCAGAACTGCACGGCATTTATCGACAGTGTCATTGAACAGCTCGAAGAATTCTGCCAGACTGCTAAAGACCTCCTCACTGATGCCGACTTCATGAGCAAAGAGCACCAGGAAGCTCGAGCTGAACTGAAGGAGCTGCTAGAACAATTCGACGACAGTCTCGATGAGGTCCAGGAAGAGTTCGCAAATCTCGGGCTCGAAGCACCTGTGAAGAAGATCAAACTCGAGCCGACTGAAGACTCTGGCGTAGAGCCCACGTTTGCGGAGCCCAGCCACTTCGATCCTACGGAGCCTGCGCCTGAAGACGTGCCTTCGGTCCCGATTGTGCAGAATCTTGGATGGCATCATTTCTTGGCCAATCAGTATCCGCTGAAATCTCAATGAGTAATTTACAGGTCTTCACTGGGCCTGATAATCTTCCATGGCTTATTCCATCTGTTCCTTATTTCATTTCTCCACGGCACGGGTTTCTTCATTTTTCATGCTTCCTACCAAAGTGGTAAACAGATGAGCATTCTCCGAGTCATCGATACCTCACATTACTGATTGAACGGGGTTGCATTTATGATATTCAAGCGACATCAGGATTGATTTGCGCACAATTTTCATTCTCTTACAGACTGGCAAGGGGCATGGAAAGTGGACAACATGGGAGAGCAAGTATCAGACTGGGGCATGTTTGGTACATGAAAACAGGAAGAAAATGTATTGAACTACTCAGTTGAATTATGCGTGCTGCAGAATCATCTCTTCGCGATGTGGTGAACATGTGAAGGGGTTCGGCGGCTGAGGCAGCAAGACCCTGGTCGTCATAGCTGCGCTACCACGGTCCAGCTCTCCGCAAGCATCCCCACGCCAAACCTCTTACACCAGCTAACCTGTGCTGCGGCCGTCGCTACTATGCCCCTAGCTTCACTTCTTGGTCGCATTGTATAATTATCCCCAACCCCCCGTTGTACTATTACTACCGCCGCGCCCGCCACCGCCGACTGAGGCGCTGCGTTCTTTCCCCTCGTCAACCCCCCGGGGTAGCTACCATGGTCGCCCCACGCAAAGCCGCGCTCGCGGAGGAGAGCGCCGAGGTCGAAGTCTTGTTCGCAAACATGGACAAGATGAAGACGCTCACGAAAAAGATCCAGGCCAGCGTCAACAGACTGGATGCCAGCGGGAAGGCAGTCCAGGAGGCGATCAGCCCGATATACGGCAACACCCAGAAGCTGCAGATCGCCAATACGAACATTGACAGGGTCATCGAGGCAATCGAGAGGCTTAGAGCCCCGCGCGAGCAGACGGATCGCGAGGAACGCGTTATTCGCGCGGGGCCTGGCAGAGGAGACCTCCGCGACTACATTGCTTCGCTGGACCGCACTGCAATTGCGCTCACAGACCTCAAGCGCACCAATCTCCGATCCAACGAGAAGGCTGTGGCGCAGCTCGCTGGGCTCCTCAAGCTGGGCAACAAGCAGCTGGAGGATGTGTTCCGAGGCATACTGAACGACTGCTCTCGCGAGAAGGTGCAGCCGCTGGAATATGTTGCTAAGAGTGCGTTGTCTTACAGAGCTTGAAGTTATAGTCTAACATGCTACAGACAACCCTTTCCCTCTCGTTGCCCCAGAGAAGCTCTCGACCCTGCGCGCAATCAACGCCCACATCTCCAAGTCATTCGGCCAGCTATCGCAAACAGACGTCTCGCAGACACCGACTCAGCGGATATATGCAGATGTCCGCGGCGGATACCTCGAAAGCTCTCTCGCCAGCCTCGCACAAGCGTCCATTAGCACGGCAAGGAAACTGCAGGCCGATGCGCTGTACAAGAAGGGCACGAATGGCATCGGCACGTACGTCGCAGCGATTGAGGGTATCTTCGTGGCAGAGTACGATAACATCACGAACATCTTCCCGCGGGAGGAATGGAGCTCCGTCTGTGAGGCGACCTGCCAGGAACCGTTGGGCGAGTTCAGCAAGACCCTGCGTGAGCTGAACGGGCACATTCAGAAGAACTTGCTGACTGACTGCTTCTTGGGATACGAGATCTGTGGCATGGTTAGGCGCCTATCTATTCGACTGCAGGACACGACAGGAGCTCTCAAGGGGCAAATCTACGACAGCGTCAAGCCGGTGCGGGAAACGTCGAAGATGTCTATGGGCAAACTCCTCGACGATGTGAGAAGCAAGACACAGAGTCTGATCGCATTGCCGATCGATGGCGGAGCGGTGCCAATTACTACGGAAACAATGCGACGTCTGCAGGAGATGACTAACTACCTGGAGCCACTGTCGTCGATACTGGCATCACTCGGAGAAGGAGGCTGGAATGCTGGCTCGGCGAGCAACTCGTCGACTACTTTGGATGTTGGCCCGGATTCTATAAAACTGTTCGGGCAGTATGCAGCTGACACCATCGACACGCTGCTGTCAAATCTTGCCGCAAAGGCTAGGGCGCTGCTCAAGGGCAAGAACCTGCAGGGCATCTTCATCGCGAACAACGTCGCGATCGTCATACGCATGATCCGCTCTTCAGAGCTGGCGCCCCTCTTGGACATCAATTCCAAAAAGATGGTTGACTGGCGCAAGCAGGGCACGGCAATGTACCTCGAGGCTTGGCGCGAGCCATCCGGACATCTGCTTGATGTGCAGTACACGAACCGTAGCAAGGAACGACCACAGTCTGGCGGCCTGGACTCGGCAGCCATTGTCAAGGCTCTCGGCTCGAAGGACAAGGACGCGATCAAGGAGAAGTTCAAGAACTTCAACACGAGCTTCGACACGCTGGTCGCGAGCCACAAGGGTTACGCCATGGAGCCCGAAGTGCGCAATCAGCTGAGCAAGGAAGTACAGAACATCATCGAGCCGCTGTACATCCGCTTCTACGACCGGTACCGCGAGATTGATAAGGGTAAGGGCAAGTATGTCAAGTACGACAAGAGCGAGTTGGTCAAGGCATTGTCCAGCTTTGCATAGTAGCGACTGCGGCGTTGATTTGGATTTTGCGCACAATACCCTTTTGGACTGCATTGCATAGGCGTCTCGGGCTGGATAGATATCGTTGGAGTACATGGCTGGGAGCGTTGTGATTGGATAGGCTTTACAGAATCGATGACCCACTGTGTCGCATACGCCGTCTACGGGGCCACACTTGACAGACGTGTGAGATGTTCCCTGCAGGTTTACGACAGATCAATTCTACAGCGCTTGAAACGACTTGGTAGACATAAAGTGCTTGCTCGTGCCTTACTGCCCATACGTGTAATTACCGAGCGCTGTCACACGTGACGAAATCCTCTTTGGGGGAGCGCAACAGCACAGTACGCGACTGCCTTGCGGGTACAGCAGCAGAGCACAGAAACCTCCTCCAACGCAGCTGCAACCTGTCAATTGCATCCGCCGCCAACTCGCCTCCTCTCGAGTGAATGCACATCAATTCCCACAAGTAATCACACATGTCTGCGCGCTGAGGTCAAGGCGGGGAGTTTTCGGTCTAGCGCCCATTTCTTCGACGTTGCTCTCCAATCCCTGCGCGGACCCCTTTCCTCCAGCAAGACGAAGCGCACCACGACTTCCTTCCCAGCTTCGCTCTCTCCACCCAACACCACGCCATTATCACTTGCACCCTCTGCATCTCCTCGCCCCATTGCTTTGAGTGCATCCATCACTCGACAGCATACCTACCGCTGCCTGGTACGCCAAACTCTCCTGACGCCGCGTTTCACTATTTCTCCAGGTTCTTGCTTGGGGTCGCGTCGCTGCTTAATATATTGTTTCGCGGCCACCACGGTCAGCAACATCGCCAATTGGACACGTCCGCTGACATTGCACTCAACCTGCAGGAGTCTCTCACTTGACGACACTTTGTCTGCACACGCGGTCCTATTCACACCATGGGTAAGGAGCTCTCCCAACCTCATTCCCGGCCAGGCATCGTGGCACGGAGCTAGCGGTGCCGGGCATATTTTGCGGCTGGGTACAATGATGCGGCAGCTGGGTGCATCACGTTGCAGCGCAATGGCTGCCACTGCCGCGTTCGCCGCCGGCTGTTGATATTTCTTGCGGCAGGGGCTAACAACACCCACAGAAGCGAATCTCGCATCCCCCGTTGCCCCTACGCGTGCCTCCCCATCGCCTCCCACCTCTTCGAGCGGCCCATTCGACATGGACGAGAGGTCCAACGGCCAGCCACAAGCCCCCCAGACCGTGTCCGCGAAGAACCCCAAGGCTGCAGCCGCCATGGCCAACGACATGAACATCGTGCGCCGGAAGCTCACCGGCTACGTTGGATTCGCGAATCTGCCAAATCAATGGCACCGCAAAAGTGTGCGCAAGGGTTTCAACTTCAACGTCATGGTTGTCGGTACGTGTCATCCCTGCTGGGAGAGCGGCAGCAGACTAACATAGCACGCAGGCGAGTCTGGCCTCGGAAAGTCTACCCTAGTAAACACTCTTTTCAACACCTCGCTATACCCGCCCAAGGAGCGCAAGCCCCCGTCCCTCGACATCTCCAAGACCGTGTCCGTACAGTCCATCAGCGCCGACATTGAGGAGAACGGCGTCCGTCTGCGGTTGACCGTTGTCGACACTCCCGGTTTCGGCGACTTCATCAACAACGATGAGTCCTGGGATCCCATTGTCAAGAACATTGAGCAGCGATTCGATGCCTACCTCGAGGCCGAGAACAAGGTCAACCGCATGAACGTTGTCGACAACCGCATCCACGCTGTTGTCTACTTCATCCAGCCCACTGGCCACTCCCTGAAGCCCCTCGACATTGAGGTTATGAAGAAGCTCCACACCAAGGTCAATCTGATTCCCGTCATCGCCAAGGCCGATACCGTCACTGATGATGACCTGGACAACTACAAGAAGAGGGTAAGTACATTCACAATCATCACCCGAGGGCACCAACTGACAATGCCTAGATCCTTGCCGATATTGCGTACCACAAAATCCAGATCTTCGAGGGCCCCCGCTACGAGCTTGACGACGAGGAGACCATTGCCGAGAACCAGGAGATCATGAGCAAGGTCCCCTTCGCCGTTGTTGGATCCAATACCGAGGTGACCACCCCAGATGGCCGCAAGGTTAGGGGCCGACAGCTTCCATGGGGTGTTGTTGAGGTCGACAACGAGGAGCACTGCGACTTCGTCAAGCTACGACAAATGCTTATCCGCACCCACATGGAGGAGCTCAAGGAGAACACCAACAATGCGCTCTACGAGAACTACCGATCTGAGAAGCTCACTTCCATGGGTGTCCAGCAAGACTCGACCGTCTTCAAGGAGGTCAACCCGGCGGTCAAGCAGGAAGAGGAGCGCTCGCTGCACGAACAGAAGCTCCAGAAGATGGAGATGGAAATGAAGATGGTGTTCCAGCAGAAGGTGCAGGAGAAGGAGAGCAAGCTGCGACAGAGCGAAGAGGAGCTGTACGCCCGCCACAAGGAGATGAAGGACCAACTCGACCGCCAGCGCATGGAGCTGGAAGAGAAGAAGTCCCGCATCGAGTCAGGGCGGCCGATAGAAGAGAAGGGCAAGAGGAAGGGTTTCTCCCTCCGCTAAGCACCGGCGGCCTAGCAGTCGGCTTGCACCTCGTCGCCACGCGTGTCGCACAGGTCAAGCAGCACACGAGCCTCTTCACCCTTCTCATCTCCCTCTTACCAGACCTTGTTTAATATAATGCCTCTTGACGATATCACTGGGTGCTATCGACAAAAAGCATACTCCTAAGCGGTCAGCTCTTGGGGATGAAGCACGACGATGTCATCTCTTGGTCAGTTGTCCGGGTCGTTGATTGATACCAACATGTTTGCGCTCTCTTGCGGGTTTCCCTTACTTCTCTTCGCTTTCTTATTATTTAGTAGCTGGGCAGCTGTTCTTCAGAGGGCGGAGGGGAGAATGTGAGGGACAGCTTCTTTACATGTATTCTACACATTATCCTAGTAGCGAATTTCATTTGTGGGCAACGGATGGCTTTTTGACATGTGACGAGATGGGTTGCGTGAAACTACACATGAAACTAGAAACAAACATGACGTGACCATGCTTCCCCAAACCACGCCTCTGCGAAAACAGACATGGCGCTCGCATGGCCGCCCTGTCGTCGAGGCTGATGCGATCGCCAGGGTGCCGCAAAAGCGTGGAAGGCTAGTGGTAGGTGCGTCAGCGTCAAGGCATTTCGTCACCACCCAAACGCCCGAATTTCTGGTTTACGTGCCCGCTTCCTGCCCACTTCAAAGACACGACCTGTCTTCGCCTTTGCACTCTCTCCTCCCCAAAAGTTGATCGCTGTATCGTGAAAGTTCCGCTGTACTCGGACTCTTTACCCCAATCTGTAAGTAGGAAGCTTCTGTCACGTTCTGCAGCATCATGAGCGGGTCCCGAGTGCCGGCCGACCACGACCAGGTCCCAGCCACCGCTCTTGACAGATTGCACCTCGACCTCTCCACAAGGCTGCAATCAAGTCAGGACAGCTCGAGAACCTCAACCTCAGCCCATTGAGCGCTGTATCGCCGCACATTGAGTCCCGCTGACCATTCCAAGCTACCAATTACGTAGCCCACACGACAGCCGCGAATTCACACAATGGCCCCTCCACCGCCAGCCAACCTCCCGCTGGGACAGCGCCTCGCCGCTCTCGCGCAAACACTGCAGTTTGCGTGGTTTGCCGGACACGTGACACTCCTGCTCGCTACTCTGCGTTACAGCCTGAGCTACATCACCTTCAACTACTATTCGAGATGGGCTAGCTTCTCCTACCGCGTCGCCTTCCTCTCCGCGTGCGTCACATATGGTATTGTCGTCTACAAGGCATACCGCGCACGCATGAGGACCGGCAAGCAGGGCGGAATCCTGACTCTCGCAACCGACGAGAATGTGCAGTACCTGGGTATGTTGTTCTCCCAGGCTTACGTAGCTTGATCCCCCCGCAGCAACATAGGCTAACGCTATCTGCAGTCATGGCACTTATCTGGCTCTTCTCCCGCCAGATCCCGCTTGCCGTCACGCCCTTTGCGGTCTACTCCGTCTTCCACGTCGCTACTTACGTGCGCTCCAACCTGCTGCCTACCATCCAGCCACCTCCCGCCTCCGCCGCCGCTGGCTCCAAGCCCCCAGCGTCGGGCGCCTCTGAGGCCATTGGCAAGTTCGTTAAGGAGTACTACGATGGCAGCATGACGCTTGTCGCCCTGCTCGAGATCGCGCTCTGGTTCCGCGTCGTCGGCTCCGCGCTGCTCTTCCAGAAGGGCAGCTGGATCCTGCTCGGCGTCTACACCGTCTTCTTCCGCGCCCGCGTCGCGCAGAGCAGCTTCGTCCAGGAGGCGATTCACTCGCTGACTGCACGCATTGATGCGCAGCTGGCTAACCAGAGCACACCCCCCGCGGCCCGCAATGCGTGGGGCACGTTCAAGGGTATCATCCGCCAGGCGGGTGATGCGACTGACATTCGCAAGTATGTTGGTGGCCAGCAGGGCGCGCCCAAGAAGGCGCAGTAAGCCTCGAGAATGTTTACGACTTGTCCACCAAACCTGTCTCCAGCGGCGAATAGGTGAATTTGCTGTTGGGGATCCTGGGGTATGAATCTTGACGACGTTATGGCAGTCATGAGGATGCTGGAAGCGTGTGTGATGGAAGGGTTTCGAATAAATATCCTACTGTAAGGAATCGCGGAGGGGAAAGTGGTACGAAATGAAAACAAGAGACGCAGAAAGGGTGGACGATGGATGGAAGTGAAGCAGTTGGTATCACCGACCGAGGAGGACTTTTGTCTATCTTACTTGGATGATGGGAATCGTTTTTCTAGCTGTGTGGTGTGGAGCAAATTTGATATCATATTTTCGTTACTACCTCGATACGAAGATTGATGTGTGTAATCATTGAGTGGTGTTGACGATTCAGCCGCACTCTCCCGTCTCCCGCCTTCGCAATGTCCACACAAACTTTACGACTTACTCAAGCACAGACCTGTGTTCACCCGGTGGGCGGATGTGGCTTTTTGGACGAGATCGAGATGGCATCGTGGCTTTCATACCTTATTGGAAACTTGGGCGGGCTTGAAGAGGAGATGAGTGATGAAAATTCACGAGTCGCTGTAAATCAGGTGGTGTTTTTCTGGGAGATTCAAGTCGTAGTGATGGATGGTTCGGTGGAAGTAAATTCACAGACGTAGGGGCAGTGCGATGTGGAGCGTGAAGATGTACCGAGTACGGGTTCTCCTAATAGGTGTATACATACCTACCTACCATTCGGGACCTCAACATGCGTCACACGATGAAAGCAGAGACGTGGGAATTCCGACATATTCTTGCATTACATCGACGGTGTGTCCAGCGCATCGCAGCCTCGTTCAAACAGAGCTGTGCTATTCTCGTAGTTCTGCACGTTCGCACGTCGGACGCTCCTCGGGTGCATGTGTTTGGTGTTTAATGGCTCTCCTTTCCCTTTCCGATCGCGTTGCTATTCTCGTCACGCACCCAGATAATAGGGACCTCGGACAATTTTCTGCATGCACAGTGTCGGTTCAGGTGCGAACGTCCCTCTCGGCGATATGCTGTATCCGCACGGCACGTTCTTCCAATATTCCACGCATCAGCAAAGTATCCACATCAGCCCCATATGCCGTGCACAGAACCACACCTCGGAAGCATGGCAGAAAATAGACCTCTGTCGTGTGGATAGACAATACGACATTGCACCACCATGGCGAAGAAAAAAGTACTCGGGGCGCGTTTTTTATCCACAGCGGGAAAGGATACGAGTGAATAGCTGATCAGGCAGTGGCCAAGTCCTAGATGCTAGCAACTTCGGAAGTACGCGAGAGCCGAACACCCGCCTGCTTTCGTGAACGGGAATACTGGCGGTGAAGGATAGATCGTGTGTGCCCGAGGCTACTGCAGGGTAACTGAACCTTGGACATTGCGAACTGTTTTGTTCCGCTTCGCTTGAGGCTTAGAAGCTGAATTTGGCTTGAACATGGACGTGTGGAATTTGGCGGCAGATGGTGCCATCGACACAGGGGTTCCGTAAGTTCCGCGGCACAAGCTTTTGGTGGTTCGGGATCATGGATGTGGATGTCGATGTGAATGTTGCCATGTATTGTACCGTGAATATATTTGGAGATTGAAGTGGGTTGCGTACTCTACTATACAATACATGCACTTTACTTTCGCCCACTGTACGGAGGTCTCGAACAAGTCAACCAAAACCTAACCCCTACCCACAATAGAAGGCACATCCCTCATCCCATCCCCACCGCAACCCATCTTTACTGCCAACTTCCCTCTCTATTTTCTCTCCCGCTCAAACACATCGTCTTCGCGCATAGCAAGCGTGACGCTGCCAAGATAATTGGCGAAAAGACGGGTTCCTTGGATCGTGGGTGGCACGGCAGGGGTAACAGCGCTATCGATAATCCCGGCCTAGCAACAAGGAGGAGCCCGCCCGCTTTCACCGTTTCGATAATTGTGGGCAGGCTGGTTGAAGCGGAGGGTGAGGAGGGAAGGTATATAGGGCTGGGAGGGACCCGCCGGGTGAATTGGATACTATTGTTTGAGTAAAGAGTTGATAAAGAGAGGGTTGTTTGCTTGCGACGGTCTACGAATACACAAATCACTACGACTTACGATCACGACCACGACTATTTGTTTACACCACAACCAACACGCATTCCTGGAGAAAGATTTGGCGCGGAATGAACACGATGGAATACTACTCACCTGCAATGTCTGTCATCAGCGACATGACCGACGAAGAGCTGGACAAGTACTTCGCAACCTACATTCCGCTGTCGAACCTCCCCACGCCTCCGCCAGCAAAGGAGTCGCACATGAACACCACCAGCACAACGACATCATCACAAACGCAGACCAGCCCCTCGTCCGAAATACAAGGTATGTTTCTCCTTCATGTTCCATGCATTCCCTCGCTCGGCCCCGGCCTCAAATGTTGGAAGTTGCTCGCGCGAGACCCACGGGCCGCTGCGTTTCCCCTGCATATCTTGGTCCCACGTCATTCCTTGCTCAACATCATGGAGTTGATCCACTTTGCCTGCTGTTCCTGGCGATCTGGCCGACACGTTACATCCCTCGGACCCTGACTGACGTGCCTATGAATAGTATACGCACAGCACCTGGCGAAGAGCGTGCCGGGCTCGCATGTCGATGTCGTATGTGGATTTTTGCAGCGCGCAGAATGCCCGGATGAGGTTGTGGGTTTTGCGGCGTGTGTGCTCGAGGGGTTGAGCGGGCGGTTTGAGAGAGTAGATTCCGATATTGTTGTACTCGCAGCACTGGCTCTAGCACACGGCTTTCTCGTCGATCGATTGCGCTCGTCACGGCACTGGGCGGTCAAGGAGAGCTGCGGCATGTTCAGTGTCCGCGAGATCGAAGCGGCGAAGAGGGCGATACTAGAGGATCTGGACTATGGACTGTTCAAGATCAAAAACGAGGCGGTGCAGAAGATGCTGGGGGAGATGAGGAGGCCGAATACGCTGGTGAAGAAACATGATCGAAGACGCACGCTTTCGATTAATCTTCCTGGAGCGGCGGTTTGGAGCTTTGGGGTGCAGACGCCTGAGCCGAGTCCTTGAGGGGGGATATTGAGATCGCGTTTGGAGGAACTGCTGCTCGAAACACACGAGCAGAATCCTGGAGGAGTCACAACGACATCAACCGCAGTCGATGAGACGAAGTGGACGACATATTCTTTGCATTTCTTGCATTGCTTTCATCAAGCGTTTCTGGGCGTCTCGGGATACGGCGCCTACATCTGGTCATCTGGAGTTCTGGAAGGATTACTGGGCACAATGTCTGGATAGACACGGGTTTTTCGGTGGCCTGATGCACACGCACACAGTGCAGCATCTTTTTTTTTCATTGCTTCGCTCGCATGATACCCTCAGCTCTGGACGGCGTCCATCTGAACCCGCACGCATCGCCAAAGAGGCGGTGAAGTCGCTTTTGCGTTGTTCGCGTTGTTTGTAGCACTAATATCGATGCATACATAATTCCTCGATGCTGCACGTCGTCAAGTCGGCCCTGACTTCCCGTGATTTGTCCCGCGCAGAGGTGTGGAGGGGCAACGCATCTCGACGTCACCCTGCCGTCCGTATGCAGTCTGGCCATGTCCTCAAGTCACGCTTCAACGCGCGGAAGGCCTGGCTAGCGCGCTGGCGATGCAGCAGAGTATTGGCCCAGAGTCTCCGCGTTGGTGTTGTGGGGTACAGAAATGGTCGCGCCTACCCCACCTCGTCGTCGCTCCCGCACACTTCTGTTGGGAGCTTGCATGAAGCTGCATATCCATCCCTCAACACTTGGGATGGAGCTGTCAGCATGTGCATTCCCCGCGTTGGGATAACCGCTAAACTGTACCGTCTTTGGTGGCGTGAAGATGCGGAAGCGTGATGGCTCTCGCCAGCGCTACTGTCCTTTGAGCTTCCTGCAGCGTAAACTGTAAACTGCTCGTCTTGTGCATGCATCCATTGGCCTTTGTCAACACTTCGGCGCGATAGTAAACACCCTTTTATAAGCTAGCCGCCGTCGTCGCCGTCGCCATCTCTACCTGCTACCTACTCTTCTTCGTCCCCCTCCTCCTCCTCCCCCTCCACCCCGCCATTCCCCCCTGCGGCACCGTCACTCTCTCAGCAACTCTCGCGTCTCTGCAATTGACGTGCTCAAGATGGCGGCCACAGCTCCTGCTCCCCGCGAGCGCAGGCCCTCGACCAGCGCCCCCATCTCCGACCTGCAGGGCCCCGTCGGCCCCAGCTTCTCTCGCCCCAAGCACAAGCGCACCGTGACGGGTTTCGGCCCCAGCGACATCCAGAGCGTCGAAGCCAGCATCCCAGAGCCCCAGCGCGAGGCCTGGAGGAAGTTTGTGAGTTGATCGACGCGGCTGCTTGCACTGCGGGGTAGCTTCATGTGGGGTTGCTTGTGATGTGTTACTGATGGCGATCAGATGCCCAAGCCGTTCAGCACGCCCGAGGACTTTGAGAAGGAGGCGGTCAGACACATTGAGACGACGCTTGCACGCTCGCTGTTCAACTGCGATGAATCCGCGGCGTATGCGGGTACGGCGTTGGCGTTCAGAGACCGATTGGTCTTGGACTGGAATAAGACGCAGCAGAGTCAGACATTTGCTGACCAGAAGCGCATTTACTGTGAGTTTTACTGGACTTGGGATAGAAGGAGTGGAAGCTAATGAGAACAGATCTGTCCCTCGAGTTCTTGATGGGACGAGCCCTCGACAATGCTATGCTCAATGTTGAGCAGAAGGATGTCGCCTCCAGTAAGTCTCCCTTTCTTCAACACTGCCATTGGCTTCTCTAACACACCTCCAGAGGGTCTCGCCGACCTGGGCTTCCGCATGGAAGACGTCATCTCGCAAGAGCACGATGCCGCGCTCGGCAACGGCGGTCTCGGACGTCTGGCCGCCTGTTTCCTCGACTCGATGGCTTCGCTCAACTACCCGGCCTGGGGCTACGGTCTGCGCTACCGCTACGGAATCTTCAAGCAGGAGATTGTGGACGGATACCAGGTCGAGGTGCCAGACTACTGGCTCGACTTCAACCCGTGGGAGTTTCAACGCCACGATATTGTCGTGGACGTGCAGTTCTACGGCCATGTCAATCGCTGGCAGGACGATGAGGGCAAGCAGCAGAGCTCGTGGGAGGGCGGCGAGATTGTCCAGGCGGTGGCTTTTGATGTGCCTGGTGAGTTGACGAAGGATGATTGTGTGGATGTAAGTTGCTAACTGATATAGTCCCTGGATACAAGACTGGCACCTGCAACAACCTCCGTCTGTGGGGCAGCAAAGCGGCGAGCGGCGAGTTCGACTTCCAGAAGTTCAACTCGGGCGAGTATGAGAGCTCAGTGGCGGATCAGCAGCGTGCTGAGACGATTTCTGCCGTGCTCTACCCCAACGACAATCTCGAGCGTGGAAAGGAGCTCCGCCTCAAGCAGCAGTACTTCTGGTGCGCTGCGTCACTGTACGACATTGTCCGCCGATTTAAGAAGGGCAAGAAGGCCTGGAAGGAGTTCCCCAACGCCGTTGCCATTCAGCTCAACGACACTCACCCAACGCTTGCCATCCCGGAGCTTATGAGGATTCTCCTTGACATTGAGGGTCTGGAGTGGGATGACGCCTGGAACAGTACGTAACGATTTCTGGTTGTGATAGACAATTGCTTACGAGATGCAGTCGTCCAGAAGACTTTTGGATACACCAACCACACTGTCCTGCCTGAAGCGCTCGAGAAGTGGTCTGTACCGCTCATGCAGCATCTTCTTCCGCGCCACTTGCAGGTACGTCAACCCTTGGAATCGTTTCTGAATGTATGTGCTGACCAAAGCGCTTTTAGATCATATATGAGATCAACCTCCAGTTCCTCCAACTGGTTGAGCGAAATTTCCCCAAGGACCGCGACATGCTTGGTCGTGTCTCGATCATCGAGGAATCGCAGCCAAAGATGGTACGCATGGCATACCTGGCGCTGATCGGCTCGCACAAGGTCAACGGTGTGGCTGAGCTGCACTCCGACTTGATCAAGACCACCATCTTCAAGGACTTTGTCAAGATCTACGGACCCGACAAGTTCACCAACGTCACCAACGGTATCACACCCCGAAGATGGCTGCACCAGGCCAACCCCAAGCTGTCAGCTTTGATTGCATCCAAGCTTGGCGGACACGAGTTCCTCAAGGACTTGACTCTGCTGCACAAACTGGAGGCATTCGTTGACGACAAGGAATTCCGCAAGGAGTTCCGCGACATCAAGTATGCCAACAAGGTACGCCTTGCAGCGCACATCAAGGAGCACCAGGGTGTCACAGTCAACCCAGCAGCGCTGTTCGATGTCCAGGTCAAGCGTATTCACGAGTACAAGCGCCAGCAGCTCAACATTTTCGGTGTCATCCACCGCTACCTCCAGATCAAGGCCATGTCGCCAGAAGAGCGGAAGAAGCTCGTACCGCGTGTGTCGATCTTTGGTGGAAAGGCTGCGCCCGGATACTGGATGGCGAAGACTGTCATCCACCTGGTCAACAAGGTTGGTGATGTCGTGAACAACGACCCCGATGTTGGTGATGCGCTGAAGGTCGTCTTCATTGCAGACTACAACGTCAGCAAAGCGGAGATCATTACTCCTGCCAGCGACATCAGCGAACACATCTCTACTGCCGGTACCGAGGCGTCGGGAACTTCCAACATGAAGTTCTGTCTCAACGGTGGCTTGATCATTGGTACCTGCGATGGTGCAAACGTGAGTCGGCTCTATTTTGAACATTTGCGATCGGCAACTAACAGCTCCTAGATTGAGATCACCCGCGAGATTGGCGAGCAGAACATCTTCCTCTTCGGCAACCTCGCAGAGGACGTTGAGGACCTCCGCCACGCTCATCTGTACTCACAGTACCAGCTCGACCCACAGCTCGCCAAGGTCTTCGATGTCATCCGCAAGGGCATGTTCGGCGACGCCGACCGATTCTCCGCTCTGCTCAATGGCATTGTCGAGCACGGCGACTACTACCTCGTCTCGGACGACTTTGCGTCGTACATTGAGACGCAGGGACTCATCGACGAGAGCTACAAGAACACGGAGGAGTGGACGAGCAAGTGCATCACGACTGTGGCGAGGATGGGCTTCTTCTCCAGTGACAGGTGTATTGATGAGTATGCTGAGGCGATCTGGAATGTGGAGCCGCTTGTTCCCAAGGAGGAGCCTGCGCCGTAGATGTGTGTAGAAGGATGGGTGGTGTCTGTCTAGATGGTCATAGGGACCGGTAGATGATAGACCGTTGACGACTTCCGTATGAAACGATAATGGATAGTTACTGTTTATGAATTCGTAAATTCGTCGTGCACGGAACTCTGCTCGAAGCAAGCATAGTATGTTCAGTTTGCCCTTCATTGAAAGACGTGGCCAATCAAGCGCTGGACCCTGGTGCCTGCTCCGAATGATCAGCCGCACAGACGCGACGCGCGACGTCAACCGCAATCTGGCCGCAGAAGGGCAGCAAGCTCGACACACGAGAGCTCCAAACATCACCATCATGGCCAACAGAGGGTATGACGTTGTCGTTGATGTCGACCAAGAGGTACGTGAACGCTTGCGCTTACTCATGCGCGGCGTAAATGCAACAAGAGAGCAGCACTGACAAACCCAGGGCGACCTAGGCCACACCGACCTCCAAGAAGACCTCGAATTCCACAGCTCCAGTACATCCCACCAGACCCGTCCACCTCTTGCCTGCTAATTCGTACCCACAGACTTCGACACCCAGCCCGCTCGCGGCGCCCCCAAAATCCAACCCGACTCCACATCCTTCCTGCCGGGCCCAACCACCTCGGCGCCCTCCTCCGGCCGCAAACACTACCTCTGGACGCTCTCCTTCTACGCGCAAGCCTTCGACGTCGACACCGCTGAGGTCCTGCGCCGCTGCACATCTGCCATCTACCCGCGCGCCAACTTCCTCGACGTGTTGGAGGGGAACCCCGATCTTTACGGGCCCGTGTGGATCGCGACCACCGTCGTCGTCATCCTGTTCCTCACCGGCACGATCAACCAGTACCTGAGTCAGAAGGGGCTGGGCAAGTTTGAGTATGATTTCAAGCTGTTGAGCGGGGCCGCGGGGCTAGTGTATGGGTATACGGCGTTTGTGCCCGTGGGGCTGTGGGCGGTGCTGAAGTGGTATGGCAGTGAGAGCGCGAATTTGCTCGAATGTGCGTGTCTCTATGGGTATGCGAATTTGGTGTGGATTGTGGTTGCGGCGGTTAGCTGGAGTCCGATTAGTAGTGAGTATATCCCGATACCCCATGAGCCCGATTTGCGATTTGCTAACACATGGCTGAAATAGTCCTCAACTACGTCTTCGTCGCGCTGGGTCTCGCTTTCTCCGCTTTCTTCCTGCTACGCAACTTGTACCCCGTGCTGAGTACTACCGAGGCGAAGACGAGCAAGGCGCTGCTGATTGTGGTGCTTGCGTTGCATGCCGGGTTTGCGATTGCGATCAAGGTGCTGTTCTTTGCGTCGACAAGTCCGATTGGGGATCCTAAGGGTGGTGAGGCGGGAAAGGGAGAGGGCGAGGGGAAGGTTGATATGATGTTTAGGTTTTGAGGGGGTTGAGAGTTGATGTAGAGGAAAAGAGGAAGAGGAAGAGGAAGATCGCAAGAAGATTCAAAGTTCTAGAGTTGTACAAGATATCCAATGGCATTTATATCGTTCTTGCGCCTGCGATTACGCCGACGGCTTTCGGTATGCCTTTCCTGGGAACTTGCTATGTTTGTCAGTCGTCTCAAGGAAAAAGCGTAATCGCAAAGACAAGATGTTTTACTGGTGAGTACATTTCAGCGCGAAGCCATTATACTCATGCATTGAATAGCTGATCACCAAACAACTTCCTCATGTGGTTACCCCACGCCAAGCTGACAGCAAGGCAACGCTCGTATCCGCGAATCAGCCCACCTCAGGCCTCGGCCTGCGAACCTCAGCCTCATGCACCGCCCACTACATCAAGAACAAAATGAAGTCTCCAGTACGATTTTCTGTTGTTCACCAAAGCCAACATGTCCGGCCCAGCATTATATCCCCACCCACTTCCAGGATCCACGATCCGTCTTCTTACCGTTGAACCAGGCGAGCCGGCATCTCCACTCATCTGCAGTCTCCAAGAAACATCCCTGGAATCCCCAGAACTACCTCTATACCAAGCCCTATCCTACGTCTGGGGCCCAATTCTACCGTCGATCCCCATAACATGTTCTTCCCAGCGAATTACCGTAACATCAAATCTGCACGCCGCACTTCTGGAATACCGCTCCCGAGCCATCACCATCCCACTATGGGTCGATGCGCTCTGCATCAACCAATCCGACGTCTCCGAACGCACCTCCCAAGTCCGCATGATGCAAGAAATATACTCCAAAGCCTCATGCGTAGTCATCTGGCTCGGCTCCGCCCACCCAACCGACGATGTCGCCATCCAATTCCTCAAAATCATCAACCAGCCCTGGGCCACCATCACCGACCAATACGGCCGCAAAATCCCGCTCTTCACCAACCAAGACGCGCCCGCGCACGACGCGGAAATCGGCGTCAAAGTCGCGGATAGCGACTTCGATGCGCTGGCCACCTTCCTCATGAGGCCGTGGTTCAGCCGCATCTGGATCGTGCAGGAACTCATTTGTGCGCAGAAAACGACCATGTGGTGTGGTGCTGCGACGCTGGATGATTTCCCTGTCCTCGAGGCGGCGTCGCGCCTCATGCACATGCCGAATACCGACGCACGCACGCAGATTGCTACTACGGCGCTGCCGGATCCGGAAATGCAGTACACGGGCAGAGTGAAACTGGCGTGTGCGGGGCGGCTGGAGATGCTCAGGATCGTGAGGGAACAGGGCATGGGGGGTATTGCGAATCTGCTCATGGCGACGAGGTCTTTTGATGCGACGGATCCGCGGGATAAGATCTTTGCGCTGGTTGGGCTGGCGGATGATATTGGGACGGAGTTTGTGGATTATGCGAAGAGTTATGAGGAGATCATCACGGAGTTAAGTCGGATGTTGTTGGATGGGACCATTGGTGGTACTGCTAAAAACGAATGTGTGCTGGATCTCTGGTCGTACATTACGCTCAGCGAGGAGGAAGAAGAGTCCACCAGGCCGAGCTGGGTGGTGGATTGGCTTGCGCTGAAGCATAGTGGGTACACGCCGCTGGTCTCTCAATACCCCTCTGAGCCCCCGGTGATTCAGAAGAAGCCGGAGATGGAGTTCACAAAGGATGAGTCTGGGCAAGACGTAAGAGCTCCCCTTCACTCCCATCAATCAAACCTCCTAACCGCCCTCCCAGATCCTTCACATCCGCGCCAGCCTCTTCGACGCAATAACCCACATCGTCCCCTCCCCCCTCGGCGCGCGCGCCCTCGTCCCCCAATCCTCCATCATCACTCTCGCATCCATTCCTGAAACCTCCGCTTGGTACTCCCGCATCCTCTCCCTCGTCGACTCCAAGGACACCCTCATGGACGACACCGTCGCCTACCCCTTCACTGGCACCACCCTCTACGAAGCCTTCTGGCGCACCCTCTGCTGCAACCGGTCATCCATCAACCTCTCCACCGCCCCCGAAGACGACACCAGCTACGTAGCCACGTGCGAACTCCTCGAGTCCCAGCGCCAGCAACACGCCCAGGAGCAATCCTACCGCCGCACCGCACACGTGCGCAAGCGCATTTCCGCCGTGGCCTTCACGGCAGCAACAGCGTGTCTCACCTACCGTCTCAGACGCTACAAACTCTCCATCTTCCTCCCCCTCACCCTCCCCCTCGCTGTCGAATGTCTCAACATTGCATGGGACGTCGCCTTAAATCTCGTCCTACTCTCCATGAACATAACCTATCAAAGAGCCACACAGGCCACGCAGATCAAGTCGCGCGATTTCGAGGGCAGCCATAGTATGTGGACGCAGGGCCGCCAGTTTGGGTGCACGCGGTTGGGCTTGATGGGCTGGGTGCCGGTGGCCGCGCGGGTGGGGGATATTATTGGGTCGGTGACGGGGTGCAGGGTGCCGTTTATTTTCAGGCACAGGGGGGATGGGTGGCGGATCATTGGGGAAGCGTATTTCCATGGGATTATGGAGGGCGAGAGTGAGGCGGAGGGGGTGTTGGAGGGGGAGATGTTGAGGATTGTTTAGGGGGGGTGGATGGGTTGGTAAAAGCTTCTCGTATACACATGAGCACATGCTTTTGCCGATGATGATTGAAATCATAGCACACGAAATCGAAGCCCGAGGTGTTTCTTTTTGCATGACGGGTCGCAGATGTACGGCTGGGAGATGAAATGGTCGAGAGTATGAGTACAAACGTCATCTCCCGTAGATAGAAGGCAGTCTTTGACGCGTGGAGAATACGCATCGTGTAGGAGCAATGGCGATTTTAATCGTATCAAACCGAATACCAAGAAAGCAGCTGTATGTATCCCAACCCTCGTGCCTAGCTACGACACTACTTCGTAGATCGGGAGTGAAAGAGTGTTGTAAGAGATGGGCAGGACTTGGCCGAAAAAAGTGCTTGTGGATAGGAAGAGGTGGTATAAAGGAAATGTAGTACCAAAACGATTTGATAAATAATACAAGAGGCCAGTCTCCGTCTCCATCCATTTTCTGAAGTTATATATATCTTCTGCAGCCCTCGCTATTGCCGTGTTATTTTCTTTCGTGTCCGGAGTTTTGTTTTTCCCTGCGAATGGTCTGCTTGGTCTGTTGATAATGCGTCTCGTTATTGATAGCGCGTGCATGCTTAGGCATGGATAGCTGCCGATAGCCTGTTTCCTCGTTACATATATGAATAATGTTCACCGGTCATTGTTACGTCTTTGAATTCCTCGTCTAACACTTTTACAGCGCGGGTCTGCATCCACCAGCCAGGCCATGTATTGTGCTGCCAGCAGTACAAGACAAGGAATCACTGAACTCAAGATACGCACAGCAAAGCATAATGCCAAATCCCAATTGAGTTGCAACTCTGATTTTCATTCGACAAGTATCGTGGCCGCGCGCAAACGAATGTATCTAGTTAATACCCTATAGCCCCCACCATTTCCAACACTTCACACACATTCCCTTCAAGACTTTGCTACCACTATTTTGCTTCGAAACAAAGCAGTAATGTCCAGCCCGCCTCTCCTTAGTTGGGCTTGCAGAATCCGTCCGCACAGTCGCAGTGCTGGCCCGAGCTAGGACAGTTGTCCGCGTAGATCCAGTTGTATTTCCCGCGCGACTTTTCGACGCAGACCATAGAGTGACCCCCATTGTTCTCCTGTATTGGGTATTAGTGAATACTTCGAGGGTGGGCATGTACTGGACGTACGCAAGCGCGTTGGTTTGGCTGCGGGCAGGAGTCGCCTCTACCAGCGTTACAGATAGCTGCGGCGGCGCGCTCAAAGACCGGGTTCGATAGACTGGCGGCCGAGGCGGCGCAGGTGAGGGCGAGGAGGGCGATGATAGACTTCATGGTGCGTGATGGTGTTGGGAAAGATTGTTTGTGAGGATGGAGATGCAGATGAGTGTGGTGTTTTGACTGAGGTGAGGATTCGGAGGGCTTTTATATGTGGCTATGAAGCGCGAGGGCTTGGGTGTTCTAACTGCGTCTGCCTCGCTGCATGTTGGTCTCGTAGCTGATTTGCTTTGAGGCATTTTGTGACAGTGACATGTTGATGATCAGGCAACCTCCCCCGCAGTGTGTATAGAGTGTTTTGAGGCCGTATTGAGTGGAGCTAGCTTTTGATCAACCACAAGGCCAATTCCAATTGCATGTACAACTATAACTGCTTAATTCGGACATGGGATGAGCAAGGAAGACCTTCGAAGAGGGCTAGAGGCAGCATCCTTTGTTTCGTGCTGGATGTAGGGTGCTGTAGAAGGCCTGAACAATGTTGACGCGTGGCCGAGCATAATCAAGTGTAAGGTTGTAAATGGAAGCTTACCGAAACTCTATGGCTCTTTGTCGGAGGCACTGAATAGACGGGGGTGTTGGTGCCGGATGAAGCCGAGGGCCTAGATCACGACTCCTGGGCAATGAGAGAAAGTATCAGTGTATGCTATGTGAGATTTCCGCGCATAATTGAAGTTAATGCCTACGGGAAAAGTTTAGAGGCTTGAACTTCGTCATAGAACAGTCTTGCACTGATATGTCATGGGTACTTGGAGGTGACCATGGTCGGTGATAGACTGGACGCCTGATCTTACTTCAGGCACACCATTCATTGATGATCAATGATCCTTCTTGTTTCCCTCGACGACGCACTCTCCTCTTCAACCCGCCAGTTCATTTATGCTTCATCTCAATGAAGTAACTGAATGCAACAACTTGGCAAGCATAAGGATCCTTTATCATCTAACCTTACATTTTCAGTCTAGTCTCAGGCGGCCGGTCAACAGTAAGTCGCCGTCCATAACTCAACACGGCTGCTGGTCGTTTCGCTCGCTACTCGTTACTATCTGAGAACGTCGGGACGTTGTTCTAGAGTCTGGAATGTGCGTCTTGCCGCACGATTCGGACTGTCAGGGGAAGCTTCCAAAGTGGTGTCTGGTCGTGTCTGACCTTGAAGCCAGCGTCGCGAACTTCGAGACTATCGGCGTTGAAGCATGTGATTTCAGCGTTGACTGATTTCCAATACTTGCGTGGTGTACAGGGCGTAATTCATTTGGCGCGAGAGAGCAAGGGATATAATCAAGTTGAAATTGGCAGCGGAGCTTGTTGCAGCTAAGCCTTTTCCGAAGCCACAGGGGCCAGCTGCCGCACATATGATTAAAACTTTGTGCAAACTTCGCAGATTTGCCATGCCCAGATTCGCCCGACTCCAGCCGCGCAAGAACACGGGTATCTTGTTCAAGCACGACTACCTAGTACCAAGAAGCCACAATGGAAAAATCCAGCGAGTGGATGCAGCACTTCTCAAGGCTTCTCAAAACTCTTCAATGACACAAGACGCCAGTGTAGAAAGGCGGTACAAGCCGGCGAGGCAGCCTCCTAACACTTCATCTTAGATACTTTGGTATATTCAGACTATACAAGGGCATATGCAAGGCTGGAAAAGACTAGGGTAAAGCTCTGTAGGAGGTCTTGCGTAGATCTGTGTCACATCGGGGATCAAATATTCAGTGAGGAGATGAGCAGGACATCATGAAGCACAAAAGAACATCTGTTGAGTTGCAACTCTCGTATTTATCTCTCGCTGTTAATTGGCAGCGCTCACACACAAACGAATGTAGATAGCTAATACCAGCTCTTCACCTCATCCATTCCCCAAGACTGCCGGCGTATTTCCCTCAGAACTAGCCGGTATTCTAGTTAGGCTTGCAGAACCCATCCGCGCAGTCGCAGTGCTGGTTTGAATCTGGGCAGTTATCCGCATTGATCCACGCAAACTTGCCACGCGACTTTTCAACACAGATCAACTGTTGTCACGCCACGTGTTAGTTTGTTTTAACTGCTAATCGCTCAGTTGTTTAACTTACAGAGTGTCCGCCATTGTCCTCCTGTGCTCTGTGTTAGCTAATGTTTTGAGGATGGAGGGTAGGAGAGAGCACGTACGCATGCGCGCTGGTTTGGCTGGGCGCAAGATTCGCCGGAATGACCGTTGCACACAGCAGCTGGGGCACGCTGGAAGAGAGGGTTGGAAAGGCTGGCTGCTGAGGCGGCAGTAGCGAGAGCGATGATGGCGATGAAGGACTTCATATTGAGCGGAGTAAGATTGTTTGAAGAAGATTTTCAGTGAGAAGATGTTGTTGGAATGAGTTGGTTGATGATACAATAGAGAGGGAAGTAGACTGGACTTTATAGTCTTGCTCGGTGGCTTTGGCCCTACTAACCTGATCAGAAGCGTACATCATGGCTGAAGCGTTTGAGTACGCTCTTCTGTATGTCACATCATGATCTGATGTGACTCTGACATGCATCTGCCTCACTGCATGCTAATCGGCCCCAAACGCGGAGTGTTTGCAGGTCATATTTCGTCGGGCGTAGAAAATATTTTCGGACGTAGATGTTTTCTTGACCAGATGTTTGATCCTGACGGTATGTGCGACCATGACTGCTTGAATCTGATGCAAGCTGAGCAAGGGAAGACTTGTCTTGACAACTCCGTGTCATTACGAGAGCAATGCTATCAAGGATAGACTGGAAGCCCAGTGCTGACTTGGTGAGTCAGTGGCGTGAAGCACGTTGAAGGGACAGTTGATCATGTTCGAGTCGCAAGATGCAGGTGTAAGCTTATCCGAACTTTGGGTGAAGTCAAAAAGGAGTAGTTGAAAAGCACGAGATTTTGTATTCTCGTGACGCTGCGATCTGGAATGTGTTTCCTGATTCGTAAGAGGGAATAATGCAGCAGACTCTGAATTCTAGCATGTGAATTCTCCCATGGCTCTGGGTATCGAGAAATGCATTTTACTGAAACATTGTCAGCACTTCTAGCTTACCGTAGGACAGTTTCTCACTTACGAAACAAACTTCATTGTTTCTCCCGTGTTCCAAATCTGATCGCACTTTCAGCACCTTCCGCCGACCACGCACTCAGCATTTCAACCAGCCCATACCGCGCATGCAGGTAGCATGTTAACGCCCTGCCACTCGTCTTGCTGGACCACAGATTCCCTTTACCCTGGACCTCACAATGTCTCGGACGAGCTTACTGACAGGGCGGTCGACCGGCCTTTGGATCTCGCCCGAAAAAAAATTACTCTGCTGCATACGATGATCTATGTTAGATCAAAGTTACGTGACGCGGTAAACGCAGACCCTTGTCTGGCATGGCAGGACTTGCGGCTGTGTCATCACTTACCCGGCCGTATTACCCGCTACAAAACATGCACACCATAGCTGAAAGCGGGGATAAGAAGCGTAAGTGTAGCTTACATGTACCCCGCAGCGTCCTGTCCAGCTAGTATCTCGTGTAAGAAATGTCCGCACTGGGTCGTTAGGGTAGTTTGCTTCGGACCTGTTGAGTTTTGGCCTGTCTAGTAAACACTTACTCCTGACCTCAACGCTACATTGTCGCAAATATGATACATTATTCGTCATTCTCGAGTCTTTCTAAAATGGAGCGCAAAGAAGCATTCGGGTACTTCGGCCGCTAGCGTCGGATGCTACCGCAGTCATGGCGTGTATGCAAGGAACAATGCTTCCGGTGAAGGGGAGCAAGGGGGAATAAGCACATGCCAAAGGTTTACGCGCATGCTGACATTAGCAGAAGAGCTTGTCACAGGTGAGATCTCCTCTTAAAAAAACTACGTTGCATCGCTTCTGCGGTATGGTGCGTTGCAATCGTATCATTTTCCCTTTCGGGGTTTTTTGCAAGCACGATACCATCCCCGATACTTCCTGACTAGACTCTTGAATATGAAGCAACACTATCCAATGCGTCCAAATATACTGTGTCACACGAGATGTCATATATTATGGTAACACAGGTCGGCGAGATAGCGCCCGAAAAGTGATGTCAGATCCATCAGGCCACGCATACTATGCAAGGACATGTATCGAGCCGGACGGAGATCACAAAAGTCCTATGGAAGGTCCATACCTTAAATTACCTGAAGTGTCGGTAACACACTATTTGCGTTCGTGATAGCTACGAGGGAGTTGCTCGACGCTTCAAAGTCCACTTCGCATTCAAACCGTAGACTACACAGTACTAATACACCATCCCCGAGAAGCCCACGCAGAACCCAGAAGCGATTCAGCTCCATCTATTCGTCTATCCTTGAACTCCAATGCGCCTTGCTATTATCATGCAAGATTTGAAAGAATAACAATCATCCAGCCTTCGGTGCCAAATATACACCAGACCCAAGCAATGTATCCAAGAATGACCACCACCGCCACAGGCTTATCCGCTCAGCCTACTCATGATCCAGCTTCTCGGGACTCGTCTCCTCCACCGTGCCCATCTCCTCGTCGTCTTTCTCCTTCTCCTCCGCCACATCCACACTATCCGCCCGAACCTTTTCCACCAACACAACCATCATCTCCCCCTCCACCTCCACATTTCCCTTCCCACCCTCATCAACCCTGGCCTTCTTCACCGTCATATCCCCTTCCCCCTCCTCTTCCGCGCCCCTCTTCATTCCCTTCTCAAACGGGATGACAACCGTACTCTTCGAGAACCCATGATTCACCTCTGGCGCCTTAGTCTTCGTCTCCACCACCTCCCTCTTAACCTTGGGTATCTTCCCCTCCAACCTCTCAACCTCGCTCTTCCAACACCGAATCTTCCCGCCCAAAACCTCCGCGCGCTCCTTCATGTACTCGTACTCGGGCGTGAACAGAAATGCCTCGACGCTCGTTATCGATCGCGCAATGTCCAGCTGCCAGTTGCGCATGAGCTCCATTTGGATGCGTGTGTGATAGGCGGTGCGCGGGCGCGAGCGCAGGTAGGTGGGGACGATGAGGAGGTTGGGCTCGTGGAAGGCGTGTTCGGCCCAGAGGCGATCGGCGTCGTTTTTGGCGCGCAGGGCGAGGGGGAGGACGGGTGGGGAGATTATGTGGGGATCGATGGTGGGAGTTGACATGTTGATCTGCTGGAATGATGGGTTTAAAGGATGCGTGTTAGAGATGGGGGAATATGTGAGTCGGTGGCATGTGTGGGTGGTGGTGAAGGACAGGCGTGCGCACACTTCGTCAACACGACCGCCGACTTGGATGTGTTGAGACGTGGTTGGGCTGTATTGCAAGTCTGTCGTGGCTTCCATGGACAATGTTGGCCATGGTGCGCGGAAGTCGAGTTTGATATCGTGAAATTTCTGGTACTCTATCGCTAGGCAGCCCGGCCAGTTCTGGTGCCTTGCACTCAATTCGCTCCACGGTATCGAGAACGGAGCTTGTTTACGGCTAGAACTGGCGCCGCTTGTTGTTGAGATGAAATGCAGCATTACGACCAGCCATAATGGAACACCAACATTGCCGTTTCCACTGCTTGACGGCGAGTGACAACATTTCTGTGAAGATGTGGTCACTGGCAGAGAGCATATGATCAACGCTGCATGCGTTGGAAGCTACAAGCGCAAAGGAAGTCAAAGCCACTTTCCGCGCAAGTCGGGAGAAGTGCGAGCAAAGAGGGTGATTTGAGTGACATGCGTGCTGACCGCACATTTAACAGCAGCAAAGCAATGCGCAGAGAATGTTTAGAGATCACAGGTATGCACGACGTAGTGAGTGAGGACATGGGAAAATGGGACTGCAACATGCTTTAGGTATGAGTGATGAGTGGTGAACAGAGAGTGAACATGTGCTGCTAATTACTTGGAAATGTTCACTCAGACGACCACTGCCAGACGCGCTAGTCTCGAAAGTCAGAGGGACTGAGTGAGAAAGTACAAAAGCCGCCAAACACCGGAGGCTATGTGGGGTATATTGCTGGAAAAAATGTTATGACCGAGAATGTATGAAATTGCGCACAACTTGTCCGTGAGTCTCCTAATCGTCCCGGTTCTGGAAAGGTGTCGAGTCTCGGCCAGCAAAGCGGAGCGCATCCGAGGGGTCCAAGCCATCGTCCATCTCGACATCCTCATCATCCCGGGTATGCTCTATGGTGCGCTTCGGTTTGACACCAGTGGACAAGTGAGTATTGGAAGTAGCCCCGGCCGCAGTCTCCTGGGTGGTGACTATATTGTACATGGCGACCGATCGGCGGGCCTGCAAGATATCCCAGTAAGACTGCAGGAGGTTCTTGAGACTGTCGTCAAAGTTGACACAGAAGCGCTGGGCTTGGCACACCTGCATCGCCTTGATATGGTCAAAGTCGGTAAGCGTCTCCATGAGGTAGGCTGCGACTACAGCAGCCGACTTCTCGTTGCCAGACTCGCAGAAGACGAGGACCTTCCCGAGGGCTGCTTGACCCGTCTTCTCCAGAGAGTACTGGCGCCAGCGTGCCAAGTGCGTGTTAATCAACTTGGTCGTCTGGTCGAAGCGACTGATGAGCCCGTGGAAGCTCGGCACCTCGATTGTCGCAACTTCGGGGCAGACTTCGCGCGATACTTTGAGGGCGCCAATCATGCTATTAGCCTGCGCCCGGATCGCGAGCACCATTGTAATGCCCTCTGCCTGCAAGTACTCCTTGTCTCGTGCTGCGAGCATCGGCCCGAGATAGAGCCACGGCAGCAGCATTTGCGCATGCCTCCGCCGCTCATATGACCACTCTAAGAGCGTGTTCTTTTGTATGATGTCGTTGAGGTCGAGTTCCTGCAGGAAAGTGAGGTCGAGTTCGCCCATCTGTTCAGAGCTCACGACGATGCCGGGCATGTCGGTGCTCAGGGTCGGTGGTGGCACGACAATCCGCGGTGCCGCAGGAAGCCGGTACGAGTAGTCGTTGTGCTTGCGCTGGTGAGAGTTCCCGAAGTCGCTCAGGGCGGCCTCCTCGCGTAGAGAAGTCATGCTTGTGAGGCACTGCTGGGGTGGTTGAGGTCGTCGTAGTGGTGCGGGGTGGCGGCAGCGGGGTAGTCGTGGAGGAGCTCGGGAGCAATTGGTAGGCCTGGCAAAGGAACTGTGTATGGAAACAATGGTCTCTTCAATGTCCCCAGCGTATAGCAGCGGCTGGTCAGGACTTTCACAGGCGGTAGTGAGAAAGTGCAAGTGATATGCTGCAATGCGTTGGTGACAAGCCCGAGGTTTGCTATTACCACGCAATGGAGGGCTGTACACAGCACGCTTTGAGACTGGATAGCTTCTGCGACTGTGCAGTCATGGTGGCGAGAAAAACGACGCGTCTTGAACGTCGTGTCAAAGTGAAGGTTCGCAGAACGCGGCGGCAGCCGCACTAGCTCTGTTGCTGCCTAAGTCCAGACGCCCGCTGACGTAATGCCACCACTACACCACCAAAGGACCCCTGATGCTCAGTCACAACCTCCAGTAAGCATCCTTATCTTCTCGATCACGTGAACAGTGAGAAACCGCCTACTCCAAACAGGGAAGCCAGGTATATGAAGTGTAAGACAGTCTCCGATCGCGCAGTCAGCCATGTTTCCCGTCGGCCATCTGCAGTTGCGGCTTCAGAGATACAGGCATCGCGCTACTACTTATCATTAAACACCATCTCATGTTTTTGTGTCACAGTCCCAAGTAATATCATCTTCTCTCATTTCCATCACTCTAAATCTGAAAACCCATTCCATTATGCCTGTCCGCCTTGCCACGGCCCAAGACGAGCCCGCCATCGGCGCCATCTGCCACGCCGCCTTCTTCAATGAAGGCCTCTTCGGCCAATTAGTTCATCCCCATCGCCATCAATACCCCTCCGATCCCTTGATCTTCTGGCGCCAACGCACCCGCGCCTTCTTCCAGGAACCGCGCGACGTCGTCATCGTCTCGACACTCATCGAAAACGGTGAAGAAAAGATCGCCGGTATGGCCACATGGCAGCGCCAGGGCGATGACGCCGGCGCCCAGAAAGTCATCAGCGCATGGCAAGATCCCGGCCCAGATGCATTCGAGCCGCTAGACAGTGAGAATCGCGCGATTGATAAGAGCAAGGCGACTATTCTCCAGGATACGTATCCCTGGTTCAAACACCACTGGGAAGGTGTTACCAACGGCCTCCCGCGCGCAAATAACTGGTACCTGAATCTATGCGGTATCGATCCAGCGTACCAGAAGCGCGGGGTTGGTCAGCAGCTTGTTGCTTGGGGGTTGGAGCGCGCAAAGGAGGAGAATGTACACTCGAGTGTTGTGAGTAGTGAGGGGAATGCGAAGTTCTATCTAAGGTGTGGATACGACGAGATCGTGGGGAATTGCAGCGAGGGCGAGAATAATCCCATGGCGAGAGAGGGTGTTAAGGGCGGGGAGATTTTGTGGAAGTGGGCGTTTGTGAAGGAGGGGAGTGGGGAGAGGGAGGGTGGAGAGGTGCCGGAGAAGGAGTTGATTGCTGTTGTGCCTTCGTGATGGTGGTACATGGTGGAGACGTCGGACTTGAATTCATGTATAATTCTCAACATCTGAAATGTAGTACCTTTGCAAGTATTCGTCTGTGCTGCACGTCTTGTAATTTGTGGTTCAAGACACAACGTCAATTTACAAGAAAAATCATCATGATTGGACGACACATCCAATCGTCATATAAAAGTGTCAACGGCATCCCAGGAGTTAGCTCTGCCCGACCATATGGTTATGGCAATTCAATAGCTCCATAGTATTTAGCGGGGTTGTCGCGAACGTTGCGAATGGTCCAGGCGAATGAGCCAGACGAATCGCTTCAAAACGAATACAAAGCAAGAGTGAGAATCTATCACTCATTACAGCGTTCTACAAGAAACAAAATCGCTCATGTATTCAAAATATATATGCTCGCCCTAGATTCATCCGCTCTGCTCCACCGCCAAGATATATATACACCTCCATCACCAATCCCACGCCTTCCCCATTCTCTACAACTTACTCTGTTTCCGCTCATCCCGAACTTTCTGCGCCATCCTCACCAGCGCATACAACGTCTGCAGCCTCGGCATCTCGTACCCTCTCGCCCTCGCCACGCGAATCGGGTTCCCCAAAATAACCTCAATCTCCATCGCTTTCCCCCCCTCCCAATCCATCGCCATACTCGGTCGACTGCCACTGTTATTCTTCATCGTACTCTTGACAATCTGCTCTGGCGTCGCGAATTCCTTGGGCATCGGGACGCCCAAGATTTTGGGTGCCGTGGACAGAATCTCGTGCATTACGCCGAGAATGTGGAGTTGCATTTCGGGCTCGTGAGCCATGGAGAAATTCGACGGACATAGGGTGAGTACAGACGAGGGGTTCATGGAGGCGTTTATCGCGATTTTATGCCATCTGACTAGCTGTAATTTCGCATGCGTGTATGCTTCGGCATCCTTAATCCCTCCCTCCTTCAACAACCCGATGAACGCATCATTCTTCTCGCTGACCTCTGCATCGCCGGCTTGAGCAGAGCCGACGTCGAGGTGTGGCAGCCACGGCCCGGAGTTTATGCGCGTCCACCGGTTGTGTTGGATGTGTCCGGGCGTGGGTTGCGCGCATGTGGCGATTGTCACGGCGGAGCATATCGCTGCGTGTGGGAAGCGCGTGGCGTATGGTTCTTCTACACCCAGGCCGTTTTGAATCAGCACAATCGCGGTGTTGCTGCTGACCAAGCCCTCGAGGATCGCCGAGTCGTCGCTAATGTCCGGCAGCGCCTTCGTGCTGACTACGATGTAGTCCCATTGTATGTCGCTCTTGTGCGCCTCCTCGGGATTGGCAAACGTGTGCGCGGGCGTGAATGTGTAGGAGCCGTATTGGGGGGATGTGATCTTGAAGCCGCGGGCTTTTACGGCGGAGTAGTTGGATCGGCAGATTACGGAGACGGCGACGGAGGGGACTTGGGCGAGGCGCGAGGCGTAGAATGCACCGATGGCGCCGGCGCCGACGATGAGGATTTGCGTAGGCATTGTTGGTATGACGCGGCGGAGGAGTTGTAGTGGTGATGTTGATAGCGAGTTATCGATAAGAGGTGTTGTTGCTTTTAGCCTCGGTAAGTCGACACGATATCCTCCTCGCTTCCATGTCGGCACTCAGATCATGCGTACTACGTTTCTTACCATGATATTACGTTTGCGATGTGCGGAGGAACGATCTCTTTTAGAAAAGTTCGTACATTTTTCTTTATAAGTGCGTGGAATGCCCAATACTTAGGACCCAAGGTTCAGTACGGAGAAAGAAGCCAGCTTTTTCGTCATGTCATGCTGAGACTCATGCTGAGACAAAAACACCACTGATACCTGAGCAGAGCCTAGGAATTGAGTGCTATGATATGCACAAGGAGATGAGATAAGTTCTGGAAGATGTCCACGGTTAGAGCAGACGCAAATAGCGCGATACCGTATCAGGTGCTAGCGCAGATTCCAATCCATCCGCGCGTCAACGTCACACTTCACTTCTTCACCATTCTTTCGCCATCGGCCTCACAACGTCGTATTAATCTATTTGCTCGATCCACCCAGCTTATTACTTTGGATATAATCCATCTCATGGACTGACAGCGAGGCTTGTTCACCCCTGTCCGCGCCCTTAGCTGACATGTCAAACCCCTCCCAGGGGATTGAATTAAAGTGCTCATGTCCGGATACGCGGGGATGGTAGCCCATACATTCACAATACCAAACTAAACATCGCGCAAAGTGTGAGAGATACCAACGAGCACCTTCTCTTGTCCTGTCATGTCTTTTCTATATCTCTTCTGCAGCGACCCGACTTGGGCACCAAGGAAAGACCGCTGACTGGACTCGGGAGTCAAGACACATCTATGCTGTTATTTCTATCCTCCTGCGCTCCGGCATCTAGACTATCTCTCAGGAAGATGCATGGTTTTTTGGACCGTCGCGGTGAACTTACTCCCCCGAGGGCCTGGATCAAAGCATGTTGGACAAGGAGGACTGGCTCCGTCTAAGCTAACTATGATCGGCGTGTGCTGATGAAGCCATGGAGTCAGCGCGATCTGTCTTCTCATCTCACGTTACCATAAAGCAGGATGTTGGGATTCCCGAACTCGTTGGGACAATCTCCGTCAGGCTGTCGCCAGGGTAAAGTCGTCGTTATGAGTGGCAAATCCTCACTCATCTCGCCGTCGGGGACTGCTCTCACATGCTATCATGCAGTTCTATTTCCTGTTTCCACAGTCCCATCCAAACCGCTCTTACCACACCGCACAGGCGTGATTGCCTCCAGCCGCCATAAAAAGGCATCTGCCAGCCAAGTCTCACTGAACGCTTTGCTCAAACTTTTTCCTACACTTTTAATCTCCTACCGTACACGTCGTAGAACCATGACCCTGGCCGCAGTGCCTGACGCAAACGATGTGGGAGCTTGAGGACTCAAACAATGACGAAATGGGCAGCCACAGTCGCCTTCACCTTCACCGGCTCCGTTGACTGCCGATATCGTCGTCACTAGTGCACAGACCCACAAGCCGGTTAGTTTTTCGCTCCCATAGTCAATCTGCGCCCAAACACGTAAACTTTACCGCAACAACTATGTCAACTATGCCAGTCATCAAGAAGGAAGGAAGCCCGGAGCCGCCAATCGCATCAATTGCGTCCGCTGTCTCCTCGAGTGAGCTCTCGAAGAGGGCGCCAATGTCGGCACCCCGCCATATCCCTAGCAAGGAACGAGATGCCAGTATGTTGCAGCCACAGCGAACCATGCTGCCGCCTCCGCGACCAGCTAGGAAGCCTTCCTTGGTAGCCAGAACGCCACACCTTGCTCGGTCGGCGTACACTGGCAGCTCTCCCCATAAGTTTGCGCTGCAAGTGCTTGGTAACAACAGCAGTCGTCTCAATGTTCCTCCACCGGTGTTCTCGAGCCTTTCGTCTCGACGTGGTCTTGCCATAGCAACGGGTCGCGTCAACAAGACAACAGCGTCGACAACTGCAACGTGCAACAAAACACCAAACTTGCCCAAGATTACACATCTCACGAAACACATCAAACCTAAAAAGTACACAACGAAAACGAAAGCGAAACGCGACACAATGGATCAGCGCGATTTCGCTAATGGCGGTGATTACTTTGGCGGAGATGAGTTTCTCGACTTCCCGCCTATGATGCTGCAAGGTATTTGAAGCTCTCATTGCATTGAACTCTACTGACCAGGCGTAGAACATGACGATGTCGTTACCGTTCCTCGCGAGCAGCTCGAAGAACTACAGTATTCTGTACAGACACTGCATCATGCCAACGCTACCAACGAGCAGAAGTGTAAGTCAAAACCCCCAGAGCGTAGTTCAGGACATCGCACCCCACGCTGGCCAAGCCAGAACGTGAGCGATGCCATGGAGCCGTCTTCAACCTCTTTGGTTTGTCCTCATGCTGACTACTTTACAGTGCAAGAACAGGGCCACTTGATTGTCGAGCTGGTGGGCTTTAACCGGAGAACGCATATCGCCCTTGAAGAGATCCATGAGCGCATGAGGAGTCTTGGACCCGCGACACCCCTCCAGATGCACCAGGAGCCGAGCTCTGCACTCGGTACTCCGTTCCAGCCAATGTCTGCCTATCACGCTTCTAACGATGATCGCTCAAGGAGTCCTTCGCCAGATCGCAGCAACTATAGGGCGCGAGACGAGCCAGGCAAAGTCAGAAAGGGCAAGGGCCGTAAGGTATTGGAGATTCAAATTCCGGGCAAGATGTATGCAGGCTCTGCCATAGGCTTGCCGACCCCACTTACACAGTCTGCGGTATGTTTATTCTTCTGGAGATGAAGTGAGCCATAGCAGCTGACAAGTCATGTAGGGATTTATGGATCGTTCTCCCGTTACACCCCTCACGCCTGGCCGCACTGGTCCCCCGAGCGGTTCGAAGAAGCCGAATACCTGCATCAACAAGCGCGGAATTCATAACTTGGACAAGATGGTGGCGCCTATGTACGCGCAACTTCCACTCCTGCCTCTGACTGATACCGAGATCATTGTGTACTTCTTCAACAGCCTCCGTCGGCCGATCGTGGCTTTGCGCTTGTACGCGCGGGGATGGGGCCCGGCGGCAATCAGCGATACTGTCAACGAGTACAGGATGGTAGAGCCGGCATATCTTCGCAACACTTGCTCGGTTAAATGCACCACTGCAATCAAGAAGGGCCATGAGAAGTATGGCGCCGAGTGGGAGGCGGAAACAAGAGCCATCTTCGCAAGCCAAGCCACCCTCGATGATAAGGCTACGGACATGATCCGCCTGGACAGTAGCGAGCAGGAGCTTGCAGTCGACTTTGAGCTGCGTGCGCTCTGTAGCGGCCTTCGCAAGCACCCCGGAAAGGATCAAGGTGGCATCTTCACTCGCTGCGTGCAGTGGTGCGAGGAATACGACGCCGACTACAAATTGTCCAACGTCTGGGAGTTAGCCGACGACCTCAACGCTGGCCGTGTTCCGAGCCGATTTGCTAGTGTCGCTGAAGATGAATCTATTTCACGCGCTGCAACCGAGGACACAGATGACTTTGTCATTGGCAAGGATACGGATGCCTCGTCTCAAGAATAGGCTTACTGAGAACGTTGTTGCGGCTTTGGCTATTTCACTTGCCGTGTGCTACCGACATTGGCCTATTGGATACCTTTATATTGCGGTGGACTATTTGGCCACCAGGCATGTCGCAGTCTGTGCTGTACATCGTCTACGTTGCGCTCGAGCGATCGCTTGTCGACCACAATTACATGAGAACGATTGGATATGTATTGAGGAGGCTAATTATAGATTCTGTGCCGATTTGACGGAGGCTAATGCTGGGGTGGAAAGTCGATCCTGAGATCGGGTTGTATAGTACTGGGCGGGTCAGATGACGCATCACCAGCAAGATCACTCCATAATGCAAACTCATACCTGAACTCTCTGCAACAGCTCAATATGGTCCCTAAATGCCTGCGTGCTCTTGCAATTCCCGGAAGAAGGACAGTTGCGTCGGGTCGTTGTGCGGCTCAGTGTAGCAAGTGAGAGGACGACCTTTCCTAATAGCATGTAGCGGCGCTACAAAGTACCATGGTTCATATTGACTAATCCCCATTATTGCCTGAGGACGAATACTATGATTTTTTGGCGCAGTATTTAACACCTATTGCAGATGTTGATGTTCTCTACTCACACTTGTGACAATAAGAACAGAGATAAGATGACTTTCTCATCAGATTACGCCTTCACCTCCCAGCCTTCTCCAGGCGGTGAGACAGCAGCTACCACACCTCTTTTCCCTCCACACTCACAACCCTCACCTCTACCCCAACAACTCTTCTCCAACAATATGCATTTCCAGCAGCATATTCCTACCCAGCAGCAGCAGCAACAGCAGCAGCAGCAGCCGATGCTGTCGCAAGTGCCTCCGGGCTACACTAACCCATCCTCGCCGTTCACCATGCCCATGAACTATATGGGGCAGGACTTTTCTAATTTTGGAGCCTCGCCGCACAATACCGCCAGCTATAACGCCAGCAGCTATCAACAGCAGCTCTGGATGATGCCGTCACGTATACCTTCAGGCTACGCTGATCAGTTTGGGCTCGACACGGCGCCAGGAAACTACATCCAGCCGATTTCTCGCGGTTTCGACATGTCTCCGTACACCAGGTCCGCATATGATGCAGCGCGTCTCCAGCAGCAACAGGCTGCGACGATGCTGCGAGGGCATCCAGGATACCCTAACGGGTACGCCCCGGTCACTCCGCCTGGACAACAGCAGCGACACCTGATCACGCCGCGGACGTCCTTGGGATACACTATGGCGCCAGTGGGTCAACAGCTGCCCAGCCCTTTGACTGCCTCCCCGGCCCCTCTTCAGGGTCTCAAGCGTGCTGCATTTGACGGGTCCAGCATGCCACCAGCCAAGCGACAGGCAACTATCGACCACAATGTGGTACACCAGTCGTCTGTCAACCAGATTGCCTCCCTGGCCGCTGAAGCCAAACGCATTGCACAAGCGAAAGTCGCAGCGCAGCATCACGCCGAGCGCGTGAAGCGAGAAGCCGCTGACGCTGAAAAGCGCCGTCAAGCCCAGCTTCTCGAAGCCGAGAAGAGGAGGGCGGAAGAGAAACTCCGAGCTGAAACTCTCGCCAAAGCTGAGGCAGAGAGACAAGAGGAATTGGAGCGGCGAGAAGCCGAGTTTCAAGCTGAGCAAGCCCGCCTCAAGGCCGAGCACGAGCAGGCTCAGCAAGCGCTAGTCGAGGCTGCGGCACAAAAGGCTCGCGACGACCTGGCCGCCGAGGAAATGCGCGTCGCCAAAGAAGAGCGTGAGCGTTGGAACGCCCGAGCCAAAGAGCTTCGCAGCGACCCCACCGCCAACTTCCACAGCTACCAGGAGTTGCTCGAGTACTTCCCCCTGCCTGAGGGTCAGCCGAAACATCCATACTTGATAAGTCTGCTCGCTAATCGCCGCCTGATGAACTCGAAGCCTGGAGATGATGCGTACGAGGTCATCATGTTCGCTAAAGAACACTGGTACGACTATCTCACGCACAAGGACTTCAATGCAACGCTTGCGCGCATCAAGAAGAAGAAGGAAGAGAGGGCCGCCGTTTGAAATACTCCTTCTTGGGAGGAAAGAATGCAGGCCAAGTATCCTTTTATGAGTTTAATAAACTGAGGCACTTCTATCATACGGTCTGAGGCGAGTCAGGTGTTTAAGGAGGACAATGTAAGTTTACGGCGTTGGAACATTGCACAAGGAGTATACGATACACATGACATCAGGTTTATGGAGAAGCACTGTGTCATGGATTGGCCTGAATCACGGAGTATTGCGTTCTTTGGATTTTTTTCTTTGCTTGAGTTATTATTTTCACCTTTTCCTTTGAGACACTGCGCTGGATAGTTACGTGTACATACAATACAAGGACTGTGTCCCCAAGACCGTCGTGGTGACGACCCCCAAATCTTCATATCCACAGTGTTGCCTCCTGCGCCACAAGTTCCATGCTGATACTCATAATTTGACCTCCTCGCCCTATCGTCGACAAGACACGTCTCATGACTTCAGGTCAAGCACACTATCACATCGAGTAATTTAGGGGAACCAAGCTTTGACATAGGCACGGGCTCAACTTTTCGTAGCCACCAAACTCCGAAGCTGACACGGGCAACTCCACTCATACCATGGAACTTCGGACTGCGCTACTAGTGCATGTTCGATCCACGCTTTGATAATGCAATGATTCACTGAAACTCGGCACTAGCAAGAAGCCCAGAATTTGGTCCGTGCATAGCATGTCGCGTTAGCCTACCAAGCATCTTTACCGTTGCACTTTTTGATATTGGAATTATCGTGGGTTTGTGCGCCGCGGTACTATTCCGGAAAGCGACCGTAGCGTTAGCACACTGCCTGCTTCGCATATGCAAAAAAACGACATCTTCACAGGCCAAATGGGCTTTGCTGCAGGACATTTCAGTGTTCATAAGATGTTGAGATAGGAATATACGACATCACTTCGTACCACATTGTCGATCGATACGCACTGTTGTCGCAAATAGCCTGCATGTTGAAGTCTTTTGCGCGTCTAGCCTGCGTCCCGCAGGCAAAAATTGCCGGAATCGTGTTAGATCCTAAGACCGCGGGGGTGCGTCGCGCCGCGCTATCTTGTGCGTCGGGAAACCCTAACCGAACTTCTTCGATCGCACTATGGCTATCTTCGAGAGTGGAATGTGAAGTCTTTGCTGCGTTCCGATCGTTTTTAGAATTCGCGAATTGTGCAAAAGATGCCGAAATGGTAGTCCGAGATCTTACTGCATGTGAATGCATCACACCGAGGTGTGTCTCTACCTTCCCCTAACCGTGTTTGCTCTTTAGGTATAGATAAGAACGCAACTCTTTTTGAACTATCACATAAACTATCATTTAATTGACTCCTCACTCAACTTCTTACCCAACTCCTAAATCGACTCCTCACTCAATCAAGGGGCTTCGGGACTTCTTCAAAAGTTTCTGCTACAACATCCACCAAAAAAATGACAACGAAATTATCTGCCTCGGAGTCCGGCCTAGACAAGAATATTGAAACATCATCGATCAAACCTACGGGCTAAACACAAGAATCAACCCTTGATATCTCAATTCTTTCTGATGGACAGACTGATCCAAACAGTCGTAAGCGCAAGGCCGTTGAAGCCGCTGAGATGCCACCTACTATGGCAGATATTCCTTGGCAAAATCACTGCCCAGTCAGTTCAAAACGCTTGATCATGGATATTAGGAATAGACTGGAGACTCGGGTTCACGAGCTATAATTGCAAACGACTGAGCCTGATGGTCTAACTCCTGCCAATCGATATCTAATAACGTCGGATTTCGGCCATGAAGCCTCCAGACCGAACATGGGCCTGAAGAGTTACCACGTAGCATCGCAAAATGTGCAAGAGCAAACGAAGCGGCGCTTCAAAGAACTCCCTCTAGTCGGATTGAGGAATACATCCCCATCACCTACTTTGGTCCCAGGTCGTCGAGAGTACGGCCAATCGAATCCAATTTTGTACCGGGAAGATCAGTTATTAAGCAATCAGCGGCCTCTGGTCAGCGCAAAAGGTCGCAATGATACAATATCCGAGGAAGTGATGGGGAAGGGCCCTGCTTTCATTGCGCCCATATTGCCAATGACTGGTGTGATCCATTTGCTGTCAAACTAGGAGTAGCTTCAAATCACCTCATCCTTAAGCTTTCTTCAGTACATTCAAACACCAGCGGGTGAAATGAGCGAGGACGACAAGGTTCAGTCCATACCGCCAACGAATCTACGCTTGCAGCAGTGTAGTGAGTGGCTCCGATCATTGCTTCCAAGCGAGAAGGATATGCCGACATTTCGTGCTATGAATATATTTGCTGCAAACGACCTATCGCTACTGGCGCGGGAGAACATGTGTACTGGGCTATCCACCCAAAACACATTTTGTGAATATGCGAGTACACCAAAAACTACGGCATTTTGCCTGGATGGGCTCAAGGGCGAACAGCCGGGGTTGAAGTCTATTCCACTCCAACATGTGCGCAGCTTCTTAGGGCTAGAGAGATAATTTGGTGTACCACGAGTTCTCGTAGTCGCCAGGAGGCATGATTGACGGGGGCTAGAATGGTCGCGCTATACAGTTCCGTGGATCGTTCCACTAGTTTACCGAGCAGACATAAGAGTACCCCCTCTAGGAAAGCGAAGCTAGTAGCCAGTACAATAGTCATACATTGGAATTCTTGAGTTTGTACCATGGTACATGTCATAAGAGAAGTTTTACCCTGATAGCTTGCTGTGACTTGTAAAAGCCTGAGTGACGATATGAACCTAGAGACACAATTCCAGCACGAACTCGATTCCCAACCCTGATACAACCAAGCTCTAACCATACTACCACCAAGTATGTCTTCTTCCCACACCGTCTTCAGCCAAGGCAAAAGTCGAACTTCTTCCGCCATCCTCCCAAGGCCATGGGTACCAAAGAGGCCGGGTGGACCGCAAACTTTGCCTCGCTTTTTCACGTACCCTCCCATGAAAGCAAAATGGAGCTATACGCGCATACAGTGGCCGCGGAGAACACCTCCGTGCAAGCCCTCGGTTACCCCCTTAGGCTTGGAGGGTACGACACCAGCTCGTCGAAAGCGTGACATCTTGCCAAAGTTGTCTTCCAAAAAGTGCGAACCTGCCAGAAGATCTGCGCGCATCCAGCGTGAGCAAGACAAGAAAGAAGAAGACCGCTCAAGAAAAGAGCGCACAGATGCTGAAGCGGAAGAAGCGACCATGCAGACGCAAAAGATAGGCCCGGCCGGCGAATGAAATTTTGAAGTTGCGGACGAAGAAAGCCTGTCTTGGAAACTCGCGCAGCGAAATCAAAGGCGCCATAAAACCGCTCCGGCGTGGCGAGTTTGGAAAGGTGTCCGGGTCCGAAGGTGGTGACTATATGCAGCACCAGAAGAAGCTCACGCTCCAAGCGAGGGCCGAGTTAACAGAATTATACGAGACGGATATGGTGTTCGACGACGAGACCGACGCTGAAGAAGGCTGATTACCGCCCCTGAAGGGCCCAGAGTAACCACCGCCCATAGACGCGGCAGAATGACTGCTCTGTCCAAAGATTCGGGATCGACTGCGGCGCCGGAAGGTGCAAGATATGATATGAAACGTTTGGTTCCACAGGGGAAGTCTCAATTGACTGTCGGTTAGGAAGGTACGATTTAGAGCGGGGAGCATTGAGATTGATACACAAACCTGCACGCACTCGAGGAGCAAGCTCTTTGGAAGCAATCCTTTAGATATCACATAAATCAGATAAATCAGGCGCCTATCTCGAGAATTTACACTTATTTTAACGCCCTGATCCCATGAGGTCTTAGACGTTGCGACTCCAACGGAGTCGTCCGCCGCCTCTCCTATATACATCCTTATGTATGCTTGTTCTATCATCATCAGGGATAGAGCACCGGGTTGAAACAGCTTTATCCAAGGTTCTTTCGACCAAGGTCTCGTTTTTAGAGGAGCTAAATACGTTTGGGCATCGAGATTGCCCCGTACGTATGAGAGTGAAAGTGTACATCTGGCTCTCTTGAGCCTTCTATCTTTTCGGTAAGCGCGTAACGGATCGCCCGGGCCGAAGAGTGATTCAAAATACACGAAGCTCTCTAATTGGTTGCTGTCACGCAGGTCGGACACTCAATGCTCAGTCGCGTCCAGAGTAGTCCGGCTGGTGTCAACTTGCATCCACATCAACTCCCACTACGAGGCTGCCCCCCAGAAATTTCCACCGCACAACCTAGGTAGACAGCATTCAACTTCTCGGAATCTCTACAAGAGACTTACAAGCTTACAGCAACTGCGACACACTTCGTTGTCATACCAGATCACCGGCCCGACTCGTTGCACCAATAGACGCGTCTGAGACCAGGTACGACTTTCAGCCTGGAGAATCCTCCTGCACAGTCTTCATGCCGTGCATGTGTCGCTAACTCTTGATAGAAGTCAAAATGGCCAAGGTCGTACCAGCAACGAAGACCACGAGGAAGCACCAGTCCACCGCGGAAGGTACTGGTCCAATTGCACGCACGAAGAACGCGAAGGTCACGAAGCCCACCGTATCGGCACCCAAGGCACCCAAGGCAAAGGGAATTCCAACTGATAATATCTTTGGGCATCATCTTCCTTCTGCGCGCCTTCGTCTCCCATCGGCAGGCAACATCTCGGCCCTTGAGCAGGTCGTCTTCCTCACCGAGACCATCCGCTCCCGCGATCCGCTGAATCGCCTTGTACAGAATGGCTTCGACACCAAGACCTTGCAGTTCATCATCAACCAGCACCGGACGTTCCCAAAATATCCATTGAAGGGAAACAGCCTGGGTGCTATTCTTCGCAATACAATGCGCGAGTGGCAGGTAGACTGGACGTTCAGGAACCAAAAGAGCGGCACGTATCAGGACAAAAAGCCAGCGCCTGACAACCTGACGCTTGCAAACATGCAGCTCAACTGCCAGGATCTCTCCGAGAAGAACGGAAATGGCGAGGGAGTCATCGAAAACGTCCCTTTCGAAGCCCTGGCAGTTGACGTGACTCGCCTGCCGGATGGTGACGATGCGCTGGACCTTACGCGCTGTATTATCTGGTCTCTCCATAACCCCGGATCTGGTCTGCTGTATCCGCGCGACTTCGTTTGGCTGACACATCAGCTTGGTGGGCCCAAGCCGGTACAGCAGGCTAACCATGATGAAGAAGTCTTCAGGCGGTGGCACGAAGCCGACAGTGCCAACAAAACTCTCATCATCCAGACCGAAGACGAAGTCAACAAGTCTGAAGCTGCTATGAATGAAGCGCAGACGCCGGCTGCACACTTCTTTGCCAAGGCTACGCACACTACAGCCACTGCAGCGCTCGCAGCTAGTATCACTGCACAATCGGCCCTTGTCACACTCGAAGATGGCCATCATGTCATTCACCAGCACCTTGTCCCTCATGTGCCTCATGCTAGCCCCGACATGGGCGCTGTCGCCCACTATCTTGCGCAGTTGAACCATCAACCATCGGTGCACCTACCTTTCGGTACCCAGCTCAGCTTCTCGCATAGTAGAGAAGATGGCTCTGGCGTAGTCCGTGATCTTTCCACTCTTGGGTACATCGCTACCCTACCCAGTGTTCGTCCTCCTGCGTCAGCCATCGATGAGGTCAGCTACTCCCACAACGTCGCCGATTTCACTTTTCAGCATCCGGAAGATCTACTGAAAAGCGGAAAACTCTACCAGGAAGTACAGCCCAGTAATATCGGTAGTATGGGAAATTATACAACCTTCGATGACTTCAGTTTCAGCGACTTTCCGCTCGAAGACTCAGACTATGCCATGGCAGCAGAATTTCTCCGACTATCAGGATGGTAATGCTCAGGCCCGTCTAGCATTTGAAGCCGCATTCCTCCAACATCTTTGGCTCACTTTCAGATAGAGGGACTAGGATATCCCCTCAGCGTTTGATGACACTTACATCGTGTCTCAGAAACGTGCAGCAAAAGAAGGTGAAGTAACCCAGGTCGTAGATTAACAGATAAATTGAATTTAACTTTGATTCTAAGAAGCCGAGTGGCCTATTTGATTGTTGACATGAATTGTACTAGAATCTGAGTATGGAGCCTCCACATTGTTAGGAAATTGACTCGATCGCGATTTCGGTGACATACTATGACGCTCGACTTGGAAGTGCACTCAAATTAGCATTGCTTGGTTTCGATAGAACAAGCTATCTACCGCTACTGTCTTCGCGCTATTGTAACTTACCACTGCAATCTAGTCGCTATAAATGATGATCCTGATTGTCCAAGGCGAAATTTGCTTGGACAATCTCGAGTAAGCGCACATTTGCGATGAGCAAACCGCATCTGGCGCTCATATACCACTGCGTGCCAATGCAGCTCTGTCTGAGTTCTCATTGATACTTTCCACGGACAAGCTCGATCTCAAAGTGTTCATGACCAACATCTCGCTTATAGATCCAGCCCTACCTACTGCAAACGGCGGAACACGTGAAGGGGCACCCGCCTTCCCAATTTTCGCAATACGGTCGGCATGTCGCCCGATGAGCCTCCGTCCTCACCCCTCACCATTGTGAATGTGAGGCCGAGCACGGCTGCGCACTGACCTTGGCAGCAGCACGCGCCAGGTGTATAATATATCGCCACACACGGACTCAGTATATTCAACAACGTGCAGACTCAACAATTCAACAATGCCTTGTGACTGATCGATCTTCGCATCAAAGCAGTGCCTCAAAGGCACGTATAGAAGCTCATGGTATTGAGACATACACGCACGCGCATCGTCACTGACAATTCCATCAGCACACGGGCGCGCAATACTCACGTACCTTCAGCCATGACTTCAGTGGGCCAAAAAGACCGTTCCAACGTCTTCGGCCGCGAGGCCCCATCCAGGAATCTCCGTTTGCCAAAGAATGAGGTTATCACCGTTGCCGAATTCTTCACCTACTTTCCGAACAGCACCCGCAACTACAATTTCCTTCGGCGTTTTGTCCCCGCCGGTATTGACCAGAGGACGATCGCGAATATCGTCAACCTCCACCGCAAGTGGGAGAAGTGGCCAGCCGAGATCAATTCCGTCTGTAAGCTTCTCTCCAAGGAGTTCCAGGAGAACTTTGACAAGAACTGGAGCATCCGCAAGCACAACGACGAGAACTTGACGTACGGTCTTGCTTGGGGCGCCCAAGACCTCACGCTCAAGGACGTGCTCCTTGCCTGCGAAGTCTACCCCAAGATAAATGCGGCCGGCAAGATCACGAATCCGCCTATGGACAACATTCCCTTTGCCGACCTCGCCATCAACGTCGTCCGCCACCCATCGTACGCCACCGGAGACGGTTTCATGCTGACACGCTGTGTCCAGTATGCGGAAGCTCAAACGGAGAAGGGCTACATGTTCCCTCGCGATTTCACCAAGCTGGTGCGGAAGCTGCAGGACGGCCGGGTTCTCCAAGCCAAGCACTACGACAATGCCTTGATCCTTCGCTGGAAGAACAAGGGGGCCTGGGTGGCTGGCGAACTTCGTCATATTGAGGCTTTTCCGGTCGCCGAAGATTCTAACGACGAGGATATTCAGGAGTCTCTGGCTTCTGACATGATTGCAGCAACTACCTCTCGTCCTGTCGGGTTTGCGTCTAGCTTCGGCGCTGGCGGCTTTCAAGTCCAGGGCTTCGCTGCGGGCTTCGCTGCTCACCCACCCTTCCCGAGCCACATTGCTCACACACCCTTCCAGGGCCACATTACTCACACACCCTTCCAGGGCCACATTACTCACACACCCTTCCAGGGCTACACTCCTCACCCACCATACCAGGGCTTCAGTGGACACCTGCCATATCAGGACCTTGCCAGAAACTCGCCCTTCTTGCACGACCAGGGTCATGGCTTCATACCTCAAGCAGCGAACCCGTTCCAGCTGTCGCTCCAACAGGATCAGAGCCATTCGTTCTCCCAGAACGGCTTCCGGCAGCCCACTCACCCCCAGAACAACAGCGATTTGGTGACATCTACCGGGCAGAGCTATCCAATGGTGCACCAGAACGCTCCTGGTTTGCCTGTCTATATGCGGCTCGATCAGGCTGTTTTGAGATTTCCCACTGACGGGTCTTTCGACTACACCCTGTTCGATGATAGCAGCGAGACGCTCAATGACCAGGCAAGCGGTGATTGGTGGCTGCTTTGAGGGACTTCGCGGTGGCCTCATACCCTTTTTTTGAAGTAGCCCAAGCTACCGACGCCCTCCTCGCTACCCCTTCCTTTTGGCTCCGTAGCTGAGGCGGTACATGTCACAGCCAGCAGTACAAATTAATTTCACTGTTGCGCGACTTGTATGTGTCTTCCGACGCAGCGTCTTCAAGAGTTTTGCATGGCTTATCCCAGTTTTCTCACGCAACTATCGGGCTTCTTAATGGAGCTCGACATGAGGTTGTGTTTCACAGCGACAGGGGTTCGATTTTGTGACCGGTGACGGTGGTGGAATCTGGTTTCCGAATAGTTTGACGTCTTTCCTTAGATCAAAATGTCTCTTCTCAGTGTCTCTGCTTTGCTGTGGAATTTCCTGTAGTAGTGTGTCCATCTATGCCGTATTTTCATGGCTGCAAGCTCTTCGCGTCTTCTCCCATGCGCTGTGTTTGACTATAAATATTCATGTTCACGGAGCATAGGTTTATTGATGGTGGAATAAGACTCCCTCTTGTCGTAGGTACGGGTAGGTCTTACTTACGAGCATCGGTCTGCGCACTCAATTCCTGCTCCCCTATCTGCCAATGCATGGATGATGTCGAACACGACGCAATGCGCATTCCTGTGGCAGGACGTGGACTTGCCCGCTTCAATAAAACTACTGAAATTTACAATGGTTTGTCGTCAAATATGGCGGCTTTGTGTTTTTGTTTAGGGATGCCCCAGGCTTGGTATGCACGCAGGAATAGCCGATAACACGAATTTTGGTATCCTTTCTGGTCTGCAGTCAAAAGTGGAGGCAATTTTGTATGAATTATGTACAATGCAATGAGTGTCAAAGTCTAATTGTTTCCCCATCAAAGCTCATCCCAAAAACCAGACACCTGCACCCAGGGTGAAGAGTACCGCACCACCACGAGCGAAGCCTAGGCCAGCTTTGAAGCTCTCAGCTTCTCCCGACATGCTCATACCCGCCATCGCTGATCCAGTTGCCGAAGAGCCCATCCTTCCGCTCCTTGTGGACTTCATACCAGTTGGCATGACCATGCCGTCCGACATAGTCATGCCGGCTTCCATTTCTCCGGTGCGTGTACCTGTCGGGGTCGCACTAGCGACGGCTGCGATAGGCCTGCTGTTCCATTCCATGGTGACCGCTCCACGGCTTGCGGTTGGCATGGGCTTCATGTTTGGAGCCGATGTGGTGCTGGATGAGGCTGTGATGCTGGAGCGCTGGGCGAGGGCCATTGGAGCGGCTGCCACGAGGGCGAGTGTGATGAATGAGGAGGAATGCATTTAGGTGGACGACGAAGGTAATAGAATTAACTTTTTTTCTCGAGGACTGTCAAAGCCTTCGATGTATATATTACGTAAGGTAGAGAGTGGATGAAGTTGGTCGGAAGCAGATTTGAGATTAATTCGCGCGGGATGCACAATTACTCTTATAGAGATCGGTTCACATCCAGACCGCGACATACTACTCAGTTGCTTGTATCACAATGTGGCATTTGCTACGCAAAGCTCATCGGAAGCAACTATTCCAGCTCCCAGTGTGGGGCTGCACCGTCCACGCGACGGGCATGGATGCGACAGGCTAGCCAAGCATCGCGAATCGCATTCCCCGGAGCCCAGAACAAGATTCGAAATGCGTTGGAAAGCTTGTTGGAAGACTGTTCGAAAGTTGTTTCGGTTGTTTCGCCCGCAACGTTTCAAACGCGAGAACTCCTGCCTTCGCGCTAGTGTAAATACGGGAAGGCGCGAAGGGCACGAACCGAAGTTTGTTTGCACACCACGCGACGACCACCACTCTTGACTTCAACACTCTCACCTATCAAAACTGTTGTCATGAATCACGCAAACAAGAGGCACATCTGTGTAGATACTGCGGCTTTTTTTCAGATGACTGTATCACGTGCTTTGCCTCCATCCTGCACGTCTCGCTACGCGGCTATCGCCTTTTCCGTCGCTGCCGCCCGTGCAAACAGCTGATGCCTACCGAGCTTTCAGGAACTCAAATGCTCTCTGAACTCATGACAACCTTCTCGGTCCTCCATCCTCGGCCTACTCCTCATCCTCTTCTTCCTCTCCCTCTTCCTCCATGATCTGTTCCAGCAACTCCTCTGACGCCCATACCTGCTTCTGCCTCGTCTGCGCGATGAATTCGAGGTGCGCGGGGCTCTCGTTCCACCCTTCGGTCTGCATCGCGTGGTAGAAGCAAGCGCGTTGCTCGAATGCCCATCTCAGGTTCTCCGCCCAACCACTGAAATCTCCTTTGTCAGGCTGCTCGATGTTGTGCAGCATCCGGTAAGGTAGCTGCTTGCGCGGCCCGCCGAAAGCATAGGCACTGAACATATCGGTTTCGCCGGCCATGCATTCCGCATTGAAAGCACGAAGGACTACAGCTTCGTCTGGGGCTGTCGCTTCTGTAGGAGGTGCAACATACTTGGCGGAAGCAGGTGTGTAATGCTTAGCTGGAGGTGGTGCGTCGTGCTCGACGTGAGCTTCCCTTTCTCCTTTATTTGTCGCTTCCTTCAGCGCCATGTCGTCGAGTCTAGGGCGTTTCTTTGGCCTTTCTCTGCCCATGTGAGGTGCTGTGGTCGGTGTTGTGGTCGGTGTTGCGATCGGTGTTGCAGTCGATGCTGCGGGGAGTGCTGCGGGGAGTGCTGCGGGGAGTGCTGCGGGGAGTGCTGCGGGGAGTGCCGCAGTGGGCATCGGTTCACTTGTTTGTGTACGAAACTTTTGTGTCTCTAGCTTCGCAATTCCTTTGCCCTTGCTCTCTGCTTGTCTCTGCAAGTTTGGCGTTTTCAACTTCGCATCTCCCTTGCTCTTGCTCTCCTTCCTTGTCTCCAGAATGTTCTTTGCTGCTTCCATTTCTGTCGCGGACCATGTTCGAGGTTGAGCTGGCTTGACGTCCTCCCAGCGCATGAAGATCTGGCGGTCTTTATGTCCACGCCCAGCTGGTGCAGGCCCGCCAACGATAGACAACAGTCGGCTGTAGTCCTGTGGGTACAGCCACAGCTCATCCGGATTCTCGACGCAGTGCTTGACCATCCTAGTCAAGTCAAGTGCCTCGTCGCCTTGTGGCCATCTACGAACCGACACAGCTAAGTCCTTGAAAGGAACATGCCGGTTCTTGTCCAGATCGTCGGCTTCCTGTTGTTTACCCAGTGTCTTGAAGCCGGTAACCTCCAGGTTAGATTCGTCCCAGGTGTTTTTCAGAGCACTGTGCCAATCCCAATGTGCTGTAATCACCCAGCCCTCGAACCCTGCCCGGTTCATGACTTGTGCAAGAATCGATCCGCATTGATTGGGCGTCCACTCTTTTTGGAGATCCCGGGCTGAGTTTACGATGGTCCATATAGCGCGGCGGGAGGCCCCGTTGGAAGCAAAGCGGTATACGATGTCTGGAGATCGCAGGCTATTTGGTAAGAAGGCCAACAGCTCATAAGCGGTGAGTCGCGCGCCTGTAGGAAAGGGCAGATGGTATGGAGGCGCATACGGCTCGAAGATGTCTTTATTCCGTATTATGTAGCGCCTTTTCTCAGGCTCGGAAGACTCCATGGCGTGTATGCTTGGGCGTAAGAGAGCAGATGTTGATTCAGCAGAGAAGTACCGTGGCCCACCTGGCTGCACGATCTGTGTAGGGGAGTCTAGTAGGTCCAGTCTGGAAGAAGTTCCAATCCAAGGAGATTTTGGCTGCCGCAACAACCACAAACCCGCTACAGCTGCTGGTCCAAGCGTCTCAGTCAATTTTGGCTGGCCACGGACGCGTCTAACGCCCTCGCACTGCCTACACCCCACCACGTATTTTGTGTCAGCATAGCTCTGCCCTTGGTGTATACACACAAGACATTGCTCGCACACCACGAAGCTCGTGTGGCCGCAAGACCTGGCAGGTAATTGCGCTCTCCCTGATCCTTTTTGCTGCACTCAAGCACAAGTCATTCAGCTGACAAGATAGAGACACTACAATGGCATCTCCCCTCGCAGCGAACAATGCGTTCGGCGCGGGTAGCCCCCATTGGAACCTCCCCTTTCCGGCTGGCAACATTACGGCAGCCGAGCTCATGGCCTATCTCCCCCACTGGTAAGCAATGTGACGGTGTGAACTGCATGTGAGCCTTCAGCATACTGACTGGGACCACATCTAGGCTGAAGAGCATCGATGTCATCGACCGCTTCGTTACCAATGGTGGAAAATCTGTCTCCATCGCCGCATTAATCAACGAGTTCAGGAACCTGCCCGGTGACGGCGTGTTCCGCCCAAACTCTGCCACAGTCATGATGTCTTACGGCATGCGTCGAGCCAAGTTCCATGACTGGACAGTGGCGACACACTTCAAGTTCAAGCGGCCGGACCCCAAAATGCTCGAGAAAGACCTTAACGTAGAAGACTTTCGAGCACCGCGGGAGACTCACCCTAAGAGTGCCCCTTCAGGAGTAGCATCAACCAATTTTAAACAGAACAGGGAGGCAGATCCGATTGAGTTTCAGTCCCTTGCTCGGCACGTTAAGACCCATCCGGCCGGGGACGATGCCCTCGATCTTGCGCGCTGTGTAGCTTACGCACTCTCTCACCCGTCCGAGAAATGGTACTTTCCCACGGACTTTGAGGCCATGGTGAATAAGCTTGGCGGACCCGCACCGGTTACCAACGCTCACCACGATCGACAAATCTTCGCCCGCCGCACAGGGTACGTCTTCCCATCGCCGCAGAAAATTGCTTCCAGGGCTACACCTACAATTAAGAGCGAACACACTCAGTTCGACGGGTATCCTGGTAGTCCCAGCGTCATGTCTCAATCTAGTAGGTTCACTAGCGGTTCTTACGCGCCAGCGTCGGGTTCACCATTGAAGCGTATGATGGGTACAGACGGTACGGTTGAGCCTGGCGGTCGGAGGAAGAGCGGAAGGCTGGCGAAGAAGGCCACTGTTAACTTTCGAGACCACGGCTCGGACTTTGAGGTGATTCTGGCGACTCTCAGTATCTAAAAAACTCCGCTGACAATGACATAGGACAACGACGATGTCGCATCCCCTCCATCTGGCTATTCCACTCCAGCAAAGCGCCGTAGACTTGCCGGACTGCCGCCCGTTCGCGCATCGCCTCTCAACGATAGCGACTTCCACCAGGGCGACTCCGAGTCTGACGAGGAGATCCCAGACGCCGAGGTGGTCAGCGAAGATGAACTCGTCTCACCCATCAAAGGCGCTCGTGGTCGGGCCGCCGCTCTCAAGGCGCGCGAGGTTATCCGCGACATCACTTCTGAGACTCAGCGCAACATCGACGTTCTCGCCAAACAGAAGGTCAACACGACAATCTCACCCAACAAGCCCAGCATGTACTCTGCTCCCGTGACCAGGCCAGAAGTTGAAGTCAGCCCCGAGATGATGGATCTGGCACGCGCCTTCCCCTTCGGCAAGCCTGTCTTCCTCAAGCCGCCCGTTCTGTCCGAGAATCGTCTCCGCGTCGACTCATCCTCGATCTACCTGTATGCTGCCGACGGAGCTATCACTTCGCAGGACATGTGGGCTAGCGCCCTGTCTTCCACCCGCTTCAACGGTCCGCGTCGTCACGCGCCTTTCCGTGAGTTGCACCGCTTGACCGACCCGATGCCGATGGATGTCAGCGACTGGGCCGAGAACATCCGCTGGGCCAAGGAGCAGTATGCTCTCTACGGTAGCAATACGTGGACTGAGTACGATTACCACCTTCAGCTCATCACAGAGCACCGTAGGGCGGTCTTCTGGGTCAGCGACCAGCTTATCTCCTTCGGTTGATGGCGTGAAATGTCTCGGCACGGCAGCGGCAACATTGGTGTCATTGGTAGTGAGATGTCATTGACATGCGTGTGTTGTCACACGGCTTTGTTGCTTTGGATTGACCTCAGCACTGGATGGTCTGGATGGATATTGTGCGACCTCTTAAATTGGGGTCTTGCACGGAGTTGGAGCCACGTTACATACTGCTCACGCACTGCACATGCACAAGATAACGAATTGAAAACTCTACTCGGATAACTCGTGACATGGCTGATATCATTTGCTCGTCCTTTGTGATTAACATGCATTTCTGACCGGCTGACCAGCAAAAACTCAAATTGTTAAAAGTACAACAACTTATGCTTATCTGGCTATCAACAACATGAGCGCATGTGCGAACAAGTGGTCTAAAAGCTGAAGGCTTGTCTTCTATGCAACCTTCAGGACCGACTGCCTAAGATGTCGCTGATATCTACGCGCGCGTTGACACTACTTATGCAAAGACGTGTGATGAAACGAGCAGAAAGCCAGAGGGCCTGGTGGACAGCAAGCCTCCATTACCCTGGAAAATGAAATGCTTGAACGAGCTCAGTCCACTGGGACAGACTGCAGATGTGCCGCACTTGAGATTACGTTGTCCTACTCGTGCTTGGTCCAGACAGGTGCCGTGACGGCGCAACATCCAGTATAACCACGTGCGAAGATACACGCCAACAAACAACATGCCCTCCATGATGTGAACCGCGGCCAACCGCTCCAGTATACAGACTGCCAGCGGCGCAAGAGGGGCCTTCCTGCCCATCTCTCACGCCGGCTGCAGCATCATACAGTGCCTGGACTCTGGCGGCGGGTCCGCCACCCGTTCCCAAACTGTAGATCCTAAAAGAGTGTGGTTGCTGTCAGCTTGTAGCAGTGGGCTGGCTTTGTGGCGGACATCTTGTTCGCGGCCGTAGCTCTTGCGCGCACGCTGAACAAGACGTTCGCAGCGCCTTCCGTCTTCCGCCAGACTGTGTATGCTCAGACTGACAGCGTTACCGTTGGATATTACGTTTCTGCGTGCATGCATTCGAGTTGAATGCGTCGCTGCTGTCTCAATGTACCATCTTCAACGTGCCACTGTCGGACATGAGAGAGCGTCTTTGTGAGCGCACGATGTTGGGTTGTCTGAGTGTCGCATCGTGCATTTCGTCGTCAAACTCGTTACTGACAGGAGTGCGGTCGACGGAAGTCTCAAATCATGTACAAAACGCTGGGTGCAAATCCTATAATGTTGTTGTGAGGCTGGTCAGTTGGAGCTGTGGGAGCGTGTTCGGCTGCGCACGTTCCACCCAGAGCGGCACATGTAGTGAGAGCAGGTCCTTCATGGTTAGCCGTGTTTTGCGCAAAAACTCGGAAGTTCATTTTGAATGCGGCTAGAGACCGATCCCTGCGAGGATGGTCGCAATGGTCATTGGCTCACACTTTAGAAGTTTCAAGCGTGTTCGTACATAGACACATAGATATCAATACCAGTAAACAAGATAAGAAGCATATGGATTGGCACATTGAGCAAAGCTTTTAAATTGAGCTTGTTATGAATCATGTAGCATCAGGCCATGCAACGTGAACATGATGTGCGCCAAAGCCAGTCCCAGGGTATCATTCCGTCCCAAACCTTATGAAACAGACTAAATATTGTCGCATAACCTAACATGAGACCCCGTGTGCCAACGTGTCTAACCGGCCATCTATCCTCATGCGTTAGTATGTATGTAAGACCGTAATTCCTAGTAAATAGAAAGAAAAATGACGAGAATGTCGCAACGCTGGTGCTGAGGTGGGCCAAAAGAAAATCATAATAAGCAAAGAAGACGAACGGTTGGTGTATCGGCTAGTGATAGATTGTAGCCGATGGGACGCCCTAAACTTCCACAAGGGACCGATCGACCCGTGTTCAATACCAAGAATCGTGTCGCTGATGATCTGCCAAACGGTAATACGGTCCGAATCCGTTGGGCGGAACAAGGCCGTTGTCATCAATTTCGGGGTATGGCAGATTCTGTGGGGATACAGTACCGAGGGACTCCTGCGGCTGGCCCTCGGGATCGTAGATGCTCCCGACTGGATCCTCAGATATGATGGGGGGTAGGTCCGGAAACATACTGAATGCGGTTGTACTATCTGTGGTATGATGCGGCGAAGTATCGCTGGGCACAAGAGGAGCCATGGTCGCTGCATTTTCGACGTTCTCGACGCTATCAAAGAACCGGTTTATTTCTTCCGCTGTTGGCGTTTTGGCTGCACAAAGAAGTTCGGGGTCCCATGGATCAAGATCCATGCCGTCCATGATTGTGTCTTCAAAGACAGAGAGCTGATTGTTCTGAGGTACTCCAAGATGATAGTGCTGATTGGAAGAAGGCTCTGGATGAGAAAACTGCCGGTACTGCGATGTGTACGAGGCCTGTTGATCATTCCCATGAGATAGGACAGGGACAAAGAGCTGTTTGGAAGGAGGCTCTGGATGAGCAAATTGCGGGTACGGTGATTTGTACGAGATTTGCTGATCGTTCCCATGAACCAAGACGGGATGCTGCGAGTGTCTCGGGTTGCTGATGGCTTTGAATACGGGATCCAATACTTGAGATGATTGGTCATGGGATCCTATTTGTGCCCGGACATCGATTGTGTTCTGCATTAGAAGAAACTGCACTTCATGGGCATTACTCCAGAGCATCTTCTTGCGCTGCGACTTCCTGGACTTGCTGACACCACTCGATGCGGGCCTCAAAGCAACAGATCGAGTGCTGTGATTGGATTTCATGGCGCGATGAAGCCCACCCCGAGCTGCTGGATGAGGGAAAGGCGCTACGAAGTGGCTGGGAACAGGTCGAGCCCCAGAGGGATTAGGAGCGTGAGCACCGACGAGTTGAGGATCTTGTGCAGTGGCAGTGGGCTGATGAGTCTGTACGACAGGTGCTAGTGGAGCGATGGGCACAGGCTGAGGTGGCTGAGCTGCGGGAAGAGCTGCAGCTTGAGTAACAGGAACTGCGCCCACAACCTGTCCAGTTGACTGAGCGGCAGGGGCACTAAAGCCGTGTGCTAGAAGGGGCGCCTTGATGGGTGCTGCAGCAGGTGACGGTGGTCCACTCTTCCAACGGCGGAAAACTTCCTGATCAAGATGCTTTTGCTGGATGGTACGACGTCCCATGTGGTTGACAAGCGCTGTGAAGTCGCTCGGGTACATCCAGTTCTCTTGCGGGTGAGCTACTGCATATTGAACACAGCTGCTCAGATTCAAGCCGTCGCCGAGGCGATGGGAGGGGAAGCGCTGCACTCCTATTGCAAGCGAGTCGAAGCGGACGTCCGGGACCAGAACACCATTCTTGCCAAGATCTGGGGACTCGCCAGTCAACTCCAGGTTTGTATGATTGAACGGCCCGTAAGTGTCCTTGAGGTTGGCCTTTTGGTGATAGTTGTTGGTCCACTCGAGCATTGCTGCGACACGCTGCTTCTTCACCACTTTTGTGCCAGGATATGTGAACAGTTTCTTATCGCGCACAGACTTCTGCATCATCTTGCAGATAGAGTTCTTGTCCGCCTTACCTTTGCTGCTGGGTGTACGGAAGTAGTCGACCATCTCCTCGATTATCTGATTTGAGTAGCCATTGGAAGCGAAACGAAAGGTGATGGCGAAGGACCGAAGCCCGTTTGGGCTGAAAGCAACGATCTCTGCGGCCGTTATTGGCTCTCCTTGAGCGAAGGCAAGATACTGGGAGGGGGCATCTGCGAACAAAGGAGAATTGTTCTTGCGAGGAGGAGGAGGAAGTGCTGCCATGTTGGGGGTAACAAGAGATTGGTGTCTCTGCGGCTACAAATATTTGTAAGCTCGAACGTCTTCCTTCAGTTTGAAGATGGTAAGGTTGGAGCGGCAATATGATATGTGATGGGTAGACCAAGGAACGTACCTAGGGGTACCTGGGTACTAGGTAGAGAGCGTTGAAAGTGAGAGTCGAGAGAATGAAGACTGCCAATCTTGGTTGTGGAGCGGATGCAGAGTGTGAGAAAAGAATGAAAAGGTAGTAGGAGAGAATGCGCGATGTTCATGTATAGAGCGGGCAGAAGAATTCACGGGTGGTGCCAAAGCGTCGACTAGCCCGCGTTTTTTTCGAGAAAGGTATTCCGTCATCGGCGCACAGTGAATCGATGAAGTTCACGATATCGCGGCAGGCCAATGACAGAGCTCGACCTATAGCTCTCGCAATGAGGGTACGTGCACCAGCTTCCTGAGCTCGTGCAAAAGTAACGATCCTGCGTGCATCTGGAAGGGACTAGCCCGAACGAGTAAGTCGGCGATGTGCAAGGGTCAGGATACACAGCAGAGCTCTCTGCAGGCTGTATAAGGCTGCAGAGCGTGCGTAGCTGCAGCATGCATGACGTCAATCATCGTGAAACGATCGTGGGCGTGTCAGGAAATGCGCGATTTAAACCAAGCGGGACAGTTGGGTAGGGCCATAAAGGTTGGAACATGGGAAGAGAGTTCGTAGAGACAATTGCATATAAATCGCAAACTTATATGTTGACTATATGAGCGAGATTCGGATTGAGGAATGTAGATGCGAAGGGCGCGCTCTAAATACGCGCACCAGGTTGCCAGTGGCTCGACGCTTGCTATTCGAATGCACGAGCATAGCAACACGCGCGCAATCGAAATCGCAGGCAGCAAATGCATCTCTGTCAGAAATGAGCCAAGCGCTATGCCTTCAGTGATTCAACTCACAAGATCTTTCAGGCGACACAGTACAGCGTGGAAATTAACGGAATGAATCGCGCAACTGCGCGGCTGGTCTCAAACTGGAAAGATTAGATACTTCAGGGGATTTCAACGGAAGAAATGAGTATAATTCCGTCCAGTCTGGTAATGAAGTCGATTCTGTGAGCGCTTGCTCGTCGTAAGTCGTTTGTAATCAAGTCGAAGAATGTTGCTTGTTCATACTCCGCGTAGCATTGAGAGCAACAAATGCGAGTTATACGGTTGCTGTTGCCAGCAATTGACCTTATCGCCATATCTGGACAGTGCACTCATGTGGTATGAATTGGACGTTGGTGGCTTGACGTTGAATTTCGGTCTCACTAGCGTCTTGGCAGGGCACATGCATTCATGCAGGTACCATCGATCGCCCAAGCCCATGTCAGAACAAAGACAGGAGGAAGATCATGAAAATTTGTTGCACGCAGGAATCAAAATCTCGTTCATCTGCGTATCCTTGATATGAGTCGCTGTTTTGCGCAACCCTAAGAGAGCAGTGCGACGTTACTTCACTTCGACCGCAGTGCTTTCGGAGTATCAGCATCCCTACGATCCCAAGCTCAGAGTGCTGAATTTTTTCCTCTCACCAGATGCTCCTGACGTTTTCCTTAGGACCAAGATCCGGCCGCCGCCTGCATCTTTTCGATATTCTCGACATTCATTCTCCACCACTTTAGCCTTTCCTTCCTTCGCAAGACGCTCCACTGCCATATCAAAGCCCGCCTCCTGCCAGTGGCTCTCCAGTATGGTAGCTACGACAATACCGCCGATCTTTATCACCCTCAAGAACTCCTCCAGTGGCTCTGGTCCAAGATGTCCGTGTGTAAAGGTGCCGCAGCATGTGACAACGTCATACGTTCCATCTGCGAATGGTAGCCTCGATGTCAAATCAGTAGTCTTGACGTTCCTGTATGCCCCTGTCTTGCTTGCAACGTCAAGCATGCCTTGACTGATGTCGAGTCCATCGATGTTCTTCGCGCCTAGCTTCGCCATTTCAACACCAACGAGCCCAGTCCCGCACCCGGCATCAGCAATAGTCGTATTGCTCAAGGATTCTTGCGGGTTGCGCATATGGTTTAGCTTCAGTCCACGAGTGACCGCTTCGGCGACTAGGCGTGGAGCTGTGAACTCGTGTTCAGTCATGTCTTTGTCGTAAGTGACTGCCCACTCATTATACAGTTTGCGCGATTCCTCGGTACTGCTGGCTGCGAAGACGCGCTCGAGAAGTGTATGCTTTGCGGTGTCGGCCATGCCCAAGGACATCTCTCCACGGTAAGATTCTGATTCCGTATGGCGTTGAATACAGCAGTGACCAGCTACACAGGCGATGCGAAAGAAACCTGTAGGAAGCTATGTTGATATATCGTCGGCTGAACACCCGCAGTATGCATGTCGCTGGTGCTCATCTTACGTCATGCTGCCCCGCACAGATAAACTACTCTACACCTTGAGCACCACCTTGCACAGTCATCATCACTGACGTTGATTCCTAGATGCAAAAGTGTCGCGATTGAGGGTGCAGCAACTTTGCATGCTGCTAGCCACGTAGAAGAGTGCGGGGTTCGAAATGCTTCCTTACAAAAGTCAACAAAGAGAAGGCATTTCATCACGTGCCACAAGACTGAAAGAATCTCAAGAGAGGAAGTCTTGATAGATAGCAGTGCTCATTTGACGAAGGATGTCAGTGTCAATCACGTGTAAGTAGTGGCTAGCGTGGGTCTAGCGCGACGTTTGAACGCGACCACGCCCCACATCAGCTACATCCAGCACATCGGACGCAACAAACATCTCATAACTGTGTACAGTTCGTGATGCGATTTTCTAGCCTATATCAAAGCGGTTAGGATTTCCAATTAGCATTCGTGACGGATTTCGGCAACGCATTTCATCTCGAAGTGGAAAAGGAGGATTTGATTCACCATCCGCCATACACTGTCTGCAGATCACGTGCACTGAAGAATGCTATCATCAACCCGCTGTCCGCCAGCCCGTTACAGATTCGTCACAGCAACAGTGACTACAGCCTGATCACACAAACATCAATGAAATGGAAGGAGGGTTATTAAGTACGCAGAAATATAAGAACACAACATTGTGCAGGACTTGGGCAATGCCACGATAGTACTGGACCCCGATCATACACAGCCTGTGCTTCTGCGTCTTCCCAGCACCCAATCCATCCCTTTTTTGGAAGACGAGCTCGAGGAGAGCACATTCATTGCGCATGATATGGTTATGTGTCTTCGCAACGAATGGCGAGAAAGTGATTCGAAAACAACCGCATTGCATCAACTACGTTGTGTCTGTACAACGTTCATTCGCAACTTGGAAAGACAGCGCTTCAGCGGCAAACTCTCCATAACATGTTTCATCGACAGGGGAATATTTGAACTAGTAATCGCTGCAGACAAGAGGCCACGGCTGTACGATGTGCAATTTTAACGCGCTGTCAGCTCAGTATGTAATCATCGGAGATGCATTGTCATCTCTGGCCTACATCAGCATGACTGCCCTGCGTCTTGCCTATGTTGAAGTTGAGCATCGAATGCGCAAAGCTTTCAGACTGTGATTCCGAAGATGTTCAATTCACCGACAATCCTAACATCTTCGACAAATGTCTGACCACACTTTCACGGATGTTTATTCAAGACGTGCCAGGGAGGTTGGTGGATGATTCCGACTGTGGAGAAGCACCGAAATGGCCGAGTTTGTTGGGAACAATCATCAGACGGTGAGAGGAACAAGCCAAAGCGTTGTCGAACCGTGCAGCTTGAGCGACCGAGTCTACGCGACATTGAGAAACTCGTACGAGATGGTCTCAGCCGTGAGGCAGGGAAAAGTGCCTTGGGAGCGAGGCTTGTAGCCAATGGCCGATCTGCCGACGCGTGACTTCCTCTCCGACAGCCTCGGTCCAGTGTTGGCCGCGGTTGCCCCACAAGACGTTAAAGCTCCGCCTCCGCACTCTACAAGTTCCAGCGCAGCATCTCCTGGCTTCCCAAAGCATCTCATAGACTTCCCAGATTATCTATTCTAATCGCAAAAAATGACCGAACGCCTCAAGTCCATCGTTTCGCAAATTGCCCCCTCAACCAACGCGTTGTCGGCCATGTGAGTACCCGCCACCTGCACTCGTACAACAAATGTTTCCTACCTCTCCATGCACATGGGACGAAGAGCTGATACGCGTCGCGCAGCACCACCAAGAACCCCGACGATGTTGTCATCACCCTCGCGATCCGCACACCTCTCACAAAGGCACACAAGGGTGGCTTCAAGGACACGACGCTCGATGCACTCCTCGTCAAGAGCCTGAAGGCGGTTGTACAAAACGCGAACATCGACCCTGCGCTCGTAGAAGACATCTGCCTCGGCAACGTCAGCGATTCCAAAGCCGCATACTACGTCCGCGCCGCCATGCTGGCTGCTGGCTTCCCCAACACCACATCCGGTTCATCCCTCAACCGCTTCTGCTCATCAGGATTGAAGGCCGTGCAGGACATTGCCAACCAGATTTCCGTTGGCAGCATCGAGATCGGTCTGGCTTTGGGCGCTGAGAGCATGACCGCGGGCGGCGACCGTCTCGAGAGGCCGTTCGACGATGAAATTTTGGAGAACCAGGAGGCCAGCGACTGCATGCAGCCCATGGGCCAGACATCAGAGAACGTCGGCAAGGACTTCAACATCTCGCGCGAGAAGCAGGACAGGTTCGCCGCAGAGTCGTACCGAAGAGCCGAGGTCGCGCAGAAGGCCGGCTGGTTCGATGACGAGATCGCGCCCATTAAGGTCACCCTCAAGGACCCCAAGACCGGCGAGTCCAAGCAGGTTACCCTCACCCGGGACGAGGGCATCCGTGCCGGAACCACATTCGAGAGCCTGCAGAAGCTCAAGCCTGCCTTCCTCCCCCACGGCGACAGGTCACACGCCGGTAACTCGTCGCAATTGACCGACGGCTGTGCCGCCGTCCTGCTGATGAAGCGCTCAACAGCCGAGAAGCTCGGCCAGCCCATCCTCGCCAAGTACGTCGGCGCCACCGTTGCCGGCCTTCCTCCCCGCATCATGGGCATCGGCCCATCCGTCGCCATCCCCAAGCTCCTCACCAAGTTCGGCCTGACCATCGACGACATCGACCTCGTTGAGATCAACGAGGCTTTCGCATCCATGGCTGTCTACTGCCTCGAGACTCTCAAGATCGACCACAACAAGCTCAACGTCAGGGGAGGTGCGATTGCGCTTGGCCACCCGCTTGGATGCACCGGTGCGCGACAGATCGTCACTGGTCTGAGCGAGTGCAGGAGGCAGAAGAAGAAGGTTCTGCTCACGAGTATGTGCATTGGTACTGGTATGGGCATGGCCGGTTTGTTCGTCAACGAGCAGAATGTTTAGGGGTTTTATGTAGTTTAATCTTCGGGTTGTACATGGTTCAATATATTCATATCAGACTTGCATCGGTGCCCTATCAGGCCTTTGGTCTATCTGTCGTTGAGCATACACTCCATGCACAAAAAGACGCGTGACAAGCGCAAGTGTGCTTGTGATTCGAACAAGCCGTCTACACATGATGTGTAACCATCCGATTATTCGGACCTGACATGCATTGTGTTCGATTCCAGTATCTCAAGTGAGTGCTAGGCACTGCATCTTCCGGCGCGACATGTCCAAACCATATCGACAATAAGTTCTTTGAGCGTGCTCAGGCCTATCTTTCCAATGTTCCATTTTCTTGAATAGGAACTTTGCTCAGCAGAGTAACTCTAGCTCAATTCGCCATCGAGGGTGATACAAGCGAAGTGGAGCGGGCAAGGCCATCCCATCTCCTCATGTGCCTTTGATGCATCGTGTGTAGTTCCACCAGTGATTCTCGATAGTGCAGCGCTGTGCGATATCCGGTCCTGGAGGAATGCGTCAGCTTAATACCACCTCGCAAGTACGACTTGCACACCTACCTGTACCCGCTCAAAACTATGTGATGAACAGCCGTCGTCACCTTATGATAGTGTCTTCAACACCACCAAGCAGTACAACCTCAAGCTCCACCTCTCCCGTAAACGAGGCGTACATGAGCACAAGCTTTTCCAAACCCCCTGACGTCGTCGGAGAAGTCTTTCCCAGGGACGGAAATCAAGATATTTTTCTTCAGCGTGTAAAAAGCCTCCATGGCCTTGAACTTCTCCGACCAGTGACTGTTAATCGACGCAATGCGATTCTCGACCTTCATTTCCTAGATCACTTTGCGGAGTGCAGTGCCGTTGGAAGGGATGTAGGCGAATCGCATGGTCTTTTGGTCGGGTGAGCGCGTCAGGCCCACGTAGATGGTATCGATGTGAAGAACCTCGTTGAAGATTATGGTTCGTATCTCGGTAGGGAGTTGGAGAAATCGCGAGTCCGTGTTATCGACGTTGTTGCTTTGCAAGGTCAGTGTGCTGTCTCGCATGTGGAGCGTGATGCTTACGGTTCAGGGACATGCCGCTGGTCAGCGAGTCTCTTGACTAGTATCATTCTCTCTATGGAGATGGCGACTAGCGCACGATAGTTTGCATGATGAAGAGTAGTGTGTGAGTGAATACGCATATTCTATTTGGAGCTTTTGCCGCGTCGTTGATCAATTGTATCTATCTGCATGATATCTCGAGCACTACGCAAACAAGCTGGCAGCAGTGAAGTCTCTTGGGAAGCTGCGAATCCACCACAAGAGGCGGGTGTGAGGGACGCAAAGTGCTCCCCATAGCGCGTCATCTCGATCAGTTGTCATCTGTCACTTCAACCTTACTGCCGCCATGCCTTCGGATCCTCGCCTTGATTACGGCCAGGGTCGCGGCGGGGTTGGGGTCGCAAGTCATGCCAGAGTATGAGATATCTACGGCCTTCAACCTGAACAGGCGGTTCAAGGCGACGTACCACTCTGGGAGCCCAGCAGGGTCCGCTCCATCGGGCGAAGGCGAGATGATGAGACGCATCTTCATGAGCCACTTTCGGCCAACTTCGGGAAGCAGTGGGATCAGCTCCTTGAGGTCGGGCAGGCGGAAGCAGAAGGTGTGGGTGGAGAAGGAAAGGTAAACTGTCTCGGAGCGCAGTTGACGCGAAGTACGTGTGAGTGGCGTGAGGACTCCGAACATGTGGTGGTAGTCCTCGAGGAAGATCCTATGGAACGCGCCCGCTCGGGGTCCAGATGGTGGCTCTCGGTAGGTGAGCTTCGGCAGGGCTGTTCCAAAGGCGGTTTCCACATTAATCCTATGGCCTTCGAGGACGTCGATGAAGATCGCTTCACGCAGTTCGGCGGCAAGGTTGAGAAGGGGGGAAGCGTCCTGGTTAACATTGGCCCTGTTGCCGTGGTCAGTGCAAAGCTACGTTGTGAAATGAGAGTTCCTTACATATCCTCAGCTTCCTCTTGGGTCAAGCCATGAGTGGCGCTTGTGTCCATGACGATTCCTTCTGTCGTCATACTTTCAGTGTGTCAGGGCACTTAAGGGCAGAAGTTGAGCTCGTAGCAAGGATTTGTGATCAAAAAGCCGACTTTGATCAGGGCTGACAAGGCAGCGGGCGACAATTACAGTCGCGATTCCCCGCTCGCTAAATTTCCCAAAAGAAACTAGTGCTACTGTGGAGGGTGTGAACACTGACTAGTGGGGATTCCCCATATCAAAGTCGATCTGGCTCAGAGATCCGCTTCAGATCACACCACCGTACCAGCACATCACTGCTAAAATACACCATCAAGCAAAACAACATGGCTTGTCAGACTCCTAACCTGATCGCCTTGGGAGCCCAGCTGCCAGGTTTCGCCAACAAGAGACGCAAACTGGCGCCTCAGACTCCCACCACGATCGCCTTTGGGACGCCCGGGCCCCAAGACTGCTGCCCGTTTCTTTCGCTCCCTGGAGAACTCCGCAACCGCATCTATGAGTACGCTTTCCGTGTAGACCACATCCAAGGCACGCAGTACGATGGCTCCGTGGTGCGCAAGACCAACAACGAGTACAACACCATGGCGAGCAAATATACCATGACTTTCGAGACTCGCGACCCCAACAACTGGCGCAGCGTGCCCCAACAGCTCTCTGTGCTCCTCTCCCTCCCACAGACCTGCCGCCAGATCTATGCCGAGACCAATGGCATGCCATTTTCCGAGAACTTCTTCGACGTCGGGCTGCACGCCATCCAGCACTTTCTTGCCGTCGTACCACGACCCATCCTCGACGGCATCACCGTCATCAGCCTTTGGAAGAGCCCTGGCCGCATGATGGATCAGGCGGACAATCTGTTCCTTGCGTCACATGACGATGAGAATGCTCCCGGCGTATGGAGAACTCTCCTACGTCTACTGGGCGCTTTACCGTCCCTGAAAAGGGTCATCTTGAACGTGCGTGGCGGGGTGGAGGGGCTAAGGCTGGGGGTACATTGGGAGCAGAGGCTGAAGGGATACGTGGAGGGCATAGTTGAGCGCTGTACAGATCTGGAAGTGGAGGTGGAGTTGGTATGAAAATGTAGCGGCGAATGCTTGGGGATGAGGCACACCTGGCCATGTGTGGCAGCGCACGCCATTCTTCCGTACAGGCACAGTAGATATGAGGCAATCAACTTGCAACCAGTGAAAACTCAACGATATTGGGCGCTGTTTCGTGGAGACCCGTCACGCTAGTACATTTGCCCTAAGGTCGTTCACTTCGGGTCTGCGCAACGAACTTGCCCGTTGAACCCGAACATCACCCAACCATCTCCCTCAACTTTCTCAAAACGCCCAATACCCAGCCTAGATCGCCTTAAATCATGAAGTACGTTCTAAATTGCCCGCGTTGTATGCCGCGGCGGTTCATGTCCAGCGTAGATGCGTACTAATTCACAGTGTAGCAACACCATGGACTCTCCGACCTCCCCGCTCATGCGGCTACCAAAGGGTGTTCGTAAGCGGATTCTTGTATACGCCCTCCGCAGCCAATACATTCGATACCACAACCGCAAACTTCAAAAACCCGCCCCGAAAACAGGCGCTCATGCCCGTCAACGTTATTACTGGGCGGGACACTACAGATCTCTCCAGCCACCATTCCGTATCTATGATCCGCGGACCGGACATGATAGTTTCCGTTGGTTGTCGAGTCTCATGTCGCTATCGCTCGTGTCTCGCCAGCTTCGCAAGGAGACAGGACTGCTCTTGTGGGAGGTCAATGTCTTCCACGTAAGTACTCCATCACATTACATGATGATATTAAAGTCTTGCTGACGCTCTCCTGCCTCCAAGATATCCTTAGACCAACTCCCTCACTTCGTCGACATTCTCCCTCGTGAGGTCATCGGCTGTGTCAAGCACATCGGCATTTTGGACAACGCCCACCTCATGGAGCACATCGAGAAGTTCACCGCGCTGAAGAAGCTGCCTGCCCTCACAGGCATTACACTAGTTAAAATGGGTGGCGTGAAGACAGAGAGCGGTCTCGAGTTGGTCGTGCGTGCGATCAAAGAGTACGCGGGCAAGGAGTACAGCATAGTTGGAGTTTGAGACCAGCGTAGATGTCACTAGGGTGGAAGGGCTAACGGCTGTACACTTGTTATTGAGAGCGATAGATAATACATGGGACCCAGTCTCCAAATGAACGCTGCAAGTTGAGGTCGCACTTCATCGCTGCAAACTCGCGCTAGCAAGCTAGTCCCGCATTATCTTCACTTCTCTGCCCAGACAACAACCACCGCATCGTGCACCACTTATCCTCGGACAACAGTACAAGATATTCACAGATCCAAACAAGTTCCGCAATCATGACCACAAACACCATGTCAGTGCTAGCAAAGTGCCGTCGTTTCGTATTTCACACTGACTTGAATATAGCATCGAGCGCAACCGCACCTCCTCTCCGCTCCTGCGCCTGCCTCAAGAGCTCCGCGACCAAATCTACGGATACTTGCACTACACCAGCTTCCTCACCAAGGAAGAGGGTCCCCTGCCGAGGATGTACTGCAGGCGAAAATTCCGCTACCTCGTCCCCAACGTCCTCGCGCTCAGTCAGGTGTGCCGGCAGCTGCGCGACGAAGCGGATCTGCAGTCATTGACATTCAGTGTCGTCGAAGAGGACGGAGGAATCCTTTTCAACACGGTGGTGATGCTGCCCCGCCAGCAGGGTGTCACTTGGGTGAATTGGATCAAAAGGCTCCCGACAAAATAGCGACCTGGAAATGGCGTTTGCTTGAGCGGCGGCTCATCAGGTAGCATGCAGAGACATTTTTTTGGAGAACTCCAGCTTTCCGCAAAGTAGCTTAGTGTGCTCTTAGTCAGAATGAATTGTGCCCCCCTCCACTCTTTTTCTCTTGCACTCATCCACCCAAGTTCATTTGATCAAACTCGCACAGAAGACAACCACTCCATCCAGCACTCAACTCTCTACACGACCTTTACACAAAGTCTGCCATGGAGTCTATGTATGTTGAAATCGACGATTGTGATGTTGTGTTTGATCCTGACTTCCACACAGCACCGACCTCAACCGCCGCACCTCCCGCCTCCTTCGCTTGCCCGGCGAGATCCGGAACCAGATCTTCGGCTATCTCTTGGACAGCACCGACCTCATCAGTATAGATGATAAAAGACGAAACGGATACGGCAGAAATTACTGGACGGGCCTGGAAATTCACTTCTCCGAAATTCTTGCCATGACGATGGTCTGCCGACAACTGCGCGAAGAAACACAACGTCGCCTCTTCCAAAACAGCAAGCTCTTCACGAGGTGCTCTGGCGACGCTCTTGTAACAATGCCAGCGAGCATAAGCGCTCTCATCACAAAACTGCACGTTGATCTTGGATGGTACCATCGTATCCAGCGGCACACCGGGGAAAGCTTTTGGGACAGGTGGACAGAACTGGAGCAATTGCCAAGACTGGAAAAGATGGTTGTAGTCCAGCGCTCGGCTGATTGTGAGCGACCCTTACTGCCAATGATCAACATGTTCCGGTGGGAGGTGAAACAGAAGGACAACATGGGCAAATCTGGAGTTTGGGCGACATATGCCTGGAATATTAGGAAGGAATATCTTCATGCGGAGAACTTTTACCTCCATGAACAGCGTCTCTACGAAGCCGGAGGCGTGCGTGACTGAGACTGGAATCATATCTTCAGAATACGGCATTGGAAACAAATGACTAGTGGTATTAGACTCCGTAATATCGTAAAGTCCTGAGTGTAATAAGATTGAGGGTGAACGCTAGCAGGAGTCTATCTTCTCATGCGCATAGTCTGAGTACGGATATTCCACATGGCGATGACCAAAACTGTCGGTCCGACACGGACGTGTGGACGTGAGGCAAGCTTCACCTATATGTAACTTGGCTCATCCCTGATTTGTGATACCGGTATGCCGTACTCGCTAGCCTTTTGCTCTACAAACTGCTAAGTCAGAATGCGCTGTTGGCCCCAAGGCCGTGTTCTCTCTCGTGTCAGATTCCTCCTCCGATTTCCTATGAGGTCAGTGGTAGACGGCGTGAACCGAACACTCCTAGGACTCGAATTGTCTTTAGCTCCAGGTGCGAAGGGTTTGGATACAAAGACCTCGTTAGAAGCCACATTTGATGGAATGAATTCCTGACGACTGACTTGGGAAGTTATAGCTGCTAGGTCTGAGAGCTCCAAGCGAGTGGCTGAAGCAGGACGGAAATTAACTGAGTACTGTACTGGGAAGACGTCTGCAGTCTGTCCAGGATAATCCTCGTGGGTGGCGATCGTGAGCTGTACATGAAACGGGTTGTAATGGGCATAGGATCCCAAAGGAAACCCGTTGAATGATTGGGATTTGCGCTGTTCTCTAGACCAAAGGCCGAATCATGGCACTGTTTGAAGGGCAGGGAAGCTAAGATCATGGGTGTCACGGGACTCCCAGCCGAAATTGGTTCGTACCATTGTCTATCGCCAGCATGATATGATGGATTTGGTACCTGTTTCATAGGCAGCCCCACCAACCGCCTGGCCGTCGCCAGAAGACCATCTTGCACGATACACCCCAATCTGCAACATGAAAATCAAAAGCCCTCACGGAGAGAATGATGATATTTCAGCTGGAGGTCTCCATTCAGATATGCGCAGGCGTAAGATCGTGCCGTGGCACATGTGGCTGAACAAGCAATTCCAAAGGGCGCAGACCTGGCCATGCACGATTAGACACATTGCTTAATGTCCACTCTACCTCAAAGCCATAGGAGAGCCCAGAACAAGTAGCTGAGACTGCGAACCAGTTGTGTAACCTCAAACATGTTGTGAGTGAGGAGAAGACATGGTACGCGATGTGCATCGGAGCTAACCAGAAGCGCTTGGAGACAAAGAAACTCAAGAATTTCATTGAAGGTGCATACTGTTCAAGTACCACCGCGTGTTCTTTTCGACGATTGTTGATGCAAACAGCTCAGCTTCTTGGTAGTACAATGCCTGAGAAGCGCCACCACATGGTGTTACAACCTTGGCACTGATTGAGCTGAGAAGTGTGTCTCTTGTTCTCGATAGATCTAGGTACTGATGGTGAATTGTACCACCATGAGCCGTCCAGCCGTGCCTATCGGTAACGCCGTTCTGAGCATCCGATGAATTCACATCAGATGATAAACTAACAATGCAAGACACGGACAATACTACAGTGGGTCTAGAATACGTCTGTGATCTATCTAGCGGGTTTGGATACGTATAAAGAGCGTAGAGATCGCGCAAAGTGAATGGCTCAAAGCAAGTATACTCTACAGTTGCTCATCAATCAAGCCACCTCATCCTAAAACTCGTCCGACACATTTACCTTAGAACCAAACTTCTCGCCGAAATGTACATTACACACATTCTCGCTCTCACCGCATTCGCTTTTCTCAGCGGTGCTGAGCCAATCCCTGGCGATGGAGTCGACTGCCAAAAGAAGCCCGAGAGATGCGCGACGCCTGTCGCCAGCAGTGTGAGCACCAAGCAAGCAAGCAGTACAGTTCCACTCATGTCGACCACAACGTACACGACAAGCTTTTGCAGCGTCACCGGTTCGGTCGCCCTTCACCACGAAACCAGCTGTCTGGTACGAGCAAAGTTGCACGCAGATTGTGCACACGACAACGACGACGGACTACAGCTTGCAGTGGGGTTGCGAAACGAGTACCGTCACGGCTGCTTATACGATGGATAACAAGTTCGCTGGACGGGTTTGAGCGGCGGTATTGCGGGACGTTGAAGAAGGGATAGCATGAGTACTTTCACCCAGAGTTTTCCTCAAGACTATGCATCTCAGCGTCTCGCTTTCTATGATAGACACATCTAAGACTTCAACTCTTCTCAGATTTTGCCCAAATTGTGGCTGAACTCCACGAAAGCTCTCCTATGATTTCAGGGCTGGTGGCATTATTTCTTGCGTGATATGGCTCGCCTGGCTTGTCAGCGGCCACTTGTAATGTTCATGCCCCTCCATTGTTTAGCAGCATTGCTCTAATGCTGCGCTGGACTACAACGAACATACCAACAAGGCCCTGAGGAATTGTACGGCGTGAAAGCTTTTCATCGGAGAAGGAACAAGCATAACTGAAATGCAGACACGATGGTTGATTACCGCAACCACAATTCTACAGGGTGAATAACATGGCAATGAATAGCTCACAACGTTGGAACAGAGTCACTTCAGTTAGCCGTGATTGTACCACACCAAGTCACAGCTCAGCACTTGTAGTATCGAGTCCAATTTTGCTCTTATGCAATGTCACTTGTTCCGTTGCGTCTGCGCAATACGAGGAACGTGGCAGAGTTGTTGGGCGCCGGAGCATTATCGGACCGGCGAGTCTCAATGTCCCGTGCGCTGTGAATGCTTTCGAGGTCGCTATGCCACACCACCGCACTACGCCCCACTCTATACACATTCCAATCTGGTCACCTCTTAACAGAGTTTCAATGTTGGTAAACACGCATACACCCTTGGGCAGTCTTGGCTGGGCAAATCGCAATCGTCGTCACGGGATCGCAATCGAAGAGCACTCGGGCGGCTTACTTGGATCAGAAAAACCACCAAACAACTCTCAACACGTTACAGGATCAAGCCCACTCTTTCTGAAAACGAACACGCTGACCAGGAGCAGCGGTGCTTGACTACGCGCACAGTTGCAATCGCACACGGGGCGCTTCAGACACCGGAATCCAGCACACACCCTCGACCTCGACCAACTGCTAAGAAATTTTATACACCCGAAGAGGGCAGGACCATCAAGACAGGTGGGAAGAGATAGGACAAAGGCCATATGGCATCGTCGTCGGGGTACACGGTCGGAGGAAGAGCCGGAAAAAGACGCGCCCCCGATGTGGGGTCCGGCGGCCCCTTCCTCGACCTCGCCGTTCCTTACATCCACCAACACCACAACTCCAACGGCTAGAACCTGATCAACTGATACTCACGTGCGCTATGGATCCTCCCAAAGGACCAAAGTGCTGATGGTTCCGCCTTGCTTTTGCGACGAGGCGATCGAAGGTTGAGTCAAGTGGCTCCCGTTGTTGGTGGCCGCACTCGCGCCACGCCCGGGCAACATGATTGACAAGACAGGCCCACGAAGCGCAATCTTGACAACAACAGCGTAAATGGCAGCACAGCTCGAAAGGCGCTACTCAAGGTCTCAAAAAAGATTTTGTTGGACCGGCAAAATATCCAAATTGTTAAGGCGATGGTATCTGGACGGCATCTAACCACTTGCGCATCTGGCCACTCAACAAAATGTTCATCTCACTCGGAGTGTCTCTATCTCAACAAGATTCTTCGTCCCAAATCTGTCGGCTGAGACCTGGCACAAAGGCCCCCAAGCGCAATCGGCCAAAACATGCGATCGCGGTCACGCAACCAAAACAATCTGCGAAGCGACAAGGGTCATCGCATCGGCTCAACTAAGAACCATCTTCAGACATCATGCCAACCGCTGTTTGTCCGCGGGCAGCCAGTCGAGAACCTCTATGCGGGAGAAATGAGACGTCACGTCTCCCAGCCCTGCAACAACACTATCGCCAATGCCTGTGAACAACGCCTTCGCTGTCAGTGAATTCCGGGAGCAGCTGACTTCCGCGACGCCCGCATCAGACACATCCTCTTCACCTTCAATACTTTGAGGTCTTGAAAACTTCAAGGGCGATCTTCATCAGCCCATAGCCCAGGTGTGGCATCGGAAGCTTCACCAGCAACACTCCGCAGCTTACACAGCATTGGGCTTACTTCAGACGGCACTACATATGCCAGGAGCTGCGGCTTTCGGTACCTCAGACCTACTGTGCAGCTTGTTCACTTCGAGCTGATGGACTTCAACGTCCGAGGCTCAACTCGACAGCTCAAGACGCCAAAAGGGACACCCTACATGGCTCGCTCAGGACCGGCAACCTCGATTATCATGTCAGAAAGAGCAGGGAACATTGGAAACAAAGGTCCTACTGCTGTTGAACCTACCTCATCATCGATCATGACGAGAACAGGATCATGAGTGCTTCTCAGCGACTCACGTGCGATTCGTCATGACGTGTGCGAATCTGGACTTGTCAATCATGCCCGACATGGGCCATGCGACGACCCTGCCCCTCGAATTGAACGATTCTGAACTTAGTTGGCCATCAGCAGTACGAACTGCACGACGCCAGGAGATTCTAGATGTGGCAACCATGCCGGACACGGGTCGTGTGACAAACCATCCACCGCTTGAACAATTCTCAACTTTGCTGGCCACACGCCGTACGAATTACGGGACGCTCGCGAAGCCTGGACGTGTCAATCATGTCCGACATGGGTCATGTGACAAGCCATCCACCTTGCCCTGGTCAATCCTGAGCTCGGTAGACTGCTTGCAGTACGAACTGAACGACTGGTCTCTGCTCATGCCTTTCGACGGTCTATCGGACTACCGCGCACACAATGGCAAACAGCGTCTTAATAATCTTTTCTCTCACATATGGCATGCGGACTCCCAGTGCTTGCGCGGAGATGTCACTAAATGACATCTTGGCATCGACCAACTCTTTGTGTCCTTTTGTCGGCCACATGGCTAATCATGGGCTGTACCAAGCTCAGTCTTAATCCGAGTGGGAGCTGGGTCCACAACAAGATGTCAAGTGTCAAGCTGCATCTGAATGCAAGCTGACAATCTTGGAGCTTGGGGACGACCGGAAGTCTCCACCATTCGATGCTGTAAGAGCTGGCTCCGTGACAAGGCACGAAGTGTCCAGCTGCAGCATGCTAGCCGGCCGTCTCAAGACCTGTGGACGACGACCATACATCTCTACCATGCGGTGCAGCAGGAGCCGGCGCTCCGAAACAAGATGCGAAGTGTCAATTTGCCTGCAAGCAAGCGGTCGATCTTACAACTTGGGGATGACCGTGCATCTCACCACATGCAGCTGCGTTCTAAACACGACAACATGGCGACAGAACCTTACCTTCCCATATGCCACAGGTGGATTATCCCTCTGCTAGAAGGCGTTGATAAGGACGCTCATCATACCGTACGAGTACCGGCTTGAGTCGCTGTCGTGACACGGGTCGGCCAGGTGCGCTGACCCTTCACCCGTTTCTGCCCCATGCAAGACCTGTAGGCATTCCATGTCACTCCCACGGCAATGCAGCGTCATGTTACTCGTTCAACCTGACATTGTTTGGCGGCGTGTGCCAGCTCCCATGCTTTCTTTGCCACAGATATTCGCAGGGCTGCGTTCACGCGTTGCTGTGTCGCTCTGCTCACACAACAGCTGGACGTTTACGACTCCTGCAGCTCCGCCTCTCGATGTGCTTCTACGCACTCCGGTGTGGCAACGATGTGCCAGATGCGCTGTGCTCGTGACCACCGCCCTTGGCCATGCGGGGTGCTGTCGAGTGGCCGCCCGCCATCATCGGGAATGCATGTATTTGGATGCGTCGCTGCCATTCTTGCTGCGGCGCTCTGAATACCATCTGCCTTGTTCATGTTAGTGCAAACTTCTGGGGAGGACTTACTTGCGGCTCCCTCCGTTCGTATCGGTCCAACATCGTGTATGCGACAAAGAGGTGCACGTCCAGGAGCGATGCCCCTGTCCGCTGCCCATGGCCCTCGTGAGGTCATCATGGACTCCATTACATTGTATAACCCTCCTTCTCTGGGTGCAGCTGGTGATCGGGTACGCGTCGTCCTCGCCGGTGCGGTAATCGGTTCGTGTCATGGCCGTGGAGAGACGCGGGCCTGCCAAAAGGCTCCCATGCGGATCCCCTAGGATGCTAGGACCTGTTCGAAGGTCGGCAGGGCTATCTGTTATGTTCAGCGTGATGGTTGTTCTGTGGTTGTCGTCGTCGGGCAAGGTACCAATCTCGGAGGCCGCAAGCCGCTGCGAGACAGGAGGCGCTGTGAGCATCCCCCTTGGTACGGCACCGTAGCCAGAGGTATCCTTCGACGCGAAGCTACTGGGTATATGAGAAGACATACATGATGCTCAGCAGCATGTCCATCGAAGGCCTGCACTCGTCGAGGACGTGTCATGTGATGATGGATCGTAAAAGCGTAGTGGATACGGCTGTCTTGGCATGTTGTCTAAGTCGCTGCCGCTATCTCCCCTCTACACAAATTTACCCCCCCGCCGCAAGATCTCTACCGCAAATTTTGGCCCACGAGCCCCCTTGGTTCCCTGGCTTGCTACGATTCCAGTCTCTCCGGTGTTGTACGAGCAACAGCGTCCCAGGACGTTCCTCACAGTCTCTCGTCAGCACGCGCGAAAGTACAAGTCCACCCCGCCGAATACATACTGTCGTGTCGCAGCAATTGGATCGCGGTAAGGACGTGCCTCCACAACTCGCCCTTCTTAAAGTGGCAACAGGGTGCAAGACGACATTGTCGATAGCCTCCCTGCCTGGCCCTTGCCCGTATCTCGCTAATATTGCGGCCTCCAGCACGTCTAGCCATGGCCAAATCTCCCCTCCAGGCGCCGTCGCGGCGATCGGTGCGAGATTCTGTTATTCCGGCCTCCTCGCGCTCGGCAAACCGCACTCTCAACACGCGCAGCTGTGAGTAGCCACACTGATTCCATATTCCAGGTCGTACTGATGTGTCAGCAGCGAACTCTCTGCATGGTCCACGCCATAAGAGATCCACCAAGGTAGCCTATGTGTTCCAGAAGGCGAAGAACAAGCCGGCCGTGAGAGTCAGGAAGACGCACTCGAAACGAACTCACAAGACTATGTCAGCTCCTGGCCGTCGCATCCCGTCGCTACTTCGCTCAGCCGAGTTCACCGTTATGGTGGTATCTGAAGTGATAGAGTCTCACATCGATTATCTGCTGATCGAACCTCCTACATGGTCACCAAATGTCGGTCATAAGCATTCTCCAAACAACGCAGACTTGTATGCCTGGGCACCACCGACGGCACTCGACATCCAACAGCTGTTTGGAGCTGTTGAACTTCAGATCGAAGAGCTCATAACTGTTAGTGGAATCGAGACAGCCCAGATGACCGCGAATCTAACCAACAATAGTTCGTGCCGCTTTCTTACAAATGGGCCGGCTTCTGGCACCGTTGTGCTAAGGGTGGTTGGGAGCCAGCTGACGTTGCGAAGCTAATAGTGAGTATGAAGCAGACTTACACACGGTCCCGGATGCTAAATTTGTATAGGTTGCCTCTCGACGCCTCCCCGACGAGGACAAAGCTAGCATGGACAGGCGCGTCAAATCCCTCAAAGGCGCTCTGGGTAAATCGCAAAAGATTGCCATTGGTTGCCCTGCCACATCTACTAGCGCTGCCGTTCCCGCTCGCCCACACTTAGTCGACATCAACGTCAATAACGGCGGTATTGACTTCACCGCCTACAATTGGCGCTACCCTGGCGATTTGGGCAACCACACTTTCGGTTCCTTGGAGGAGGATTGTCTACTTCTGCGACTTGCGCATAAGGTCACACGTATGCGACCGAGGCGCGTTGGCCTTTGTAAACGCTGAATACACAGTCCCAATCGTCACCTATGCGGGAGAAACCCTCACCGCAAAGGTCTCTAACATCCATTCCGTCTTGCTTGTAGATTCCAGGGCGATGGCCTGCCGGGTTTTGGATAAGAAAATGGAAGTGGTTGGAGATGTGTAGTTGTGCCCGCGTGGCAGGGTATCTGGAAAACACTAGCTGTTCAGTGTAGACCGGACCCTCCCCTACGCCTGGATCCTTGTGAAGGACGAGGTGATGGAATTCCATCGTGTCGAACCATCTTCGGCCAGGACGGTGAAGCTGGTCGCGGTGGATGGATAGACTCAGGGTAGGCGAAAGTCGACCTGCGACGATAGGGACCTCTTCGTATAGTTGCTGGCAGCGGGGATGGCCCTGGCACGGGGGGAACGGTGCTCGCATATAGCCCTCCGAGGTGCGGTTAGGCCGCAGGGCAACGGCAGGGGTGTCCTCACTATTGCCATTGAGAAGGCCCAGGCGAAGAACTGTTGGGACATAAACTTGAGCGAAGTGGCCACATTCGCTGCCCGAAAAGGAATCCACATTCCGGCGCCTCGTCGCGCAAGCCCCACTACGGAAACTGCCCTCGCCGCAGCTGACAATGCGGCACTGCTTGCGTTCAGAATTACCTACAACAACCTCACGTAGGACCTGAGCTGCACGGCGCGGTTAGTTTGGACACCGATTCTCCACCCTTTTGGGTGCCTAGCGAATCAATTTTGGAAGGGCTAGAGCATCGTAAAACTTAATGATGGCTTACTTGCCCATGAAAACAATGCACATGTCTTGTGTAGATACCAAGGCCAGAAAATAACACACCACTCATAATCACTTTCGTTCCTAGATGTTGTATGCTCTTGTGACTACTTTGTATGTCTTTTCTGAAATATTCTTATTTAAATATTCACATCAATCCTGACATTCCCCTCCCAGGTCCCTCGGGACGAAATGTGACGTCAGATACCCGCCACATTGCACCGCAAGGCCTTAAACACCTCCAGATTGTCACATTAGAATCCATTCACTATGCGACGACGCCCTCCTGATACCCTCCTCGATCACTTGTACCCGTAACCACCGCCCGTTCCCTGTCATTTGGGATCGTACTCGCTTGTGTAAGACCTTCTGATTGACATGGTGACATGCAGCGACTGGTGACAAGCTGTAAAATTGAGTAACGCATCGACATAGCAACAGCCACCCTGCCATACCCCGTCTAAGTCCCATTACATGATCCCTGGTACCTCTCCAGCTCAATGCGCCGACGCATATCCTGCGACACCTTGTAGCTCTCCAACACTTCCGGTGGTGTGGTATCCTCCTGCGCAGTCTCCGAAAGCAACGGCCCAAACGGATCTTCCAGCGCACCATTCACAAAAGTCGAAGTGCCAAAGCTCGTCTGCATTGGCAGCGAGACGTCCCCCTCGGCGCGGCTTTCCCCAAACACGCGGTTGGCAATCGCCGTGACATGCCTTCGACGGAACCCCTGGTCGTCGATGCGTGCCCGAGCGATTGTCTGGCCATCGTCCCACGGTTGCCGGTTGACAAAGCACTTTCCGAGCTGGCGTTGGTAGTGTCTCGTGCGTCGCTCGTAGCGCATGCGCTCGATATGATCGAAGACGCGGTCGAGGTCCTGGGGTGGAGGGCCTGCTGTGGCGGGGTAAGTGATTGGGAGAGCTGATCGAGTTCGGCGGCGAGAAGCTTTGAGGACACGGTTTGAATGCGTAGCCATTGCCTTTTGGAGCGCACGATACCCAACAGACACCATGATCTTGACTGCCTTCATGGTCTGAGGAGACTTGTTCTCGGCCTGGACGTTTCCGTAGAGACGCTCAGGCGCTGAGGCTGGGGCGATACTGGGCAAATGGGTTTGGATGTCTGTAACCGCCATTAGTTCTACTACACTTCGAAAAGGTGAGAGATGAGGCGTACTCGGACAACTCGCACTCCGCACTAGCTTGGCCATCATGCTGGCGCTAAAGAAGGGCCTTGGCCGCTTTGGTGGCCGTTGATAGGGACTGGTTTGAGAGGGATTGTCCTTTCAAGGGGTTGGAAGACTTCAGTGTGACTTGATGTATGGTCCTAATCGTACATAAGTTATTTCGAGTTGAAGAAGTAATGATGGTGGTCGAGCGATACTTACGTTCAGTGGAGATGATGGGAGCTTATCTAAGGCGTGAGAAAGCCGTTGGCGGTTTTCACGGCATGGGCAATTCATTTGGAGCGCACTAGCGCCTTCTCCACAGTTATGGTATCAAGGCGCGTTAAAAAGCGAAACGAGAGACAATGCAAATCACGCATCGAGCTGCAGTGATGTCATCGAGGAAGGGCCACTAGAACTGTCGACAAGAATGATTCCCATGGGCTTGACTATGAATATATAATAAAAGGAAACGAAAGACCATAGACCAGAGTTTGATTCAAGAAATGATGCTCAAGGTCAAATATTCGATTCGACATCTGTCTTTAGCATCATTCTCGGCATGTATACAATTGTGTTGCATGCCCGCAATCGCTTTGATCGCTTCCCGAGGTCTGAGATCTACGCTTGTTATGCGGCCAAGCGGTCACTGAGGGGGGAAAGCAATGACTATACCTTTGTCCATACATGCACTTGTCGATGGGCAGGGCGTGGGAATGGCAAATTCAACTGACACGATGTTAAGATGCTATTCCATGTAAACTACGCATTAACAAGGACCGTACGTAACATAACAAGTGAAAGGCCATGATGTCACCCTGCACGGTTGCATCATGTTAATTTAGTTGCGGACGCGTGGTGCTAACGGCCGCAGCCGCTAATGTGAGATGTGTAAGTTTCAGAACGAGTGAGTAGAAACAGTCCCAGGGCTTCACACCACACTCAGCACACATACGCTGCACCTGCACACAGCAGATTCTATAGATCAATTCATTCGCTTTTGTCTTGCTCGTATAAATACAGAATGTTTTTCCATCGTCGGCAGCTACACGATGCCTCTTCAAATTTCAACAACCCCGTCCTTCCGTGCCATGACCAAGACGTCTATGCAACGAGTCTGGAAAGTTCCCCATTGCTAATAAGTACGCCAACTCTAGCGCTGCTCCGAGGCATCTCTCGGCTATCATAAGCCTGCCTCTCTGCTTTGCATTCCTTGGCTTGGTCCAGCACCTCAATCGGTGGCACTGAACCTCCAGTGCGAGGGCACGATTCGACTGGCGTATCGCTGCTCGTTGTCTTCAACACCACTGCCGTCGCCGCTGTCGCTTCCTTCATCCTCATTCTCTTCGTCCACGATGTTGTCGTCGTCATCGTCGTCACTGTCTTCGTCCTCGCCACTGTTGTCGTCTTCTCCATTGTGATCCTCGTGGTCGCAGTTCTCTGCAGTTGTCACCCCTGGAACGAACGGAATCTCTGATCTTCTGATCGACGCAACCATGTTCGTCCAGATAAGGTACGACTCAGGGCTCTCGACGTCGATTGCCGCACGAAGCTCCGTGCACGAGTATACTGCGGCTTTGAAGCTCCGCATGTCAGAGCTCTGCGCGAGTATCTGCTGGCATTGATACTGGGTGAATATCCTTACAAAGGCGTTCTCGTGGTTCTCCATGGCGCGGGCGAGACGAATATCCGCGTCGGGACTGCTTGACCAAAAGCCTCCTCGTCGGTGCGAGCGGCGAGAGAACAGGGTGATGTCGTTGTCGGATGATGATATCGAACCAGCCTGCATCTCGTGAAACAGGTTCTGGGAGGCTTCGCCGGAGAGTGGCGCTTCCGAGGGTTGCTTCACACCAGCGCCGATCGATATGGGCGGACTGGTTGTCGATCTTATCTCTAAAGTGGTAGTTAGCCATCCGCGCGGTGTTTGCAAGGTATGAGCAGGCACTTACTAAGGTTCGGCTGGGAAGGGACAGATTCGCTGGGCGTATCAAAACCCATACCCGGAGAGGCAGATCTTGGGCTGCTCCGGTACTGCTTAGGCGACGAAGAGGCGTCATCGCATTCAGTACCATTGTCTTTCGGCGGTACTGACGGAGCTTCGACAGTGGAGGAGCGCGATCCCGGTACTGGAGACACCATGTCTGCACACCCGGGCACTGTCGAGCTGGTAATGTGCTTGTCGGCAATGAAGTTGCGGCGGATGACTGTGTCTTAAGTCGGCCTCGGTAGAAATTCCCAGAGATTAAATTTCGGTCGCCTTGTATATCGAGAAGGGGTTGGGCGGCCACCTGGGAAGGTACCTGATTTGTTGCGACGTCGTTTCGATTTAGTGCGTACCGCCGACTGCTAATGATCTGCAATTCAATTGCCGTAATTAAATTTGGGGGCTTTTTGCTAGTAGGTTTCTGCGCACCGTGTGCATCGGCAGCGTGCCGACTACGCTTTTCCTCTTCGAGCGGCATCCGGCTACTACGACGGATCCCGCAGATTCTCGCCAGACAGATGCTAACCAGACTTGATACTTATGCTAAATACCCGCATTTCTAAGTCATTAGTATCTCATACTCCAACGCGGCAACCAAATGATAATACTGGAGAGTCGATGGAGCGATGAACGCCTGCCGGACCGATCGCACGTACTTCTGCGGGCATTGGAGCTATCAGAGACCCTCTCAAGCGCGCGAGTCCAATGTGGTAGAACATCGTGAGGCTCAAGGAGTCGGACAGCGGCCTGTCCTTCTGTGCGACCTCATGCCGCAGCAGCAATTGCGGCTGAAACAACTGCGGCTTCAAGGTCATATGACCTAGAGAAGTTGTGCAAATGTGTTTTGATCAAAGATTATCTCTCTGGGATGCCTTAGGGACCTCTTCGAGTACCAAATGTCCACCCCGCCGCGGTGTGCACTCGAATACGATTTCCAGATCCTTGCATACAACAAACTTCTCGAAAGGCTCCCCGTCAACCGCAACGAGCACGAAACAGACCTCTCATTCTGACACTTGATCCGCAGATTCGACGAGACTATGTGAAAGTCTCTGCTCTTCGACTAGCTGTGGCCTTTGGTATGTTGGTTGACTTATATGTCCCAGTTAGAGCAGCACCACGACTAAGCGCAAATGGCGAGGGGGAATGCACGATGGCCTTCTTCTGTCGCCACAAGAGATACTGGTAGAAAAGGCTTATATTTCAAGAGGCTGGGATACCAGTACTATACGGAGGTATGGGAGAAGGATATATGCGGCAGGTAGTCGTTGATGAAGACAGGGTGATATAGCTCTGAGCCTTTGCTTGCTACAAAGCTTTCCTCGACACAATTGTGTGTCATGGATGCTGTTATTAATTGGTAGAAAAGTTGCAAGCAGTAGAATTTACCCGCACGTGCACTAGAGTGTGAAAAGAGCAACAAGTTTTACAACAGCATCTTTTGATCATGTGCTTGACACCTGCAACGCGTTTTATAAGAGCGCTCCATTCTTCCTGTGAATGTATTCTGAATGAAACTGGTGGTGAAAAGCTGCCTACCAGGTTACCAAGGTCTCGCTGCAGGGGGGGCTTGTCAAGTGATCATCTGGGGAGGGCGTTCTCCTTCTCCACTTCCCACGTGACTTGAAACATCACGCCCCTACTCTATATATGCACAACTCCTCTCACCTCACCAAAACCTTCTGCAAACTGCGCTCCTCAACTAAACAGGTCGATAACTCAGTCTCAAGCACACCCGCAGCACAGGGTCTTGCACTTTTCAGTCGCCTCTTATTCACCAAAACAGACACGATCAACCTCACAAATCGACTACGCGATACACTTGCGCACTTGTCAAGTCGACTGAACATGTCGTTTTTCCCTCCATTTGAGATGGCCTCGCAATCCTTCCAGCAAACTAGTACGACATCCAACATTTCATGTGGACCTGTGTCTACGGTCCAGCCTCTATCATAACTGCTAACTTCTGCTATAGACACACCTCGCACACCAATCCCTCGCTCGGGCGCAGAGCTTTCGGTGGCCTTTTACAGGCCAGGTCCTACACCTACCGCAACGTTCGCCAGCTCCGGCAAGAAACCCACGAAACAGAAAGCCCTCGCGCAGAACCAGCCACAATACCTCACACGGACATTTCTACAACAGGATGAGCTCTGCCAGGAGAGTCATGACCTCCTTCCACTCCTTGCGCGTATTTTCGACTGTAGCGACCGTCTAGAAGGATATCATGCGCTGCATTGTGAGCAGATCGCGGGGTTCCGCTACTTCATACCAAACGGACGATTGGCAGCGGAATGGAGGTACTTCTTCCAAATTATTCCCAACCACTACATGCAGATGGTACCAAGCGAAGTCCGCTTCGCTTACGAGAACCAGAAGAGTCTTGAGTCTTGCAGCATGGAGGGTTGGGTCGAAGACTCCTTAGCTTGGACAGATACCCAAGAGGAAGAGCGTAGTCACCCTTACTACCGTCACTTGCGCGCCGATTATGAGGATTATGCTCTGCAAATACCTTCGCCGCAAATCCTGTCCGTGAAGCGAAAGCGCAATTCACCAGAGCCTGATCGTATCCGATCCTCATTGTTGAGTCCTAGAGCGAAGCGTCTTCGCACGTCGTCGCCCACAGACAGCGATTACAGCAAGCTACTTCGACCTGTCCAACGAAATGCACAAATACCGATGACTACTACGCAAGCCGCTTCCACCCCGGCATTGTCGCATTCTGCAGTGGCACCACACCCTCCTCAGGTACAGGCTACCGCATCGCTTGGCCTGCCACCTCCCGTTGCTTCAACAGCGCCTGCTGTCACAACTGCTCTGGCACATCAATTGATAACTCCGCGAGTTCCAATTGCTCTCTCTAAACAGGCTCGCAGCCATCCTGCACCCCCACAGCCACCTGGCACTGTCGAGCACACGGGACGAGGTAACGTCTCCAAAGCGTGGAGCAAAGAGCGAATTCGTGCCTTCACCCAGATACAAGGCTACCCTCGGCAAGAGCTACCCTTCTCTGCAGTCTCAGAGTATGGAGATGAGCTGTCAAGGGATCATACTCCGAAGTCTGTCGATCCACGGTGTTGTCCTTTCCCTACAACTATTGAGGAGAATCTGACGGTAAGTCTTCTTGTAAAGCGGGTGTCTAGGTGGGGCGCATGCTAATGATCTTTTAGTACATGCACCTTGCGTCAACTCTGAATCGAGAGATGTGTGCACGTGTGAAGAAACACTGGACGGCACAACAAATCGTCGTATACACGGTAAGAAGAAGCAGGGAACATGCTTTCGATTCATAGCTAACTCATACCAGACTCATGCGCTGGGGCTTCAGAATCAGAGCAGCATTGTTCGTACGAAACTCACGAAGCAGTTCCAGAAGTGCGTGGCAGGGTTTGAGAAGGCCAATCGCAACCACGTCCCAACCGCTTCGTTGACTAATATCTCCATGGAGAGTGGACTGATTGGCGGCGACAGCATCACTCACGACTACTTTCTCCACGCTATGGGGAAAAACGTGGTCAACCATCCAGTCGGGTCGGCCGCTCAAATGCTCACCCGTGTGATTCGTCATGTTGTAGACGTCTCCCATGACAGGACCGCTCGCTTGAGTGAAGCAGCACGGTATGCTAGGGCATGGGGTATCACCGTTCCCGTGGGCGAGCGCATGAACAGCAACCTGGATATCGCAGACGTGCCTGACCCGGTTGCTTTGGCCACTTCCAGGGCTGCGTACGTGACTAAATTTGGTCATCTACCGTAGACAGATTGCAGAAGCCAAATCCGCATGGTGTCAATGGCTTCTATGAAGGTTTATTTGATACAAATGAAAAAGGCTTTGTTCATAGTCTTGATTCCCAAATGTCTCAAAAGTTTTGTACCTAGTTTGTGATCAGGTGTCTTACAAGAACCAATTAGATTGATGTCGCGCTGCTTCCACTTGTTCTGAGCGTTCTAAATAGCGCGTAGATTTGCATACGCTGTACGAAGAGATTAACAATCCTACGCTCCGTATTGCTCATCATATGAATCGCCGCGGAAGTGAATCACGAGTGATTGACCTATAATATATACCATCCATATTTCAAGCTGCGTGCCGAAGTCTTCTTTCGATAAACGAATGTGGTCGCCCGACTGAGTGTAGAGGGTATTAATTAACTTGATTACATACATGTAACAGTAAGCGATACTTCACAGAACTATTAGGTTACATGCAAAAAAATCGTGGTCTTCTCTCAAATGCCTTAGCCAAAGCGGCTGGACACGAGCAATTCAAACTACTTGAAATGAGGAGTCAGTCTACCAGCCTTAAAGCTGAGAAGTTGCAAGTATTAGAAGAATGTGTAGCGTCCCATTACACTCATATGCCTCGACTGCCAATCGCGTCGCAATCATGCTGTGCTGCGTTATCCTTATATGTATACCTACTATCAGGCTTGCCCTCGTGCTTACTCCCATGTTTTCTCAGGAGCAGCCTGGGATTTGAGATTATATCAAGGCCGACATAGCACGATAACCAATTTTTACTTTAACGATACGCCAACTTCGTCACAAAGATAAGATTGCCTCAAGCACAAATGTATTTTGACTCCCAAGATGATTACTGCTATATGATGCAGCCATACAAGCAAACCACTCTCCGGTCACTACGGCGGCTAGATCCCAATGGACTTTCCTTTGAAATTTGGAAGGTTTTATGGTGCATTGCCCTATCATTTCGATTTGAGCTCGATGCTTTAAGACCATTCACGAAGTGACGTAAAGCACGTGCCTCTGGTCCGTGCCCACGGTCTTCCAAAGGGGACCCAAAATACAGCTTTCTTTGACCTCGGATCCATTTTCAATAAGTAGTTCGAAGTCTTCTACGCAAATTCAACTCGCATGACCCACTCTCGCGCCTGCGCCTCAACGTCACGAGAACACCGCTCAGCGACTGCGCTTGGCACCACGATACAAGAGTATAGGTCAACACAACTGAACGTCATTACGATACCGGCTAGCAATCCCTCCTCACGCCCGTCATAAACGTGTCGCAAATCGATCACATGATCTCGAAGCCGTGCCGAGTTCACGTGAGCGTTCTGAGTCCGCGGCAAGTCTTCGCGTATCCTCGAGTACTCCAGTATGTTCACATGACGCGTGGGTGTCATCTCTTATGATCCCGTCTAACCATACCATAGACGCAGAGACTAATTGGTGTGATCAATACAGCGCGGGCCGCAATGGCTTTGGCCCAGAACGTAGTGCCAACCGGATCTGCTGCTAAGAATGATGGTATGTCCTGTACGAGGTCTCACTATCCCACTGTACTGATATTGGAAGGCGCAAACCTTGAGCAGTCTGTCTCGCCTATGTCTCCACCCGTCACCGCCGCTTCGACACCCCGACCGCTTGATTACGATCGCCTCGTGGCTGATATTCCATTCCTTCCAAAACCGCTTGCCAAGATAGTGACCATTATAGTTCGAGGCACAGAGAGCATGCGTCCTTCCAGCAGTGACATGCTCGGTATGGAGGGCGGCGTACGCTGGTGGAAAGTCCTGGAACCGGGTCGTGGGGTATTATACTACGAGTGCGCTCAAATGTGTTTCATGTGGCCACCCTACTACAGCGCAGCACCCGAAACCGTCAAGGAGATGCTTGACTTCATCCGTGCCGCCGATGAGAACGACGATGCTCTCCAAGCGGCTGTGAGGAAATACTCTCTCTTCGAGACCTACCAGAAGGAACGAGATGAGCGAGCCCTTGCAAGAAACCGTAAAGATTGGGTCGCTGCGCCAATACAAGCAGAGGCTGCTCCTCTGAAGCGCAGGTACAACGATCGAGAAGATCTGAATGACCAGTCGAGCCACTCGCAGACCGACTCGCCTCCTCGTCGCGTCTCCCGCGTAAAGCGTCGGCGGCGCATTGTAGAATCTGACGAGAGCTCATCAGAGGCGACCGACCCACAGCCACAAGCCAAACCGAAGTCCGTGAAGAAGGCCCCAAAGCAGAGGATGCCCGGAGAGCTCATACCGGGCAAGAAGTATTACCACTGGCCTCCAGCTCGCCTTCGTGTCTTCCGCGACATCAAAGGCCTCGCTGATAAGGATCTACCAGTCTCTGCACTTGGAGGCCCCCAACATGAGCTCGAGAGCATATGTACATCAAGCGCAGTTGACCTTCGGCTATGCAATGTAGACATGAGTGTTGAAGAGATACTGACAGTAAGCAACCCATCATCTCTTCCCGTATTCAAGCGACTGATAAGAGTTCACAGTACTTTCCCCGTCATACTGTGTGGCGTGAGGTTCTTTGGAGGATCATGCAGCACTGGCCTGCGGTGGACATCGTGGAGTTCATTGTGAGTCTTCCTGGGTCTTGTTCGCAATAAGCACTAATTTGCGCAGTACTGGACACGAAGCCTTAGCGGCGAGAAGACCGTCATGCGCGCTACTATTCAGAAAGAGTTCAGGGAGGTCAGGACTTGGGCCGTGAAGAAGCTGGGAGAACAGAAGCTGGCACAAAAGGATGTTGAGGGCACGAAGGCGGTTTTCAAAGGCAGCACGGTGGAAGGACCGAAGACTATGGCTAACATGGCTAAAATGAATCTGGACAGCGGCAATACTGGCTGCGACAAGGGCGAACCGTTCGATTACTACGTTCACGACCTCGCAGAGGGTGTTCAAGACGACCATCACCCGACTGGAAAGGGTGCACAGCTTCTGACCCGTGTCATAGAACATGTCAGGGAAGTTGGAGACCATGACCTCCTCCTCAGTGGTGTGGTTGAGTATGCCCAACAACACGACATCGTTGTGCCAGTGAGTGACCAACTCACGGGAGGAGTGGATGTCGAGGATAAAGCCGCCAGAAACCGACACAAGAAAACAGTGGCTGATTCCTATGTTGCAAAATTTGGTCATCACCCCCGATGAGGTGATAGGCAGTAGTTTCCTTGGCTGCCCTCTGGATGGTTGGCTCAGAAAGATGGTTAGATCAACCATGACTTTTGCGTAATAACTCGATTATACACTGCTCATTGCTGCTTGGATGTAGCGGATAATTTCAGAAGAATTCCGCGTTTGTCAAGTTATTGATCACTACAAGAAGCGCTTGCTGCAATGCTGGACTGATGCTCTTAAAGCGAGAAATGCCAGTAATTCTCATTTTTCTTTAATCCTCCTCACTTAAACACTGCGTACATGGGTAGCGTCCCAGATCACGCAGCATCGATATAGAAATTTGAACTTTGGCTTCGTGCCAAGTCATTGCAGAAAAGCAGGCGAATTTTCGATTATGTCTTGAAAGACGCCGAATGTATCACGTGACAACAACCCACAGTCGCTTTACTGCAGTCCCTCTGCAGTCTTGGCGCGACGCATCCTGATCTGCAAGTCCCCACGCGATCTTGTACTCGTTCAGTACTAGCGGGGTCGAGTGTTCATACCATACCATAGTCACGGCGGAAGCTAATGGCTCGATATCTCCACCTACGTTCTGCACAGCAGGACCACGTCACCAATTTAGTCGTCAACTAATTATATATCGACGAGTAAGTATTGCGCACAACATGAGCAGTGGGCTGGTTTGCATGTGTACTAACACTTTTCCCCTGAAGGCATGGCATCTCTCCACAGTATTTGGGCTCAGCCAGCCCTGTGCGATCGTATAGGGCTCTTCGTAATAGCTCCCTTCTCGCCAGCATGTCGCCAGCTCCTTCTCTATATGGTGCGAACGCGGCAGAAGCTGTATATGGGGTCGCCAACCTCAAATCCACACTATCGATTCCTCCACGGTGAACCATTCCTAGAATCTGAGCGCTCCAGATTCGATGATCCTTTCTGTGCTTACCCATATCTCACGGTACAGAGACTTCGCGATGAACTGGAGGACTTCAAGGGTTGCGAGGAAGTGCTGCACCTAATCAAGCTCATATGCGACTGCAGCGATGAGGTGTGGGATCAGCCTACTGACGTCCATGAGTGGCGCTCCTACCTGCGATATCAGGTCGAGGTCCCAGCCACTGGTCAGCTAAAGCTCGCATGCGAGTGGGTGCGACTTCTGACTATCTGTACCGACTACTTGGAGCAGGTACCACCCAACGTTCGTTCACAGTTTCATGCCCAGAAGTCTAAGCTTACTGTGGAAGACGTTCTTGTGTGCGCGTCACTTGCCTCTTGGATTTATAATCGGACCGAAGATAGCAAGAAGATGTGGAATGTTTCGGCTCTACAGCGCAACATATCCTGTGGCTGGGATCTGGAAACCGGCATTACCCAAGAGAACACATATACGCCTATTTGTCCCAACAAGGACCACATCAGGCTTGACAAGTCGCCGCAGGACATCTTGAACGGAAAGCCTTCTCACATGCCAACTCTCGCTGGCATTTCGCATGACTCTGCAAGACAGGGCGCAGTAAACCCCACTCGGCAGTCTCGAGCTACACCGACTGCAGTGGGGACAGGCACGCCCACAATTCCGTAGCACCTCATTGGCCTACGATTGGGTCTACGTCCACCGGGCGGAAAATCCTCATGGGAGTATGAATGGTCATTTGGTCGCAAGCGTGCGTGGATCGACCTTCATGGCACCCTCCCAGCAGATGCTTTGAAAGACTACGACAATGTTCACACCAGCAACTGCACTTATGAACACGCCGATATTCCACTTCTCGGCGGTATTTACGTCACCATCATCGAATTGATGTCGGTAAGTGCAAAACCGCGACCGCCACGTCGATCATGAAGTCCTAAGTGAAACCTAGTTTTTTCCTGAGCATCATAAGTGGCGAGCGATTGCCAATCGTATGAGGATTGCCCGTTGGTCTGCTGGAAAGATTCGCGAGTACATTGTGAGATTGTCCTTCACCGATAACTTTGACAAGAAACACGACTAACATAAATAGTTCTGGAGTCGACGACTACCTGTCACAGCATTGCGAGCTCACCTCGGCTCCGCAATGAGGTACCAGTCGGTACAATCGCAGACTTGGACAGAGGTACAAATCGATGGCGTGAGGGTCAACTCAGCGGCTGGATGGACTATGGGCGGCATTTCGACCGACCGTTCCATGGGCGAGCGAGCGCAGTACAGCCAGCTCTCCGATTACTTCCTCGTGGATCTGGCGGAGGGTCTGGTCAATTTTCCACATGGAGCAGATCGTGGTATTCTGACTGTTACGGTTCAACATGCGATGAACCATGGTCACGATCGGGTCAAAATGTCCAACCTCGCCAGCTACGTTCAGACTCAGGCCTTGGTTCAACAATCTGGCGTATCCTTGGCTCGTACAAGTATTGTATTTGATGCCGACAGCGCAGCTCTCCAATACCATAACCCAAGTTCACGTCGGAATTCGAGTAGAGTTCAGGCTTGGTGGAGCGCTGGGGGATATAGCCACGATTAGACCCGATGAGACTGGAGATAGGTTACCGGTTGCCTTCAAGCAAGCCTGTTTCACGGAGTGCTTATGGACGGCTCAAAGGTACCTTTGTCGGACACCTTCAAAATACTAACAAGTACCCGGATGCTCAGAAAAGCGCTCCAAACCACATGTGTATATATCCAATCGCAACCCGTACTGCAGATCTACATAATTCCACGGCTTACAATTTTTCCTCGATAATACGCTGTGTGTAGGTGCCGTTACTATGACTGGGTAAGTCCATTTACGATGTTCTGACGTCTGTCAATCCGCCTGCTTTACTGTCTAGGCGCGGGAATGTTCATATTTACTTGACAAGTGACAACAAACCATGAAGCTGCTTCGTTACTAACATCTAACTATCCTATTTTGAGCTCCTTTCATGCTCAGATCTCCGACAACACGAAGGTGAGGATATACCTCGAACTCTTTTAAGGCTTGTACACAAATTCACAGGCTTCCATGGCGAAACGTTTGGAGCTTCTACTGCTATTCCAAATGATGAGTCTGCTTGGATTCATACATAAGGTATTTAATGGGTAAAATACCCTTAAAAGGTACGCGTCTCTGGATGCTTACCGCAGCGCAAGATAAGTGGTAAGCCAATTAGATGAGTGGAAAGGAACCCGACTGAGCGGTATTGTACTCTTAGGGCTATAAATGTAGAATCTGCGTGAACGCGTTCGGGCATTTCTGAGATCCCAATTCTTATATCATTTTACATTTTCCTGTGTGCTGTAGCATCTATATGGGGATTTTCTAAGCTATCAAGTATATTAACAGGTACCACAGTGATCCTTTCAAGGCATGACCGTCCAAGAAGTCTGTATTGCAAGTCTCCCAGCAGCTCTTACAGTGCTTTCTTTTACGTCAACACACCGCGCGTAGTTAAGACCGGCAGATAAACCATCTTCTGCCTCCCGCCCCTAGCAGGGCCAAACTTGTCAACAATCGAGTCAGCTTCTCTCGCTTCTTAATGTCCTGCGCACAGGCCCCAATAAGCCGCTTGCAACATATCATCAAGTCTTTATTTGGAAGCTTGATTGACTAGGAGACCATCAGACGAGGAGCTTGGTTGCTAGAGCTTTTTGTTCGTCGTCGGCTCGATCGACTTGTTAAAGCTTGATTGTTGGAAACTCTGGGTCGCATTGCGGCCCTTAAGCAATATTTTAGCTTGTAACCGGTAGGCATATATAGCCTGTCTTTCCTCCTGTAATAGAATTGTATTTGAGGCTATACATTTCCAAGACAAGAACTCGACAGCTCACATTCACCCGATAGTCGAGGAGCACTTGTACGACTAGACCTAATTTTTCTGCTATGCAAACGCCAAATTGAAAGGATTTTGTTCAAATTTCCGGTCTTGTTGCGTTGCCCTAACGACCTTGCCGTGCCTGGCTGTGCAAGGAGACGTCGGTCGCTCAGGCCGTGGCAGAACAAGATCTTGACCATTCGGTAATGTTAGACCACTTCCTTAATGCATTCTTTCGGCAGCTACGGCACATATAAGTCTTCCGAGTCATATTTAGCGTTCTAAGAAGTTACGCGAGCAAACTGTAAACAGAATGCATTTCTGAGTGATAGGATAAGAGTGGATACCCCAGGCCCTCCCCCAAACGACCGTTCTACCTCTACCTTTTTCCACCACGCTCAACCGCGCACTCTCGACTAAAGAAGGCCGCTTAATACCTCTCTCCATGCAAGAGACTCGGAAATACGCACTCGGGACACCCGATCAATTTGGTCTGCGTGAATTGGGGTCGCCGTCACCACAGAAACGAAGAGGACTGGACCCCACTGCACACACTACTCCTATGCTAGGTAAGATGCATTTTCCTCGCCTATATTATAGTTGTTGCAGTATAGCTCCCCAATCATGGACGGCAGGATCATGTACTCGAGCAGCGTCGCTGGACCATGTTGCAGCGCCAAGTACGTTACTGACCATTCGTAAAGCCGCGACCATGGAGGCGCCCCCCTTTTTCTATTCAGCTCACGAAGAGAGCACTGCAAATCCATTCTCGAGTGGCAGCTCTCCTCATGTTGAATCATTGCTCCACGGCCAACCAGCCCTTGCTCTGGGCTTCGACAAATACGTGCCGGCCGTCCGCGCCGGCCTACAAGACCCCCCATTCGATCATCACGACAACCCCGAGTCGATCTTTGGAGAGATTTTCCCGATGGACCAGCACCTAATTCATCGCCCCGCCAACTCATCTAGCTGGTGGCCAGAAGGAGGCGCTCAACATCGCCCAAATCTCGGATCGCGCCACATGCCAGCCTCCTACATCACACCGAGGGCTCACGAAGCTATCAACATGTACACCCCAGATGGATTTCAAATGACTACGGCGCCCATAACGCACAGCTATACCAACATGTATACCCTCGGCACCTTTCAAATGCCCATCGCGCCTATCGAATACGACCGGACTAATAGTCACGGCTCTTCGACTGCTGTTCAACCGGTCACAACCTTCCCGCTCCATCCTCTTCTATCGAGCCGACATTTGATGCGCGCCTTCGAGGTTATCACCGGCAGGTCACCGACTGACGGCACTGTGTGTAACTATACTCAGGAGCAAGTAGTTCAAGCAGTAGGCGACGGTAACGCATATGTTTCTCGAGGCAGCGTTCTGAACCCAGTGCAAGCGGCACGAGTAAACGGATACGTCTTCAACCCCGAGGATCGTAGCCTGCGCAGGCTAGATACCCCGGAGTCTCGGAGTGGCAACCCATCAATAACATACCCAGTGCAGGTCGACAGGGAGTGGATTATTCACGTCAAGATCCCAAGAGACCTTGTGGAGAGGCCATTCATGCGACGAAAGGGTGGCGGCGCGTGGTTCCCTCCCGAGGGTCTACTCTACATGGCTGTGGAGCATGTCGGCTTACACATGGATCATTTCGATGTGAATGGTTCAACAAGTCCGATATACAGTCAGGCCGCTCCAGGGCAAGTTGATATCCGCCTTCTTGGAGCTCTGAATCTTACAGCGTACGAGCTTGTGATCGTAAATATACCAATACACCCCCCTGATGTTCGTTTGCTGACCTTGCTTATAGTGGTTTCCTACACACGGCCGGGATTGGGTGGATTGGAGCAAACGCCTGGCTGGTAATGGCTGGTCGCCGACTCATGTGGCGAGGCTTGCAGTGAGTTTAAAGTTTTGTCATTCGGAGTTCGTGAGTCTAACGCGCAACAGAACAAAGCGCGTGACACCGACGAGACGGAGGGAATTCTGAAAAGCACCATCGAAAATCAGTTCAGCAAACATGCGCCGCTGGCAACGCGAACCGAGACCGAAGTGTTTTCCTGCGATAGCTGGACGCCTCCGAGTGTTCCACGCCTCATCGACTATCACGTCCGACATCTGGTCACAGGCGTGAGCCGCACAGAGTTTCCAAGTGGAGCAGATAGAGGACCAGTGACTGCAGCCATTGAGTATTTCCTCGATCATCCGGAACACCTGATGCTCAAGCTGGGCGAGATGGAAAGTTTCGTGGCGCACTTTGGTCTTGACATCGGTACGGCCCTCGTGCGCCCTGGCTCTGGGCTCAACCTTGATCGAGATGCCATCGGTCGGCTCGAGCCCCAACTTAACAAGTATCGCAAACTTTGCGAACAGAGACGGAAGCAACTTTCGTCTTAGGGACGATACAGTTTCGTCATCTCTGCAATGCTTTCGAAAACCTTGGGAGCATGGTCGGCAACGTGGATTATGTAAACCTGAACATGGATATATCTCCAGTGGTCATTTCCAGAAAGACAGCGTGCACGCGTGTGCTGTCCACATACCGCTGATGGTGCCAGGGAAGAGTCCTTGAGCGCATGCATTCGTAGGTTCAACCTCTTCTCCCTGGCCGCGTACATCTGCTCTCTTTACATCCTTTTCGCGACGCGTGTGGGTGATTTTCGAGGCTAGCATAGCTTCCTGATCGCTGAATGCATTGAAGTTTCTCTCCATTAGGTGACTGAGCGCTTCCTTGATGGTACACAAAAACCATGTAGTGTCGAGCAACGCTCTTAGTTGGACGCAGTGTTCTGCGCCTGCCAGTGTGTCGCTAGCGAAGTCTCCTGTTTGCTAATCGCAACAGCCACCCCAGTCTCTTGAGGCGGTCACGACACAAATGCCAAGCTTATTCGAAAGATGGCCCGCGCCGCGGATTTCATGGAAGATACCACGTTTTGTCAGTGAGGTCCATATTCTGCTCGTTTGGCTTGGCTGACCTTTTACATAACAACACAAACTCTTCCCTGATATTTGAACAACCTCCTCTTATCACACCAACACTGCACATATTGCATTTGGCTACCCCAATACGAGTATGGAGTTCAGACGTTTCGGTTTGTTTGATGTTCTTGTCATATTCGGATCGACTGAACCAGGCTGACGACATGACAGATAGCCTTCTGCTGATTGAAAAGTAAGTGGGACCGTACGGAGAGATTTATTTGCTGCTCATGGCATCCGACGATGTCTTCAGTGCGGCCCTGGTCATGATCGGCCAAACAAAGCTTGCACACACCATATCTTGGGATGACCCATTGTTGACGTTGGCCTGCATTCCGCGACGCGATGACCGCAGCATTCTCGATATTGGAATATGCTTTATCAAGGGTCACTGACGCGGCTTTGACTGTTGCTTGATGTCCAGTGATCAAGTGGATACGTCCGTATTGATGCTCTACCTGCTGAGTCCGCCGGATGTATGCGCACAAATCAGTGTGTTCAAAAGGCTAAGTCAATCTTTCTCTTTCTGGTCAGCTGTCGCGACGGCAATTCAGTAAGGTGTGGGACAATGCAGGAGTAGCATGCATTTCGTACGGTGGACACTTCGATGCTCAAATGTGCCCGCACATGATCTCCAGAAACATCCCACGCGATGCATGGTTGTAGAGTCGAGACGAATATCCCATGCCTTCCGGATGAGAACTCGCTACCATGCGTGCTCGATGACAGGAGCTGGCCGCAGGCGTTTCCGGTGTTGCTTATCCAGGCTTTTGACGCGATGACGGCCAACAAAGCCGCGTATCTCATCACGCTCAACAGCGTTACCGACGATCGTATGTGAGAGCTTGAGTGATTGTCATCCATCATCCTGCTGTGGAAGGCGATGTCGCGGTGGGGCAGTGGCCGGTCACACGAAATGCCTTGCCGACCTCTGAGCTTCCTGTTGTGTCTCATGAGCAGCTACATGGTGGCGAGCCAGCTGATCGCAGATGTTTCGGAGCTTGCTCAGGTGGCCATGTATCCTTGGAGACCGCTGCAGGAGCACGAAGACGTACTGCTCGCGTTCGCATAAACAAAAAGAACGTGGACGCATAGTTTGCGAGCAAAGCATCGACTAGAGCTTTCCGCGGGATGTCCTGGTTCTGTTGTTTCAATCTAGGGCACTGTCAGTGTTTTTCCGTCTCTCTGGTTGGCGTGCAGGGTCTCTGCTAACGATCGGAAGCGCCATACATTTCGAACACGGTGGTCGTGATGAGCGAGCTTTTATGCGGCGGCCAAACCATCGCTGACAGCTTTCTCTCAATCTTTCCCATGACCTTCTGCTCTCTTCATCTGTCCTTTGCGACAATCTTTTTCTGGGTCTCGCAAAACAGCCACCTCATGCGCACCCGTCTCCTGACACAACTCTCGGGCGATTCATACGCATGATAGCAGATCATATACTGCCGGTCTAGCAAGCGCTAGAGATACCCTGGGCCAGCTCATAGGTGGTTCTCTCAGAATTTCCGCCATACAAGCAGTTGCGCCTAACTGGCACATGTTCGTCTCCTGGACCGTGTGTGGAAGACAAAGCCGCTCGCAGGTTAGTTTTCCCCGGGTGAATTACGCGAGCATTGCTCAGTCACTGCGGAATCGACCAGCACGGAATCTGCTTTGCGGTATTGGAAGGCCAATAGCCAGCAGAACTTCTCTATAGCCTTGTAAGTCTTGGGCAGGGACTCTAGAGACGTTCCGAAAGTAACAATAGATCATTTAGTTTCCTGAGTGGGGGATGCTTCCAAAAAGTGGGCGCGACATCTGGGAAGAAATGAGTCCACAGCCATCAGGCGAGCTCCTACACCAGATCGGACGTTTCGGGAAGTAAATATGGACCAAATCTTCGTGCTACTCCTAGCATTTTTCTGCCGGAGCCGGAATCTGAGTACAAAGTGGCCAGGTGATGAGTAAATGAGAATTTCAATGCTCGGTATACCCATATGGCAAAGAGAAGGAACATGAAGTGTGGAATGTGCGCGAGAAGACACTTGAGCGACATTCCGTCACTTACGAGTTGGTGGTATCCGCGCAAACGTCCATGTACTATGGTGAACACTACGTACATTGAATACGCTTTCCAGGTGTCTTTTGTCGCAGCACTCACGATTACATTCCATCGCGGCTGGAAGCCAGACCCTCCTGTTCGATAAAGTAGGCCCCTTAGCCCCCGGAATGGCAGTAATAGGTCCGGAGTTCATTGTTGGATAGGCAACATCTCCCAAGAAATCCTTCTCGATCTACTTATCCCAAGTTCGTTGCTCTTTTCGAAAGGAAATGCTTCCAAATCGTTCTGTAGGCTTCCACGTGTCCTGCGGATGTTGTTGGAACAGGGTTGTCGTTTTCGAATCATTCGCCAGAGGCTCAGTATTCTTTTAACCTTTATGTTACTACCGTCGGCCTCGGTTTTCTCGTTGTCTGTAGTGCCCTAGACATATCATAGTCAGCGGTGGGATAATGAATTGACCAACAAAGGAGTTGAGCAGATTACTGATCCGGACATCCCTTGACAACAATTTTTTCTGGAACACAATACGCTTGCGGCTAGTTCGAGACAGAATCTCGCAATCGCCAGTCACATAGTCGGGGCCGGCCAGAAAAAACATTAACTGTGGGAGCCGACTATGGCCTCCGAACTACGCCATCTCATGAACCAATCACTGCCCACACCTGGATCAGCGAAAAAGAGGATGAATAGGATACTGGTAATCCACTAGGCTGTAGTAGAGGATGATCGATAAAGGACTTGGTTATGGTTAACACAAGTGACTCATGGAAAGGGTGCGAGTATTTTAACATTAAGTAGGAGGGAGTTTCAGGCTGGGGATACCCATCCAGGAGAACTTTTTGTAAGGAGATCCATGGCGAGCCCTAATTACGGCTGACACAGTCCTACAGCGTTCACTTCCCAAGGCCTTATATCCTCATGTAAAATTCGGGAAAAAAAGTCAGGGATAGGCCACTTTACCATATCAAGAGCTGCGGTGATCACAGGGGTCCGAGAGTCGCAGTAGGATCTACCTAAGATCTTTTAAACCTTGTCACTGCCCAACTGCGAGTTGCCGGTCCCTCCAAACAGGCTAATTGCATAGACCGAGTCTCACGAGCAGTCCAAATCACGTAGTGACCATGTTGATGTCTTATCAGATTCTACATTGATCAACGGTCTAGTATCTGAATAGGGAGTGGGTGTGTGAGGTCATATTCGCGAAAACCAATTTTATCAACACACGCAGGTACATATCGTGCTGATATCAAAGTAACCGTTACACCCATATCTGGGTAGTGTCCATTTGCCGAAAGGAGGACTTCAAGCACGGCACGGCTCGGCCGTGGCATCCCCTGCAAACATTTCTTCCCGACCCCAGGTGTACCTTATGAAACAGTCAACTCACTGATCCACTCTAGTTGAGAGACAAAGGAAATAAAACTAAAATTGTTTTAGGTCGAATGAAGGTTTTCAATGGATGCTAGGGGGAGTAGGATTAAGGACTACTAGTGGTAGTTTGACTGTGTGCAAGTATCTCGACAATCTGTTAATCGAAAAGCAGACAATGTGTAAAACACCCTCTCCACGAAGCTGTTTCTAATTAAAAGCCCTGAACAGCCATGACCTAACTTTTACTATTTTCTATATTTCTCAATCAATCCAGATTGGCTCTAACATCCAACATCAGTGAATGCGTGTGTTCTGGTATAAAGGAACGTAAGCTAGTAAGCGGAGGGATGTATACTAGTAAAATGCCAGTCGCCCCTGACAACACAGTATGTCGCCCACTGAATACTTTCGCTCCACTCGCATTAAGACTAAGCTTCATAATCATTATCTCTCGTTTCCATTACACTGTCTCTGATTGCCCCGGCAGGATCCTTCTACTTGAAGCGTCACTCATCCGCCGATCGGATCGCTGATCGATCTCATTCATGATGATTATTCGGCCTGGCTCAACCTCTTCCTGGTCACTCCGCTGCGTAGGCGACAAGGCAGTGACAACAGTCATCTCCATTCCCTGCTCTTCCGTGTTCCCGGTAATTCGCGAGGAGTTGCTTCCCACCTTTGCTTCCGTCTCTGCCATTCAGTTTTTGAAAACTCCTCCCAACACTGCTCAGTCTTGATCCCCTCGTCCTTGATCGCTGCCCACTCTCGACTGTCATATCTCTGGACGCAAAACCCGGTACGATCCGCGAGATAAGCGGTTTCAAACTTGGTGCGCATGCGCAAACCATTGCGAGATTCATTTCGGTAGACGCCCAGTAGATTGGTGCCGCAGAATAGAAGGATTGATCATCGGGATGATGCGCGAGTTCGGCGAGGGAGGTGATTCGGAAGATGGAGACGATAGAAACGCTGTTTGGGTGAGCGAGAGACACTTTGGAGCGTTGGATTTGGGGAGAGGGCGATTGACTTACAACCAACCAAGAGATAGGATCATGACTAGTGCGATTTTCTGGCTGCGTACAATCTGAAGGCGCCATATTGCTCGTACGGGAAGAGCGGCGATCATCAGGTCCGTCACTGTGTTCAAGGTACCGAGGCCGTATTCCGCTCTGGCAAAGGATCAGCACATGCTCGTCAAACTGGGTTACCCATGACTTACTTCTCCAAGTCTATACATCTGGCCTCTGGTTGCTTTAAGACATTCCAAAAAGCATCGACTGGTACGCAGGCGAACATGAACGTGAAAAGAGCTGCGATGCCGCCCGCTACGCTTATGCCCATCACGATGTAGATGGGGATGCGCGTTGCTTTGACAGAGAAGATGCGCTCGTACTGGGTCAGGATGGAGATCTTGATAAAGGTGAAGCTAATGCCGTAGCACAAGATCCCAAAATAGAGATACTGCAGTAGAATGTCAATACAATACTAGCTAAGTCAGGGGATAACGCACTTTCAGAGCTAAGATGGTAGATGGCAAGTCCACAAAGACCTGGTGTTTGCCGAAGCCATGGTGGACTTGCATTATCTGGCATGCTGAGGCGAGGATCGAGCATGTCTGAGGCGCCGTGATTAGCCAAGTGTTCCGACTTGATCACGCGGTGGTATGTAGACTCACCATAGATACCAAGATGAAATAATCCTCCCAGCCAATAGGAATGCCAAGACGAATGCGCGCAACGAAACGAAGACAAACGGCGATGAATGCCAGAGCCAGAAACGTTGCGATCAGTCCTATTGTCTTGGGTCCCTGGTCTTCTCGTGCCAGATCGGCCAGAACCGAGGGTGGAATACCATTCACGGGATTTGAGTCCATGTTGTTGTTAAACGAGCATCCTGTCAAGCTACGGATGATAAAAAGCACTTCACTCAAATGGGAGACAGAAAAAGAAACGATAACCTCTGGCAACTTATATCTAATCACAAACCTATCATCTTCCTTCAGTCGCTTACTTTCAGCCGCGACATGAATACTTGACTCGCAAGCGAGCAATTGTTTTAACTTGGTGCTTGCGAGTTGGGCAACATTATGCAGCAGGAGTTCACACTGCAGGGGCTCGCGAGTTCTTCACTGCCGGCCAACCTGCCTGTTTCGCGGAGGCTAGTGTAGGTACCGAGCCGTGTTTGGGATCATGGCGATCACTGCGATCCCGAGTTTTAAATCCGGCACGAGCGTCATACCCAGAACTTTAGATCCATTGCCAGTTGCTAACAACAGACTTTCTTGCAGAAAAGAATGTTCCCTTCAACTCGCGCTGCCACCAGGAGTTCAGTATGTGGTATTTGAGCTTGAGCTCGAGCCACTTTTTACTTCCGGCGGGTAGCTATTCCTGTTACCATCACACCTTTCCTGGGGTTCGCGTTAGCCAATTGGACATGTGCGTGCAAAACGCATTGAATTGAAAGAATTTACAGTGCGATAGAGTTTCGGAGAGCTTGTCTGGAGGAAGTCTGGTGCTATGGAGAGATTATCCACGCACGCTCGCGCAGGTTGCTATGCGCAGGAACGGTGTTGGTGCTGAATGTGCAGCAACTCGTGCAGATCGGAAGCGTGGTTCTCCACTTACCGAAATGCCTTTTTGCCTTCAGGCAAAGACTTGAATCGCGAAGTGCGCAATTCTTCGGAGTATAACTACAACCGTTTTATGTGGGCCCAACGGCTGTCATAACGTTCTTCTCCGAAGCGAGTAACCAATCAAAACTCTTATCGAGCTGCGTGCGGAGATCCGCGACATTTCTAAGAATGCAACATCTGCTACAACTTTCGTTCTGGCTAGGAGATGTGAGTCGTAAACTCGATTGATAAGATTGCTCGGAAGCGTGTATCCACCGACTGGACAAAGTCATGTCCACAACTCCGCAGGGTCCAATTCAAGAGAGGTGGACAGTAGATCATCAAAACAGTGCGGCTACAAGTGCCGCTTATACAAATTCAGACAAAAAATCTGGCTACGGACTCTGGTGATTGACAGTCTGAGTGTGAGAAGATGCACATATCGAGTGTTTACCTGTAAGCTTGAAGTATATACCATTGGCAAGCTCCTGGAATGATGAGCATGAACAGCATGTATCACGAAATTCAGAACCTAAAATTGCGCCATGTCCCGCGTGGAACGTGCTCCGAAAGGTTATTTTGCGGGTTGTGAACAAGGTATCTGATCAATATTCGATATCGGTCCGATTTGATGGCAGGGACCTCGGGAGTCGACTCAGCCGCCACGACGTAGATTTTGCCACATGACTTGATGTTCTGCGCAAGGGTCTTCAATAGGAGCCTTGAATGCAGGAGAAGGCCTAGATCTTCTTTACTATAGCGATTCGAGTTGTGAGCGTGCCAGCATGAACCACGAACTTTCGATTGATCGTCTCGCACATGCATAAAGGGTACTGCATGGAGCAGGAGTTGGCTCGATATATGACGTGCGTCTTATCGCAGGCAGTATCCACCGCTTCTCGCGAGGAAGATTAATGCTAGTTGCAGCGCAGGGTCCCAGAACGAGTCATAGGGAGTCCTGGAGACGCGACAGTACAAAGGTAGACTACGTTGTTAGAGTGTTCATGCGGGAAGTCCACAATGATCGAGAACGCAACCCACTGACATCTCCATCGCGTTAGATTCTTCTGCGGCAGATGGGTAGTCTGTTTCAATGGCAGGGCAAAGCCGGAAACACATCACAGTGCCCACAAACCCTTCACAGCCTTATCTTTGCCTAGCCGTAGACTTTGTCGATACCAACATCTGCCAAGTCAATTGCCGCTGTAGCTTTGTCTTGTCCGACTTTTTGTGTCTCTGTTCGATCTCCAACGCTATCTCCATCTGCAACACTACTGTCGTCCTTACTTGAGTAGAAAGGTAAGGAGGGCGATATCTTCCAAAAGAGAATTTTGGTCGTACTAGAGTTAGTGATTTCACACAAACTTCGATTGTAACAGGGAGATCGATCAACGCAGAAGCGGCTCTGTCGACGTGAAAGATGGGGACGATCTTGGTTCCATTTCAAAGATCACATGTTTGCATAAACTGTGTATACTTCAATCACTGCAGCCTGACAATGGTCTACCTAGACACTTTCCGAGACTGATTTTGTCGTGCAAAGCATCAACAACTTCGACATCAATGGACCATAGTGCACTGCCTGACTCCCGATCACTCGTGCCTCCACCAATCACCAACCCACTGAGATCCAAGCATAACCAACATTTAAGCAGGTGCTTTCGCGCAAAGCTCGCGTTGGATTAGTTCACCTCTCGTGACGATAGCCAACACGACCATCAACTCCATAGCACCAACGAACACCGCTAACGGCCCCGGACAACACCTCATCCCGTCACCCAAAAACGTATCGTCACACAGCACTCTCACGCCGACAACAAACTACATTTCAGAGGGCAATCATTCCCACAAATTTATCCCAATTCTCTCATCCTGTCTCATCCTTCACCCTCTCACCACCACACAAAATGTCATCTCCAACCTCATCCACCTTACTCTCCACTCAAAACCTCGACACAGCATCCACCGTATCAGAAGTCTTCCACCAATACCAAACCCTCATCCGCTTATCTCTCCGGCACATCCAGATCCTCAAAGCCCAGTCCCAAACCCTAGCAGACGAATCTAACACAACCTACGAAGATATTGAAAACGACATCGCGCGGCTAACAAATGCCGTAGCGCAAGAATACGATGTTAATATTGAGTATGCGAGGTTCTTGGATGGGTGGATGGATGGGAAGGTGGTTTTGGTGAGAATGAGGCATTTGATCAGTGAGCTGGAGGAAGGATTGAAATAGGTGAGTGGTGAAGGTGCGGTAGCGAGTGAAGGTGCGCACAAGGCGTAGTTATGTTTACACTATAACATAGATCTTAATACGGCGGCACTGTTGATCGATTAATCGTATATGCGCAGCACAATCTGGTGGTGATGTTGTGGTGTTGCGCTTCGCTGACGTGGCGTGACTAAGTGGCGTGACCGGGTGAATACACGACCATCAACGTCGATATATCTATCCACACTCCACACTACCCCAGACACACCAAACTCCAACCCAGATATCTCAAACAGTTATAATGACTACCATCGCACAACCTACACAAGTAGCAGCCCCATCCGGACAACTCCATTCAGGCCACGACCACCTCCTCCCCCTCCTGCGCACATACTTCACCCTCAACCTGCGCGCCGATCAAAAACGCACAATCGTCCACCAACACTTGCAACACAATCGCTATCGAAACGTCGTTCACGGACCGCCTTATGGTAAGCCAAGCCTCCTCAAAACCACCATTTCGCGCCTGCACAAACACCATC